AGTCATAATTCCTCTGCCCCGCAAAGCCATGCTTCTCATCCGTCAACGACGGTTCAGCCCTAGCCTGCGCGGAGCTCGCAACGGGTGTCTCATACCGAGGCACCGCCTGAATAAATCCAAGTTCATTCCTCGGAATAGCAGTCAAGGGTATATCCGTGAACTCCCGAGAGTCCGGTGCGGGACCAGAATTGTTAGGAACGGGGTCCATGGCATGACCGCCTCCATCACCGCGATTCCGGTCCCGTCCCCAGAAGAGAGTCATTGCGCGGAGGACACCGATCAACGCAATCAGAACCCAGAGTAGAAGGATGGCAGTGGCAATGAGGGTTTCCGTGCGTAGACCGTCTTTGAGTTTGTCAATGACTCGTTGTACTACCTCTGTGATTTTGTTGGAGGTGGTATCCCCGGCGTCGGCCAGGAAGCTATCGGATGCACTCGTGTCGTTCGAGATACTAGCTTTTGCGCCACGAGAGAAGGTATCGTTTGGAAGGTTAGGGAAGTCGATGTGAGCATGGTCGTGGACCCATGTGAGACCCTTTTGAACGCTCTCGATTTTCAGGCCAATGAGGCAGTCGAAGAGCTCTTGGACAGGTTCTTCGAGAAGCGTGCCGCCGAAGGTTTCATTCAGGACATTTTGGGTCTTCACTACGAAGGTCTCAAGGGTGTCATTGACAGCCGTCGTACTGGTGTTGACCCAGCCAAAGATTTTTTTGTTCAGATCCGCGTCCATGGAGTCGATCGCCTTGTTCGCGTCGGTAGCCCATGCCGTGGAGGCATTTTGTAGAGAACTCACGACTTTATCGGCGTATGCGCCGACTTCGGTGCTCAACTCGGGGATGACTTTCTCGACACTTCTGAGAAGGATGTATTGACAGAGACAGGAGAGCAGTGCTGCGATGGCGATGGCGAGTACGAATAGAGCCGGCATGGAGGTGGCATATGCGACGGCCCAGCGCACTAGGATCTGGCGACGACTGTTGCTGAAGTGGCTTGCAGCCTTGATTCCTGTCGCGGCAGTGTATGGCCGAGATACGATGTAAACGACGTCCATAGGGTCGTGGGCTTCCCTGCGGACAAGTTGCGAGCGTTCCTTCATCTGGCGCCATCGGCGGATCTCCTGCCATGCGACGGGAACGCAGGCCAGAACAGCCGCAATTAGGATGACGGCAATGAAGATCTTTCGCGCGGTGAGTGCAATGTCAGTCACTCCTTGGAAGAAGCTGTTGATCCCGTCGTTGTCGTTGCAGAAGGAGAGTTGCTGCTTTGTTGGGACGGGCAGTGCGTTGCGATCGAAAGTGTAAGTTCCCAAAGAGCCATTTACCAGTTTCTTGACCTCTTCAAAGGGTAGTCGGATAACGTTCTCGGTGAAGTTCTGTACCTCATCGAATGACGGAATATCGTTGTTGAGTTTGTCGAGAGTGGTGTTGATTGAGGATGGGAGGGAGATATCATCCAAAGCACTGATGGAATCATTCAGATCCAACGTTGGCAGCGACGCGCCCAAAGCGCTCGCAGCCGTGTTGACTAGACTGGCGAACTCGTCAAGCGCGCTCTCGAAGGTGGTGATCGTCTTCTGAATATCCTTCGCCGCTGCCTTGATGGTAGTGTTCAAGAAGCCAGCAACGTCCTCGATCAGCGCGGTAGCAACATGGATACTGCTTCGCACCGCCATCGTGGCGAGACAGAGATAGGTCTGATACATGATCTTGATGATGAACAAGATGGTCTCCTCTACTCCCGTGATGGTTAGCATGAGCATCGAGTTCAGACCATTGACGGCATGCTCAATTCCCGAAGCAGTGAGCTCGTTGACGCCTGAGGCCAGATAGTGCGGCATGGAGGCCATTGCACTCCCCATGGACTCCACGGAGGTACACGCGGACAATGCCTCGCGCTTAGCTGAGGCCATGTCACTGCGAACATCTCCAATAGCAATCAAAACTCGAACAAGAACTAGGATCAGCAATATCGTCCAGCGATTGATCCAGACTTGTGAGAGTCGGGCGCGCAGGCCAAGATATGGCGTAAGGCCATCTGGATGCAAAGGAATGATTCGCCCATTGGAAGGATCGTGTGCTCCGTATGGAGGGAGTAAGGGAAAAACCGATCGCCCGGATCGCGAGAATATCATGATGTCGTTGTGGCAGTGAGTATGTTCAGTGAGTATGTTTGTGTTTCGACGTCCAGCGGGAAACAACAAGAAATGGCGATTAAGTAGTCGTAATCGAACTGCACAGCAGGAGGAGAGCAGGATAGTTCCACAGGATGGATTATGAAAGAAGTCAAGGATTGGCGTGGGGTTCTAACGAAACATGGTGTATAGTGGGGTTGTTAGGCAGTGAAGGAGGGAGATGTCAATCGAGAGAGGATGCAGCCTGGAGAACAGAAGAACAATTAGAGTAATAAATGTCAAGGCAGCCACCGCGGAAAATTGAGGAAAGAAGAGATCAAGATAGAAAGCGATGGATAGAAGGTCAAATAGAATTCCAAGCCCAATACTCAAACGTTATTTCTGATAGCTAGCGCCAGTCTATTCCATCTCCCATCTACAGAGAGGCTCCATTCGAGCCATTTAGCGACCCCGGCGACGTTGTCATGACCAGTCAGAGGGTGTCACGCCCACGCCGAAACAAAGGAAGGCATAAAAATAAAGCTGGTTGAGAACCGATCGGAGCCAGGATCTGTTTCATCCTGCATCAAAGCGCGTAGACACCTTGTCCAGTCCTGAAGAGTCCCAGGGTCAGTCAAATATAGATCCCGGAAGGCCCCATCGTCACCGTAGGCGCTTAGTGCCCGCTGCTGAAAGCCAATCACCGGTGAATCACGATCTCCGACTCGAACGAGAAGGGTCTTTCAGGACCCGCTTCGGTGTTTCCAATCTGGTGTCATGTGGCGCTGACAAAGAGGCTTTGTTTGGACAGCGCTGTCGGGTGGCCGTCTTTGTTCCGGGGTTGCTAAGGATTGAGGTGTCTCGAATAACACGAGAGCCCAAGATGGATAAGCACCGGCCCACAGGACCTCTCGGCCCAATCGACCGTCACCCTAACGGGCGCAGGTGGTTGGATGGCTCCGTCACGGTCCAGTGCCACTAGATCAAGGCCCACTTTTCAGTGTGACGAATCCCCTTCGGAGTTTCCCATAGAAGGTAAACGCTTCATACTTGGTAGGTTAGCAAAACAATGAGTTTGAGCTTCCAACTCTCTCAGGCAAAGGACATTAGCTAGAAGAAAATTCGTAGTTGAAGACCGCCATGATAAGAGCAAGGAGACTCCGTCCCTCCGTCCTGCAGCCTGTAGCCCGTAACCCGTAACCCGTAAAGAGGAGCTGCAACGACTTCGTTTCGGGCGCCTTTGCTGGACGGTTAAGCGCCCGGCAGAAACTTGGATCATCGTCAGCCCACGTTTGGTAGGCGGTGTGCTCGGACTTGGAATGCATCACGTGTCTCTCTTTACCCTAGTTGCGGCAACCTCCCAATATGCTTAATCTCCAAGATCAATGAACCGACAGACAGGGAGTCTATTTTAAGCCTAAGATCTGGATCCAAAAGGTGACTCCATCTGGGGAAATTTTTACATAATATGACCAATAAAAGTGGGTTTGTCCCAAGGATTGTGTATCCCCATTCCAACACACTTGATATATATTTCCAATGACCAACTGAGATCACGAAACAATCGGGTGAGAACGACAGTGCTCACATCATTGCACCACGGTAAAATAACCCAAGGGAACGAATCAAATTCACTGTCATCGTTTGATATCTCAGGAAACGATGGAAAGAATGTTTCCGTGCTTCTTAGGCATCAAGCGTTTGTGGTTCCCAACCTCGTGACCATTGGATTGCATGCGCGGTTTCACGTTGACTTTCCGAACATCAATGTAGATATCCGGATATCATCATTCACGATGGCCATGCAAAACTGAATATGTGATTCTGTGCTGTTCTTATTCGATTCCGGTAGTTTCCGTCCGTTCGGAAATCGATTGCTTAGTCCAAAACGTTCCAGAATATGCAGAAAAGGCAAACAAATTGTTTCCCAGATTTTCGGTCACGGAATGGTTAAGATGTCCATGATATGACTCTCGAAGGCATCGGCCTGAAATGTCGTGGCCATGGAGGTCAATTTTCTAGTGTCCATTTGTTATGCTTAGTCGTTCCCTGGCATGCGGCGTTTGCATCTTGAAGACGTCGAGAATCCAAAAGTAGGTTGAGGCAGCGACTGGTCCTGAAATGCTTAGTCGTCGATTGTTTGTCGATTGTGATTGTCGATGATGTCGTCGATGAGCCGCCCGGCTTCTGACGATGCGATGGCCTGTCTCCACGACGTGAAAACACAACCCCTCCATCTCTTCTTCTTTCTCCTCTTCACCCTTTTCCTCCTCATCACACCTAGCACGTTTCTTGACTTTCTTGACTTCTGGATAAAATTCCCCTTCTTCTTTGGAAGCAACGTCTGCCTGACTGAGGCTTCGAGAGTGACGTCTTGTCATCTCGCCTTCGCATGCAGCAGCATCAAAGGTACGTGCATGTCCTGTATGCGAGTCGAAGGCACCGGCTTCAATACTTGTTGAGCTTCGACCTCAACTGCGAGGTACTGCGCCTTCGTTGCCTTCATCTCGCCGCCGTCGTGCACAATACTTTCTTTGGCCGACTCTCCCTCGCGCCCTCCCGTCGAGACCACTGACGGTGATCCCCAACCTTTGGCGAGACTTCCCATCTCGGTCTTCACGGCCCACCGACACATATCATCTGTAGGTGGTCGAGTACTTGGCGCGTCTGAATAGTAGAGAATCATACTGACATGTGTTCGTCACAGCCTGTCTTCGGACCTCTTTACCTCGACTTCTCGTCCAAGTCTTCACCAACGCCCTTCCCGGCGAGAAAATCATCTTTCCCGTAAGTGTTATAGCCCATGAAACACATGTCTTGGTGTTGGCCAGTGTCTTGAAGTATCATTCCTTACCGTTGGTTCTGTCGAAGTTCAAAGATCCATATCAAAATGGGCATCCTAGGTAGTCGCCTCGTCGACCAGACAAACCAGCTTGACGGCGAATATGCCCTTGTTCTGAACTCCCAGAAGAACGTCCACCACTCGCCAGGACCTGAAGAAGCAGACAATGAATCTGCTGATAACTGGCTGGAGCTGCAAATCTTCCAGTGGAGGGCAGCATCCCCAACTTTTATCCTGAAGATGGCACCTGCATCTTCGGGCTCCAGCTTCAAGCAAGAGCTAGACCAGTCGACCGACGCACTTAAGTTCATCTTTCAACTACCGGCCGAGTACCCAGGAGGCCGAATTGGCCTTCTTAGTAACATCCAGGATCTGATTGCTGATGCCAACCCTCATGGCATAGTCGAAACACATCTCGGGAGACAGGTGATAACCAGAATCCTAACGAAAAAGAGATGGTCGAGTCAGCATGAGAAGGAGCAATCGTGGACCAATGCTCCGAAAGCATACAACTGCAAGGCCGGCTGGACGCAGTTCTCATCACAGTATTTCTTCAAGTTCCGAGTAAACACGGGGGAAGCGGCACTCCTGGTGGTGGATCGACATGCCGACAAGTACAAGTCTGCAGTGGGTCAGCGAAAAGTAAGTGAATGTTCTGCGAGGATGATAAAGGGGTCTGAAGCTTACTTGTCAAAGCCGCCACAGCAACAGCTGTATTTCATGCAGCTCATGACTCTACCTGTTCGGGTTTGGATGTTTGTTCAGCACCACCGACCCCCAGGCTCCGGGGATGAAAGTGAAGAGCATAAATCCCAATTTGACCAACCCCACGCCAAATCCTGCCACGACGCATCCCCTCTTGATACCGAAGAGAAGTCGTCAGCCGGTATTTTGGGTGAATTCATGGAGCTCATCAAAAACTCAACCCAGCAAGCTGCTTGTCGCACTGCTGACACGGACGAGCACGAGGAGCCGGTGACTGGAGAGCACACAAGCCTTGATAGTCAGAACCCGGAAAAGAGTGTGATCTCTTCTAGTGAAGGTGAGACAGAGAAGGACGGTGGAATGTCAGACACGTCGCTTAACCAGTCCCATGCGATTGCGTGCGAGAACTTGAGGATGGATACGAAGTATTTGACTAGGAGCCGGAGGAGGCAGGAGCAGAAGAAAAGGAAGAAAGCCTTCCTCAAGGCAGCAAGAAAAGCACACGCAGATGCACAGCCGCAAAACGACAAATCAAACGATGAACGGTCTACGTCCGCAGCGTGCGGCGCGGCTGGTCAAACGCCCGTTTTTGAGATTGTCGACCTCATTGAGGGCGACTTGCGATCCCCAACATCTGGCGGTGCATCCTTCTTGACTTCTCGTTCGCAAGACTCCTCGAGAATCACCACAAGTCCTGGCAATTTTCATAGTTCTCCCCTGGAACCCGATGCCGCCTTCACTCAGGAGTTTGATGAAGAAAGTGTTCCAGGTAAGAAACACTCAATTGCCCTATTGCATCTACAGCCCACACGTTGAGCCATTTAATATGAAGCTTACACAAGATATAGAGCACCAAATAAGCAGAGTCAAATCAGATTCCGAGACCGCATCGCTGCGCGGGGACTTTCGCAAGTCCAGTCAAGAAGGCAAGTACCGGATCTCCGCAACTCGTTTGTTAACCTGGGCTTTCCCACAGATATGACTATCTTGCTAACGCTCATAGTAGAAGTGATCTCTATGGAGACGATAAATGGTGCTCAGCGAGAGCCTGATGTGCAGCAGTCGTCTGTGACAGGTAAGTCATCTTGACACATCATTCGTTCCCCAACGATACTTGATAGTTCCTGACATGCATAGCGACCCCTAAGAAACCCAACTTCCATCCCCAGGTTATTTCTCCGCGTCTAGAGCGCGAATCTACCAGTCCGACTGCCAAGGTTGAGCCGGTATCTGGAGGCACATCTCCGTTGCTTGTTATCGGGGACAAGATGAAGAAGCGGGATTCCAAGGCGCCAAATAGCCGCCAAGGCTCCACGAAGATGGAAGATGAACTGGACGACGAACGCGTGGCAACAGTTCAAGTCGAAGCTCGTCAGCGAGAGCTTGTGTGGCAGGAGGTGTCTGGAATCACTGACCAGCCCATGTACCCTCACGCTGAACCCTTATCCGGCCCTGCGACTCCTCATCAGTCGCTAAAGAAAGCCAAGGGACAACGACGAGGCGGCGACATCACGACATTGGCCAAACCACTCCAGTCGATTGATTCCGGCCAAGCAGCCACTGCATCTGCAGAGGATCGATCGAGCGTCTCGAAATCATCGACTCCACGAACTACCAGCTGTCCACTGCCGGCCGCCAGCCCAGAATCAGCTGAAATCCAGCCATTGTCGGCTGCTGCCACGTCCGCAAGCCACCCACAGAAAGACAAACCCTTGTCGGCCACTACTCCGACCAGGAGGTCCAGATCACAATGTAAACCCGTGGCAACAGTTGGGAACCCGACTAAACGAGTCATACCTATCACGCCTGTACCGCCTGCCGCGACGCCTAGGCTCTCCCCAAAGGAGGTGGAAACAGCAGGATGTGCGCAAACAAGTGCATCACCCACCTTAGCTCACGTAGCCAAGACGCCCGGCTCCCATGCAGCGGTACCAGCAGGGCGCTGTCACTCCGGGGTAGACCCATCCAGAACACCCGGCCCAATGATGGCTGTGGTACCAGCGCGACCACGTGGGAGCTTTGTGCCATCTTCAACCGTGGCAGCTCGCTACGGTGCCTACAATCAAAGTCCTGCTCAAGGGCACCAAGCGTCCACCCCAGCTACAGAAGTCTCGGAAGGGAACCCTCCAACCAGCCCCTGCCATGTCCTGGACAATCCCCACCGACCTTGTGATCGAGATGCATATCCAACGCCTCCGACACAAACGACCACAAGCTCCTCTGAAGTGCTTGTCCAGGGTCTGAGATACAAACGAAAGGAAAAAGAGAGCGGCAAATTCTTCTGGGATTTGACATACCACTCCTTCCAGTGTGCAAAGGAGGGCTGTCTGAAGCAGTGCAACATGTGGGATTGTCAATCCGTTATATGTCCATTCTGTGGACCCTTCTCCCGGGTCATGTACTGCGGAAAGGAACATCTGCGCGAAGATGTCAAGACCCACTGGCTTTACTGCAGACAGGCAACGATGGAAGAACCTTGTGTGGATAGTTCGATAGCCCCGGATGTCAAAGCTGGACCTCCAGCGATCCCGTGCAAAAATGGCTGGGATAGCCCTGAGCGTCATCGGCAGGCAATGTGGTTCGCTTCGGCGCGTCAGGAAGGTGACTACTTCATCTTCGCCGACTGGGAAGACTCCATTGTTTCTGGTTTCCAGCCAGGTGAGTGGCAAGGGCGGTGCTCGCCTCGTGTTGCCCTGATCGTACGCTTTAACGATCCGGCTGAGAAGGATCGTTTCCGACGGATCCTTGCAGTGTGTCTGCTGGAATCAGTTGAGGTCCAGCCACTGGTTGCCTACATGTACCGTTTGCTACGGGACCGGCTCAAAACTACAAACCAGTGGTCATCTCAACTAGACTTGGAGATTAGGAACCAAATTTTCTGGGAGCTGGGAGTGTTTCTTGACCCGGAACTTCTGGGCCTGCGACACGCTTGCGAAACCGAATGGAATGGTCAAGCCCCACGCCATTGCCGGGACCCGACCTGCTTTTCTGAGCGGCGGAACCTCTTGGGTTCTTTGGGATGGGCTCAATGTTTCGAACGCCTTGTGAGCAACGAAGAGTGTAGTCACTGGCTTCTTCGAGCGCATCGAACTACCCATCCCACCGTCACAAATGTGTACAGTCGGACACGCGGAGAGGGATTCGACGACGTCGTCGAAGAGGAAAAACGACTCTTCCGGCGTGGCGAGGGTTGGGACGGGGCAGGGACAGGTCCCATGGAGATGGAGGGTCGAGAGGTCTGCTAAATTTCCTTCGACACCGGTGGTGCGGACGGCGTGGGCCGGTGGATATCTGAAAATCAAGCTACAAAACCGTCATGACGCCTCCCTGGCTGAGAATCCTTTTGCAGAGGCTTCCGAGCCAGTGGAGTGCACTTTTCTCTCTCAGGCTCTCATTACCATGCGGCGATCTAGTTGACATTTCTTTTTTGGGGTGATGGGAGGGTCGGGGCTCCCAACACTGCATTTTTGGCGTCAGCCCGTACGACATTCGGGTTGTGGTAGCCAACTCTCTCTGCAAGCGGCCTCTTTCTTTGTTACATACCGAACGCCCTCGATCCGGATTTCGTTGTTTGCTTCATTAGCGAGGTCCTCTCACCACTGTATCGCAACGGACAGCCACTCGCTGCACCGGGGCCCAGCAGTGTGGACCATATGAATTTTTGTTAGAGAATAGCCTTTCTCTTCCGGATCGTCAATAGCAAGTTCAATATCTGTTGATACGAAAATGCCTGTGCAATGAAATCGGCTGGATAGTAAAATGCTTGTCATCAATAAGGTAAACCTCGAATTAGACTTACAAATCAGTGAGTGGCATTGGTCGTAATCAACAAGATATCAGCACTACAGTCTAGGAAAGAGGTGTATTGAAAGTTGCAAGGACTTCAAAAGAATCGGCCGTCCAGTCTCTTTGTATTTTGGGAATCTATGGATGAGTACAATGAAATGAGGAGCTAATTTACTGGGTAATGTACTTCTTCAGGCCCCGCAGTCTCTCCTTCGCAGTCTCCAGAACATCGTCGTTCTTGCAGACAGCAAAGCGGAGATAGTCTTCGGCAATATGGGCATTGGCGTCGGTATAGAACTCCGTGGGCGGGATGGCAGCGACGCCAACCTCGTGGATCAGGAACCAACAGAGCTTGAAATCACGAGGGCGGCTCGCCACATGGGGTGGGAAGGGATAGTCGGCTGGCAATTGGACCGAGGCCATGTTGGCCAGCACGAAGTATCCACCTTCGGGCTCGGAGTACTGAGGGGACATGATTAGATTAGGTGCAACATAACGCAGGGCATTTGCATGGATGCAATGTTCAACATACCGGGATACCGAGCTCATCAAAGACCTCGCAGAACAGCTTCATCTTCTGCTGCATTTCATTTCGGCTCTCATCCCAGAAGCCAACCTTGTCTGCCTGCTCAAAGGCCACGGCAGCAGCTTCCTGGAGGGGAGACACACTGCTGTAGCAAATTCGGGTGTGTGCACCGGCAACGTACTTGATCAGATGCTCTGGTCCAATCAGGTATCCCACGCGCCAGCCAGTGGCATAGAAGGCCTTACCAGCCGAGCCCACGGTGATAGTACGTTCATACAACTCAGGGGACAAGGTGGCAATGCGGGTAAACGGAACGTAGAAGAGACGGTCGTAAACTTCATCAGAAAGGATAATGAGGTTGTGCTTGACACAGAGGTCGCCAATACGCTGGAGCTCCTCCTTGGAAAAGACCTTGCCAACGGGGTTGTGGCTGTACAGGTGGTTAGCACGTCACAGATCGGGAAAGATGATAGCTTGGGCTTACGGAGAGTTCAAAACCTAGCATCAAAACGTTAATAACAGATAGTATATAATAAAATTATGACGAGGAACTTACAATCATCTTGGTCTTGGAGTTGATGGTGTTCTCAAGCTCCTGGAAATCAACTGTCCATTCCGATGCAGGAGAGGTTCTGGTCGCACCATCCTTAGGAGGGTGCAGAGGCACATATCGGATGGTGCCTCCGGGCATCTCAATATTGCTGATATACCTTTTCAATGCGTCAGCTATCAGACGCCGGGAGCGGGCTGGGACCTGATGTAGAGTGGATCTTACTGGTCGAAGAAGGGCTCGAAAATAATGACCTCGTCACCGGGCTCAATGAAACCCATGAAAGCACTCAACATGCCTTGATTATATTCCCTCGATCAGTTCTGGCCGTTCGACACCTCCTGGCTCGGAATCACTCACCCTCATTTGCGCCGGTGGTGATTGTGACTTCGGTCTCGGGGTCCAAGGTTCGGCCAAAGGACGCCGAGTATGCTTCCGCAATGGCCTTCTTCAGACGAGGACGACCCTGGAGGATGATGAGCTACAACTCCAAATGAACTTGCTGTATATCCAACGCCCTCTTACCTTGGTCGGGGAGTATTGGTTGCATTCCACACGGTTCAGGGCCTCCTTTGCAGCATCAATTGCGAACTTGGGGGGATTATAGCCACTGCGCAATGCAGATGATAAGTGAGAGATTGTCCTTCAAAAGTAACCCCGCAGCCAGTAGATTCCAATGACGACTCACAAGAAACCTTGGCCCATGTTCACAATCGGCTGCACGGGCGAAGCCGCAGCGGCCTCGTTGACGATCGACCTATTCCCCTTGATCAGAGCTCCTTCCTAACACGTATTCGCTAGGGCTAGCTAATGCGCCGCACCAGACATCCTGCCGCTGACCAGCGACTCTCTTTGCCGGCCGAAAAGGGTCGGGCCGCGAAGCTGTTGCGGACATTGTTTTTGCGCCGAGACCAGGAAGGCGGGGTAGCACCGAGGGGACGAGGGGCGCGGGCAATCTGGAAGCAGAGGGCTTGGATCGGACGAGCGTGGCGAGAAGAGACGGGCGACCAACAATCATGAGGAAGGAAGTGTGGAGGGACAATGAGGAGAAATTGCGGAGTCACAGTATCATCCAGGGCTCGCAAATGGCGTGCTTCCCCTCCCCGAGCTCGGGAAGCCCGTTGAAGCGACATTCTTCATCGAGTACAACAGCCAATGTTGGCTTACAGAATCAAGCATGATTGGTACTTTCAACAAAGGCATTGTAACAAGTCTATACAGTTTATAGTTTCTTTTCCAACCCAATTCTTTTTGGTCTTATAGCTCTGCATGCAGAACCAGCAAAAACCAACCATGTTGGCAAGGCACCAAGGCCGCTATTTCTCGGAGCTTTTGCCGATGTCCGATTACCTCAGCAGCTATCGCGCTCGACGCGTCTCCGCTATTAACCAGCTGCGTCTGCGTAGCGGTCAATGTAGGTAGGTGACAATTCTTTCTCTGGGGTTCAAATCGCCATGGTACTCTGTCCAATTTGTGAGAAGTCTGTGTCACAGCTCAAAATCAACGACCACATTGATTCGGGCTGTCAAATCTTTGTGGAAGAGCCCTCGTCTTCCCCGAGCGATCAACCGTCATCTCAGAGAGGACCGGTTCCCAGCATCTTCCAGCCACAATCCGCACGAAAGGCCCAGAGCCAGTTCAGCCAGACCAAAGAGTCCCCTTCACGTTCGAGTATAGCTACTCCACGACCGGTCAATGGCAAACGATCCTTGGCACAAGATTCGCCGCTGCCCCAAGAACACAATGGCGTGAAACAATCATATGGAGAGGCAGGAGAGCCACAAGCCAAGCGGCCAAAGGTCAATGCATTCCAGAGGGCAGCCCCGCTGGCAGAACGAATGCGCCCAAAGACTCTGGATGAAGTCTGTGGTCAGGAGCTGGTCGGCGAGAATGGGGTCCTCCGAGGCCTCATTGAACAGGATCGGGTGCCCAGCATGATTCTGTGGGGGAGTGCCGGAACAGGAAAGACAACCATAGCCCGTGTGATTGCCTCGATGGTTGGAAGTCGATTCGTGGAGATCAACAGTACTAGCTCCGGTGTCGCAGAGTGCAAGAAGATCTTCGCCGAGGCTCGCAGTGAACTCGGCCTCACCGGGAGAAAAACGATCATCTTCTGTGATGAAATCCATCGGTTCTCCAAATCACAGCAAGACGTGTTCCTAGGCCCCGTGGAAAGTGGTCAGGTCACTTTGATTGGTGCAACGACGGAGAACCCATCCTTCAAGGTTCAAAATGCATTGCTTTCGCGGTGCAGGACATTTACCCTGTCCAAACTGACAGATGAGGACATTGTTTCCATTCTGCAGCGAGCACTACGAATTGAAGGCCCAAACTATTCTCCCTCGGAATTGGTCGATGATGAGCTGATCAAATATCTCGCTCGATTCGCTGATGGCGACGCTCGAACCTCACTCAACCTACTCGAACTTGCCATGGACTTGTCGAAACGACCGGGTATTACTACACAGGACATCAAGCAAGCTCTGACCAAAACCCTTGTGTATGACCGTGCTGGTGATCAACATTATGATACGATATCAGCGTTCCACAAATCCATTCGAGGCAGTGACCCGGACGCGGCACTATATTATCTTTCGCGCATGATCCAGTCCGGGGAGGACCCTCTTTACATTGCTCGGAGACTGATAGTTGTTGCTTCAGAGGACATTGGTTTGGCCGATAACAGCATGTTGACCCTGGCAATCTCCACCCACTCCGCGGTGGAAAAGATCGGCCTGCCAGAAGCCCGCATCAACCTGGCCCATGCAACGGTGGCAATGGCCTTGTCAAAGAAGAGTACAAGGGCATACCGAGGTCTGAACAGCGCATTTGCTGCATTAAACGAACCTGGTGTTGCAGGGCTGCCTATTCCCATTCATTTGCGAAATGCTCCCACCAAACTAATGAAAGAGCTCGGCTACGGCAAGGAGTACAAGTACAACCCGAATTATCTCGATGGTGAAGTGCAGCAAGACTACCTCCCGGAGAAACTTATAGGACGCACCTTTCTAGAGGATTTGGACCTGGGCACGCGAAGGGATCCCGATTTGCAAAGCTCAAAAAAGTCTCCATTTTAACAAATTCACAACCATCGAAGAGACGGTCAGAATGTTGCCACTGACCTCAGAGGAGAATTACAATACGACCGTCTGCCGTCACAAGCCTTCTAGCTGCTCTCTGGCTAATAGACGAGTTGACTACTAAGCTGGACTGGGCAGGAAGGGGAAACCGTACTTGTCCTTTTCAAGCGATGGTTTCCCCGTGGGCAACCATAACTCACCCTCTGTTACCTAAGCGGGAAGGTAGGGCTGTTCCAGCACTTCCTACAGCATCGAGTCATCTCGATTCATTCTCAAGCCAAGACCGACGCTACCTTTCTTCATCCTACTACTTTATATCTATCAACATATCCATATGCGTGCATCACACCTGGGGACTCAGAACACGATGTACCCGGGCAGGAAACCTGTGTCCAGGCCTGACGAGTCTGTGATACAGGATGTCAATGAAAGACGACTACCAACTCCTGTCAATCATTTGAACACTTTTCGACCTGTGCTTTCGGTCCCTCCCAGCTCATGGACCCGTCAGCCAACGATTCTTTGCCCAGAGGTTTCTTCGGGGCCAATACCAGTACCAGCGAGTCATGGTCATTTGAACTATGCTCAGCCTCCAGCCTCTGGGCTCTCTACTTCAGGGGCACTTTCCACTGGAATTTCACACACCCGGGGCTCTGCTGAGTCGACGCCTGTATCAGCATCTCAGCAGAACTTGGACCCTAGCCAGCCCCGTGCTTCGGGACTACATGCTTCGTGGGCTCTAGGAATGCCCTTCGCCTGTGGCTCAGTCCGTGCGGTTCCTCAATACACGCTGAGCAGTCGGTCGAACTCAGGCCAACCGTGGACCCCGGCAGCATCCACGCCATGGGCCCTTCCTACAGAAGCTACAGAAGCGCCCCGCGTGCATGCTGGTTCTGAGTCTGTATCGCAACCCGCGTTTGACTATTCCCATCATACTCTTTCACAACCCAACCGCATGTCCCAGACCCCACGGGCCCTTAGACAAAAAGTGCAGAAATCTTCTTCCCCGGCAAGAGCTTTTCGGCGTCAAACCTCGTTGACAAGTTCTTCCAACACAAGTCCGTACATCTCGAGTTTTCATGACGTGAGCATGGATGAACACTTCCCGTCGCACGTCGACCGAGCCTATCGCGACGGAGGGACCCACGACCGAGTAACCTTCAGAGCGAGGTCGTCGTCCCCGAATATGCAGCTTAACGTCATTCTGGAAGATCCTCAAAGTGGACAACTGTATCGTGAGAAAAGAGTCCGTACTCGAGAGGAGCTCGACAGCCAGAAAGAAGGCATGCGAGTATTGAAGGACAACGGGGGCGCCTGTACAGCTTGCTACAAGAGTAAGAAACGGTGTGGACCTGGTGACCCTTGTCCTCCGTGTGCTGCACGCGGTCGCAAGTGCGTTAGACTCAATCGAGACGATGGTGAGACTGTGTCTACCGGTGGCCAGCCTGTGTCTGCATCTACTCAACCTGTACCTACATCTTCTCAATATGTCTCGACATCTCCTCAATTTTCCTCTTCGCCTACTCAGCCTGTCTCTGCACCTCCCACCCCATCTCCCCTTCTCTGAAAGTTTGACACACTAACGTTGGTGCAGAATACTCTTATCAATCCTCCCTGTCTGCCGGAGAGCACGCAGCCCATACCGGCGGAACCAGCCCCTAATGCAGACCTGCAATCTTTGGACCCGGAACCACCCGAAGATTATTTCGATCCATTGTTCATTGATTCTTGGGAGACCGGCATGCTTTGCATTGACAGCGCCTACGACAACTCCGGACATACATGGGTTGGAAGCGATGGGGGTCATCTCACGATCTGAAGGTGCGCTCCACATGCATTGCCTGGGCTCAGGTCCTTATGCGCAACAGAACATCTACCTGATGTCCGGATGAATGCCTTCATCATGTTTATCGGAGAAGTGCGCTTGATATATTCTCATTTGAGAACAGGCGTGCGAGGACATTATTTTTCGTACCAAGAGCGCCTTTGTTTACTTTCGTCTCGGGTTGGGTAGATGTCTACGCATCGCTCAGCACATGTCTACTGTCCCACTGTCCTTGTTATTAGCTAAATTTTCAAATACCCCACGCGCAATTGCTTTTCGAAAATGGAATGGAATCAATGTCAATCCAGAATTACAGTAATCTCGCGAGAATAGGAGAAAAGCATCATTAATTAGAACGAGCACGAGAAAAAGAGGTGTCACTACTCCGCAATCCGTGGCTCCAAACGGTGGCTGATGTCCGCCCGCGTCGGCGCGTCTCAAGAATCCTCTTCTCTTCTCCACCGCCAAACACCATCCCAATCCACACCTCCACACCACATCGGGCCACGAGCCCTGATTTCTTCAAACCTACATCGATTGACATCTGCCAACTGAAAGATCCATCCGATTGACTTGGACTCCCACATTGCGATCCCCGCACAAGTCACCCACCATGGCCTCCGGCCAACCATTCGCGTCGCGCTCCTACGCGGGCGCAAAGATGCCCGACCGCTCTGTCAACACAAACGCCATGCCCTTCAGCGCCTCATCCTTCTCGAGGCATCGTGGCCTGGGCAATACGGCCCCTGCAGACTTTGGCGGACCCGAAGGACCTAAACAAACGCAGCAGCCAACATCCGCGCCTGCAGCGACGCAGTCCCATGGCCCGGGACAGGATGCGAACCCGTTGAGTCGGTTGACTGAGGAGCAGAGGGAAGAGATTAATGAAGCGGTAAGGATCAAGCCCCATGCATCCCCCCTTGTCTCTGCATCTACAGTCCCTCCGAGAAGCAGACGGACTCGCAATGACTGCCAATACCTACCCAACGAGCAAAAGCCCCGAAATCAAATCGAACGGAGGAATATCAAAAAGAACAAAGACAGCTAATCCACTACACGTACATCTAGTTCACCCTCTTCGACCTCGACCGCGACCGCCACCTAGACTACCACGAACTCCGCGTCGCCTTCCGCGCCCTAGGCTTCACCCTCTCAAAACAAGAACTAATTTCCCTCCTAACAACCTACGGCGTCCCTCGCCCCCAAGTCCAACAACAACAGTCCGCCACCAACCCTCAACAACAACCAAAGCTCAACACGGCTTCAAACCCGCAACATCCCTCCAACCTCCTTATGCCTCTATCCTCCTTCCAAGCCGTCACGGCCCTGAAGATCCTGGAGCGAGACCCGCGGGACGAGATCCTCCGCGCATTCGAGTTATTCGATGAGGGCGGAAAGGGTTTTATTGACTTGGAGGATTTGAGACGCGTGGCGAGGGAGTTAGGGGAGACTGGGTTGGAGGAGGAGGAGTTGAGGGCTATGATTGAGGAGTTTGATCTTGAGGGGGTTGGGGGTGTTACCAGGGAGGCTTTTGTGGGGATTTGTTGGCAGTGATCGTAATCCCCCTGGAGCACTCTACTCCTGAATAAAGGAGTAGAGTTCGTGTTGTGCCTTGCATGAGGGGGTTTTTGGTGTTGGGTTTTATATCTACTTTGTTAGGGGTCTTTCCCTATTCTGATGTTTCTATTTGGGTGTTTGAATTTCATCAAGTTTCTTGTTTGAAGTGATATTGCCGTGTGTAGATACCGTCCATTGTTCTTTTCGACCGTTCGACTACGGGCGAACAACAGAGAGCATGAAATCTCTGAGGTGCTATGGACGATGTAGTTCGTACGAGCAGGTGAATTCAGCCATAGCGGCGTCCATTCCTCTCGAAATCCAGATACAGAAAACAGAAGAAGAGGCAAAGTAGCATTGATAAGGAAACAGACAAGAGGTTTACACCTGGTATATACCAAGCAGCAACCGGATTCATTTGCACAGATGACTTCCAATATTGACGCCGAAAGAAGGAAACAAAACTATAAACCCAAAGCCAACCCTCAAGCTTAAAACCCAATGAATGTAACCCGTAACCGAGAGCACGCGCAATGCATGAAAGAACCAAGATCCCAAGTATACCCAAACCAACAGTTAAAAGAAAGAGACGTACGGGAAAGAATGAATCGTCATTAAGCGTACCGAGGCGGAGGCACGTCGGGATATCCAGCGTTTTGATAGCCGGCGTTTTGATAGCCATACCACTGGTTCATGGGCGGACCATGCGGAGGTCCAGGAGGTGGTCCAGGAGGTGGTCCTGGAGGTCCTGGAGGTCCTGGAGGTCCTGGAGGAGGTCCTCGACCAGGCATTGGGCCGGCATAACGGCCCATTACAGGTGTAGGGCGGATATTCTTGGCCATGCGACGCCTTGCCCGGGCCATACGGCATCGGTTAATGAGACAGTACAGCAGGAAGATGGCGATAAGACTGCCCACACCGACGCAGAGGCCAATAACGAGATTTTTATGGTCGCGAATCCAGCCGCCCACAGACGAGCCCTTGCACTGGCCGCTGTAGCATTTACCACCGGCGTCGCAGGGGGTACCGTCCAGGAAGTTCTGGGATAGTTCAATGCAGGTACCGGCGGGATATCCCATGAGGGAGTGGCGTGTACCACAAACCAGGCTGCAGGATGGGTCTATCGTATTTTCGCAAGCCCAGGTATCATTTGTATTGAGGAGGGAGCCCATTACGGTGCGACACTGATAGTCACGACTCGTGCACTGGCCGCTGGCACAGGTGAGGCCACTTCCACACGAGGATCCGTCGTCCTTGTAACTGTCACTAGGACATGCGCTGGAGTTTCCAGAGCAGGTCTCGGCAATGTCACAGGCACCCGTACTCGCACGGCAGACCGTGTTCGCGGGTGTAAACTGGCATTGAGTGCAGCAGTTGTCGTTGGAGTCGTCACAAACGGCATTGTTCTTGTACTTGCATGTCGTGGCATCACAGCAAGCATTGTCGCCGCAGTTTTCCTCGCCGCCACAGTCACAGTCTTCACCAGCCTCGACGATGCCATTGCCACACTTGCTGCCGCTAATGGTCACGACGCCGCGATTGTCCGAGAGACAGGTCGACTTGATACTATTGCGACCAATGGCAGAGCAGATGTTGCCGACGGTGCATGGAGAAAAGTTTGTCATGCTCGACTCTGAGTACGGGTTCATGATGTACTTGGCATTCGCATTGCAAGTACTTGCTGATAGTGGGCAGCACTGGGAAGAGTCTTGCAGGTCTTGCGCACAAGTATCTGAATCGCAATCGTGTACTGCCCCAAAGGTGTGACCGGTCTCGTGGGCGAAAATCTGCCATGTAGAGCCTTGATTGCCGACCACGACGTTTGCGCCCGACACTGAATTCTCTCCCGAGCTGACCAGGTCGGAGCTGCACAGACGACCCATCCAGGAGACGCCAACCTCCTGGCCAGTAGGGCAGCCGGTCATCAACGTCCAGTAAGCGTTGCTGTCTGCATTACTAGAGCGCCATTTGGAGAATTCGTTCAATCGCCAAGTGATGTTTCCACCACTGCAGCCAATATTCCAGGGGAGAGCCGAAGTGGCAGTCGTGGGGCAAGATTGATCATTCACAGTAAGGTTGCGCAACCCGATAGAGATATTGAACGAATCTTCGTACAAACTCGATGCCGTATTGACCAGGTTAATGACCCAATCCTTTGCCGCGGCCGTCGGGGTCGAGTTGGACTTGAAATAGTTGGTCATTTCACAGTCTGTCGCAACACCAATCAGAGCAACCTTCTTGGTCTTGGGGCATCCCGACGTATCGCCGACCGTATTCTTCAAATTCACACCACCCGAATTACCAGACACTCCACCCACATCGTTGGATTGGCGCTTACTCAGTCCAAACAAAGAATTCAAAGAGGTAACGCCCCATTGACCCTCCGACTGATCGAGACCAAAGGGAAAGATGGAGTTGGTCAAATCAGCATTATAGTCGAGCTTGTGCGCCGAGCAACCTGTGGAATCATCCAGCGACCGCTTGAGTTCGGTGTGGTGTCGAATCATATCGCTGTCCCGGTAGACAATCATGTAGTCGCCGCTTCGGTCCTCGATATCGGTATCGATAGGGCGCTTTTTGGCGAGATATGTCGACTGCAGCTCGATATGGTGTTTGTTATGGTCGACACTAAATGCACCCTCAAACAGTGGCTCGGGGCCGTCCTTTCTTACGGTGATCCGAGCCCAGCCTGCCGGAGTCCAACGTCCCTTGCCCGAGCCGATCAGGGCGCGACCGCGAAAGACTTTGTGTTCGTGTCGCTGAATGGGTTCGCCTTCCCAGAGACCATCGGCACCAATGTATTGGACGTAGGCATCGTCGGCGAGAATATCGTTGTTCGGCTCGAGCTCCAGCTTGATCCGCTGTCCATCGCGGTGTAGCTCGAAGGTAAGATCGAAATGTGATAGGTGGTCTATTTGGTGGTTTTGGGTACGAATCAGAGCATTATCGATAGGCGTAGTCTGGCGGATGGCCTCTGACGCTTGAGATCGCGCTGGGAAAGAGAAGGGAGTCAGCAATCAGTACAGCGTGATCGCCGTGCGGGTGCAAGACGAGACACACCTTGAACGAGTGTGAACAGAGCGGAAACTGCGCCAATAACGGGCAGTAGGCTCCGTGGGAACCTCATTGTCGGGCAATGCTGGGTTGCGAGAGGAAACAACTCGGCGGCTGCGAGGAGATAGTAACGGGGGCTCAGCCTCTCGGGGTCGGCGGGGAGATTCCAGGGTTTCCAGGGTCCAGCCAGGCAACCATTGGGGAACGAAAAGACGATGCAGGGCTCACAGGGTCCACCCGGAGATCGGCGGAGATTAGCAATCAATAAGGAGTAATCCACATAGAATCAAGAGCAAAACAATCGGGCGAGTCTGGAGCAGATGCATAGATGTGAGAACGAAGAACAAGGAACAAGGCGATCAAGGAAGATGAGACTTGGACAGCCAAGCGCCCTGCCAGACCCAAGCGGAGCCCCCAAGAGTCCAAGACTGTCGCCAAGCGCGACGCATGCCAATCGGCCAACGAGGCGGGGACTTGGCAGACTGAAATATCACATTTGGCATAATTAATGATGGCGATAGTTAGCTAATAAATGAATAAATTCATAAATATATGATTAGTAAGATAGTATTTGGCCAGTGAGATTGATATTAAATATGTTCCTATTCTTGTCGTTGTCATCGTTATGTTGATGTCCATGCTCCGTACAAGGAGATCTACCTCCCAGACAAGAAGCTCTGACTTCCAAAGTATACTTCCTACATCCATCCTTCTTTCCATTTCTCCTCCTCCTCCTCCTTCAAACAGCCTCGTTCTCCACCGCATGAAATGTCTCATGGGCCAACAGAGCAAAATGCGGGATGGCAGCTCCACAAATCGAACATTCGACATTCGCCAGACTCCCTCGCCACAATCCCTCGGACTCGTCGTCTTCTTGCCATTCCCCGTCCTCCCGATCTGAAACCACTGCACAACCACCAGGCTGCTGCATTTCTTGTTCGCGCAAAGGGTCTTGGCCTTGGTTTTCATTGGTATGATGATCCCTGTCATCTGGCTCGCTATTCCCTGGTTCTGGCTCATGTATCCTCCAGTCCCGCAGCACAGCCTCTTGCTGACGGAACATCTTCCCAATGTCTCGCCCACTGCTCTGCTTCTGCTCCCCAGCGCTCTCCACTAGATTAGTGACGGCAATATTCATCAGTTGCAGGTCCCACCCGGACTTTTCGGGGTGGAGTTTGCGGAACATGGACATTGCATGCTCGTGGACGAGCCGCTCGGCGATTGCGTCGATGCTCTCATCTACATGGAAGACAAAGCTCGGCAGTGGCGCCGACCGGGAAATGCGATTCCAATTGTACGACCGTGCCCCGTCCGTCTCTGGGGGGTTCCGTGGGCGAGTTGACAGGCGCAAGGTGCGTGGGTGGGCCAGCCACCGGGGCTGAGGCGCAGTGCTGTCAGTCTTGTCGAGCAGATCGGCCCTCATTCGTCGGATCAAACTCCTCGCCAGTACTTCTAGCTCGCGTCGGACATTTTCAATCGTGTCAAGCCGACCACGACCGTAGGTATCCTCGATACTGATCTGGGTGGGTAAGTCGCGTGCTTCGAGCACGTCCGTGTTGTCGACTCCGTGCAGGATGCTCCAGACCTTCATCCCGATTCCCTTTGGTGCACCGGGTCCGCCGAGGGTCTTTTCTAGAGTCGGCGAATCCATTCCAGGGAAGAGTCGGACATCTCGAACGGTCAGTTTTTCATCCCCAGTGGTCTGGCCTGTCACCTTGAGTCTGAGCTTCTGCGCAAGCCGTGATCCGATACCCGGAATCTTTCGAATCTCGTGGGCATCCATGAATTTGGTGACATTGCTGTCTGGGGTATTGGAGTCGTTTGGCGTCTCGTAAGGTGAAAGGAGCGTAGTCTGGTGGTTTGGTTTGTGTACCGCGCCAACCAACTTGGCGAGCAGCTTTGACGTTGAAACGCCTCCAGTGGCCGTGAAACCCTTCTCATGCTCCATTCGGCTTCGTAGATACCCAATGAGATGGGAACCCAGGAGCAGCCTCATGTCCAGCGATGAGATCTCTGGCGGCACCACAGTCCCATCTTGCATGGGCGGATAAGTAGCCCCCAAAAATCGAGTAGAATCGTAAACGAACCCAACAGTGGGATCCTTCCGATCCAAATGAAAGAAAGAAGTCGCCAAGTCATTTGAATTTAGCAATTGAACGTTGTAATCAACCATCTCCGTAACATCCATTGAGAGCTCATCAAAGCCCAACCTCTCCACGCGCCCGCCCCAAATGAAGCCGCGCATGAACGAGTACAGATCCTTAGATGCATCGCGAAACTTGGTCAGGTCCTCGCCTAGAACGATGACCACGTCGGGACAGATGCGTTTAGCATCCTTGATGAGCTGGAGCTTGTGCAGACCACGCCGCCGCGCCTCGTAGTTGCACGTCACTACGATTTGTTTCTGCTGGACTGCCAGAGGCAGCGACTTGAGAGCTGGCTGCTCTACTTCGAATACTGAGGCATAGAAACAATCATAGTCCTAAAATTCATGCATTAGCGGCGAGGGGAAGCTCATGGTGAGCTGGGGGCTTTGAGGACACTCTACCAGATGGAGGATGACTCGACGATCGTTACGCGTCGGTACTGCAGCCATCGACTCTGCGCCTGTCCAGCCTTCTCCACGGGTACCAGGGTATTGGGTTTAGGTGCTGGTGCTGGTTGAATAATATGCAACTATGACAGCTTCTAGATGCTGACCGTATCAATGGTGGCGCCAAGAACTCAAAAGCTAACGAGCTAATCCCCTTCGGGACCGCCACTATATACGGCGGACTATAGAGGGGAGAGGCCATAACCCTGAATTTCTTCAAGGACCATTCACCGCTTTTCTTCCGGCCTAAGTACATTTTCATACTTACTACATCACTAGGAGATCAAAGTAAAGATTAACTAGGAAACGGTCTAGGAGACCCTCTAGGAGACCGTCTAGGAGACCGTCTGGGAAACCGTCTCGGAAACCGTCTCGGAAACCGTCTCGGAAGCTATCTAGGAAACTATTAAAATTATTCAGGAAACTACATAGAAGTTTATTCCTATAGATCACCGTCTTAAATAGGTTAACTTAGGGACCACTTCTATAGTATTACCGCCAAGGAGTCAATTATAATAAGGGAAAGGATGCCCAAAAATGAGATTCTGCCGATTCTTCACTTACGGACAAAGGATTATGGCTTTCTCCTCCCTATGGTCCGCGGTACACTTATGGTAACTTCCTTATTCTACTCTTTACAACCTCCATTTCCTCCCCTGCACCTAACCCGCCTCGGCCGCAGCACCTTGAAACGGACATATTCTCATCAGCGGTGCCAGCTGGCCGAAACCCTCTCGATACCCTTCGCTTTGACATCAGCTTACTCCGACGTAAGGCTTTATTTTCATTGAATGCGATGAACTTAATCCCGGCAGCTGCTTCATCCGGCTAAATGTGATTGGCTTGAGCTTCAACACGAAGTACTCCGTCACGCAGATTCCAAACCTCGAAATATCCTGGTCTTCAAACGGAACGGTTCGTTAACACAGATTTGGGGGATCACTAATTATGGCGTATTCCGAGTGGGAAGACGGAGTACATCGAGGGAGGCAAGGCATGAATCTGGCCTATCCACCGCCCAGTATTTGATCACCGCTGCTGTTGGGGATATATATCAAGGATGGCATTAACGACACGACAGAAAAGTTCATGGCACGAAAAGGTTAGTTCAAATGAGGAAACCCCTTTTAATATAAAAGGCTATATTCGAAATTCACAAAATACCTACCGAGTCATTATGTATAATTCACATTAATCCTTCTCGTTAATATCTTTAGCGATTGTGACTGGATCGGAGGATTAAAAGGTGCTTTATTGGACTTCGGTCTAACTCTAGCTAAGAAGGAAGGATCCTTACGTGATCTAACTGCGCTACGGGGGCTTTAAGGGTAACAGCGATTGTATATATGACCTCTTTCTATAATAGACCAATTTATTATTCTACTTCCCTCCTACTATCACCCTTTTTTACGGTTTTTTCTACAGTCTTTTTAATGGTCTTTTCTAAGATATAGGCTTATACATATGGAAGGACTCTACTAGTATTTTGTAAATCTTGAATGTAGAATTCTGTATTGAAGTGGGGGCACTCCTCATTAGGACCAACCTTGTCGTGCCATGAAAATTTCCTTCGTGTCGTTGATATCACCCTATATCAAGCACCAGAGGCACATGCCGGACGAAGAAGCGATATTTGGTCTTTCGGATGCATTCTAGTCTGGATCATTGCTTGGGCCTTAATCACTAGCGTCACCAAAAGTGATTCCGTGTTTACAGCGGGCATGTTGTTGCATGATTTAGTAGAACGTATTTGATACGATTGGCGACGCCGGAATCATCAAAGCCAAGAAGACGAACAAGAGCCACACTTCATGATCATTGTAGCCTGAGGTCGGTGCCAATTTCGAAGTGAATAATCACACCAATTCGGCCTTTCATACACGCTATCGAGAGTGGCAGTGCCGATAAGATCAATGTCTCCTAGAAGTACAAGCAGAGTTCGTTTTCCTACGACGAGCAGATGTTAGCTCTTGCCCAGGGACGATAATGGGGACAAGTGAGGCAAATCAACTCACCGCGCACACGTAATGGACACTTCTACACTCAAGGTGAGTGGGATGGGGCCAGCACCAATAGAGTAACAGAAGACAAAGAATGCGATGCTGAAGGTTGATAGTAAAGCGAGTCGAGTGCTCTGATTGGTCATTGTGAAGAATCCAGCGACAGCAGCTAGGCTTATCAGCATCCAGGACAATGAGACAGGCAGTAGGGGCCGACGTCCACACGAGTCAATAAAATGGTAAGCTGGTGAAGTGAAAATAAAGTAGGCGAGGCCAGAGCCCTCCCGAAGTCAGTCGCCTTCTTGTCTGGCGTTTGCCTATGTCCACATAGCTGCAGTGATACAATCACGATCAACGCCCCGTGCACCGTGCACGCCCTTCGAGTGTGCGAATTCGTAAAGAGGTGCGACATGCTTCTGAAGAAATCGCCCTGACTGATCCATCTTTGGTGAACGTAGCAATATTTAACCACTGCGCTTCTTGTGGCTTCCATACCTTGATAGCTTCGGCCTGATGCTGGACATGGATGTCGCACTTTGGGGTCAGGGGAGCTGAAATATACCCGACCGTCCAGCCACCGATTTAGAACGAGTCTCGACACGATTTAAAACAATTCATCAAAAGAAAGGTGGAAGAACCCATAGATTTCTTGAGTCTTCGGCCGATTTTAGGCAGTTGTTTATCGGAAGTTCGAGTTGAAGGCTTCTTGGAGAGTAATCACAGAGAATTTCCATGGGTTCAAGGTCCGGCGGCCAACGTGCAGCGTCTTTACCATAACATCACCCAACTTTCCCTCTGGCCCCCAGCACAATTCCACAGCCCCTCCATCTTCGCCCTTCCACATCTCACCAAGTGGCCCTGGAAGACACAAACGCCGTCTACTTGGTTAAAATATTTCGTGGCCATCCAATATCATGTCGCTTCCCTTGGGTTTTCAGTCTGCGTCGGGCCAGGAGTTATGTTTACTCTCCACACCGGACTCGCGCGGCCTGGGATCTCGAGCAGTCTTGAAGAACGAGGTTCCAACACCACCTGTACCTCCTCGAGATGAGCTTCTACCAGTGACTTCATCACCATCACAGCACTCTACAACTTTTGCGGAATCTCCATTTCGAGTTGATCGCCCAGGTCGCTGCTATCTGCCGCCAGCCATGACAGATCTCAAGCTAGCCATGGACTACTTTTCAGTGCCGATGACGTCCTTTCGCTACTTCGTTGCCCCAGAATTGATTTCATCGCCCGGGCTGTTTCCAATATTCATGGATTTACCGCCAGAAATCCATCGAATCATCTTTCGCTTTTGCGACACCCCTACGCTGTTTCATCTCATACACACGTCCTCCTACACCCGACAAGCTTGTTTAGATCTGTTCTGGCAGTTCCGCGACGATAATACTTGGTACCGACTGGAAAAACCCTTCGAAGCTTTTGCTGAGGAAAACCCACAGCTTTACCATTGCCCCGAGTTTGCTTCCCGGGTCACACAGGTAGAGATTACTTTACCCTTTGGCTGGTTTGACAGAAGACGGGAATTCTGGGGAAGGTTCCAGGATATCTTTCCTTCGGCGCAACGAGTGGTATTTTATGAACCCTGTATCGATCGCTCGGGGCGTCATGCAACGATCAGTCAGCCTCCAGGGGGTGTAACGGGTGCAGCTAATGCAATCCCAGAGCTTGTGGCACAGGCGCCCCTAAATATCACCACATTGGTCGCAACACCCTCCGGGGATACGGAGAGCAATCTGCGCTACCAACTATGGCGCATCCAAAGCTCGGAGGTAAGCCTTGTGAACGACCCGTGGAGGCCAATGCGAGTCATTCTACCTCCAAGAAGGGATATTCGCCCTGGCATACTGAACCACTTTTTGACAAGTGAAAGACTTGGTACGGAGGCACTTCGCGAAATGTACGGGTCGGATTGGCTGAAATGGGAGACCTATTTGCGTTATCCTAATGCCAAAGGAATTGAATGTCCAAATGCCGACTGTAACGACAAATTTCTGAAGGAGGCGGACTGGAAACGGCATCTTTCGGATCATGATGAGCCATACCTCAGAAACGAGTTGAACCAGAGCATGCTCACGTATTGTCGAAATACTCCAGCTGATGTGAAAGCTGTTCTTGATGAGAAGCAACGTCGCATCGACGAGGCATATTTCATCAGAAGTACTATGGTTGAGGACCTGGTCCAATGGTACCAGGAGAATGGAGACCGAGGCAGACGTCAATTTGAAGAGACCCTTGTTCAACAATTGAAGGAATATGGGTTTCTCACAGATGCTGAGCCACTGAACCGATGGGGACTGTTCTTTGAATTTGTATCTGAATGGCTGAATGACTGGGGGGACGAGCCAGGTGAACACGAGGATTACGAAGTAGATACTGATCAGGAGTATCCACAAGAAGAGATATCGGATTGTGTTTATGCTGGGGAAGAATACTTCGTGTACCCGGAATGAGTTAATGACTAGATCTGGGCAGAAAAAGTCTCAATCAAAACGGATTGGATAAAACATGATAACCGATATTGCTTTTCTGAGTACTGAACCTGAGTAATTTGCATAGAGTCACGTAGAATATGAAACGAGAAATACATAATAAGAAATTAAAGATTAATAGAAAAAAGTCAGAATTTCTAGTTAATTAGTTCGTTGCCTATTTGTCAAAGAGGATTACTAGCCCATACTACCTCAGCTTGCCCCGATAAAACTTAATATTGGGGGTTGGGTGACGGGCTCGCTTGTGACTTACGTTAGTAAAACGTTCTGTGGTGATGAGAGTTAACACATTTCCGACTTGTGCGCACCACCAACCACCCTGACTCAGCAACCCAAGGATGTTGTTACGACGTTACATTCATACTATACTTAAAATGACAGCCATCCCCTTAATCCATACATAGCCCTAGGGATCTTCTTCGTATTTGATTATGACTCATTAATAGATCAAGAGACCGCTTCCTGAGATCTGGCAGCCAAAGCTCACGGTAGATATACTTGATAAGAATAAACTATCTCCGCTCTGTTGACTGACCATCAAGATATCAAATCTTCACTGCTTGTCCCACAGCCTTCAAACAAACCAGCCCTCCGGAAGATCGCAATGGATCCCTTTCCATTGGAGCCGTACCGCTCCGCACGTCTCCTCTATCGCGCACCAGAGGATAACCCAACAGACGAGGCATTTTTCAACGCTCTCTACGCTGACCCCGTGGTCGGGTCTATGGCCTCCACCGCCCTCATACGCCCGCTCAGCAACAAGGAGCGAAACGAGTTGCGAACAAATCTCGAAGCTATTGCGTTCATGTCCGTCATGATATGTATCATCCCAGATGTGGGCTCCGATAGGGTTCCGGAGACAATTGGTGTGATCTCATTGAGAAAGCAAGCTCCTGGTTTCACACATAATCGAACACACGAATTGGCGATCACTATTGCGCGCCCGTACCAGGGGAGGGGATATGGGCCTGAGGCGATATCGTGGATGCTGGACTGGTCCTTTTGGACTGCGGGGCTGCACCGCGTTGAGTTGACGGTCTCTGAGTGGAACGAGAGGGCGCAAAAGGTGTACCAAAAGCTTGGATTTGTAATGGAGGGACGGAAGAGGGAGTGTTTATGGAAGGGTGGGAGATGGTGGGATTCTATACAGATGGGAATTTTGGCGCATGAGTGGGATGCAAAGAGGAAGGATGCTGATAATGCGGATCGTTGACCGCGATAAATGGGAGAATTGGGTAGTGAGATACTATTCTCTCAGACGAGGTTTTGCACAATTTACGGTTCTCGCATAGAACGGTAGTATACAGAAAACATGAAGCTTTCAACAAGATCCTGACCAAAGAAAATATGGAGGTACCGCCAGAAGCAGCTGAGATTCCAGGAGCAACAAATGCTCTCAGGGCCCGCTTTCCCATTCCTGGATCCAATGGAGCAAGCTGCGTATGCCCACATATAGATTTTAAAGCCAATCCCTGGGACAGGCAGCTGACCTCCAGAACAGCGGAACGGCTTGTTGCTCCAGCAGCAGTAGAGCTCCCGAGTAGACAATTCAGACAAAGCTTATCCATTATGTACCATATAAGGTCTCGACTATACTGTATTACGCACAAGTCCTATCAAGATTGGAACAATCTGGCTTCTCGCCAATTTCCTCAGGTGAGAAATGTTAGGATTCTTTCTCTACCCTTTCGAATTTAGTGCCCCTGCGTAGTCAGCTATATAACTTGCCAAACATTATCCGGTATATATGTAATCGTACGTCCATGGGGTCCTGTATCCCACCAAAGCTGACAGCGAAGCATTTTGAGCCCCCGCAAAATGCTTTCAGCCCCATGTATGGCGCAAGATACCAAAATGAGATCGGGCCAAATAGATCCCGATTGTTCAACGGATGATGGAAAGAATTGATAGGTGAGAACTTCAGGAGGGTCAGACGCAATACGGCTATACAGAAGCATCCTGCTAGATCCCAGCCTCGTCGCCCCCAACGCACATCACACACTGTTCGAATAAGTCCAATATCGTGAAAGTACACCTGTTAGTTTTTAGGGAAACAGATGCGCCAGCGGGCCGATCAGACCCGAATTCAGAAAAAGACGCATGATCACGACCCGGCACAGGAAAACAATACGGCTGCAGACTCTTGCTTTGCATCAGCGAGAGATCAAGCTATGCCCTCTTCAGCTCATTTTGATACCTTGCCCGAGAACATAAGAAGCGTTCTCTCGCGAGGAAAGCACTGAGTGTTCTCTTCAGCATCATGGACAGACGACACTCAATATGGCTACCCTCTCCTAGAATAGGCAAGTCCTCTGCTGAATCGTTGAGGATCTACTTTCCAAACTACATGGTTGCTCATCTGCTGACCACCAGATTCAACTAAGATTTGCGGGGCTATACCGATTCAGCAGCTGCACGACCTCCCAGGTTCCTCCTCGTACTCGTGTCTTTTGAAGACTCTTTGTGGACCAAACAAGTAGGATATTGCGATTTATCCGTGCAGCTAGTCCCATCGCTCGGGACGCTGCGTGCACCTGCGTTTTCTCCGAAGTCAATGGCTTGAATCTACACGTCCAGTTTGCTTCCCCTAGTATCTTCGATGCGCAAAGGCTTGTCACAACGGAGATAAGAAGGTCAATCCGGCACTGGTTACGCAAAGCACCCACTAGATTTCGACCCGGCTCGGTTGAATACGATGTGATCTCCGCACTCAAACGTATCAGCAGTATGCAAAAGGTGATATTCAAACTCACAGCCCTATATAAAAGTCGGGTGGGTCTCAATATGACACCCGCTTCAAGATGGCGTTTCCTTCCGCGCTACGGAGTACTGTATGGTGTTTATAGACGTAATCGGCAATTTGACGACGATCAACGAAAACTACGAGGGCGATCACTTCGTATTGCGCGGAGGCGGGGCTTTCCAGTGCCATCGAGTGGGGGCGAAGATCAATCAAATCCCCAAGGTGAGTTTTGCGTCATCGCTAAGGATAGAGGAGTGATTCTGCACGGTATCAAAGTTGGAGGTATGAATGCTCGTTTCATCGTGGTATACGAGGATTGCAAAGTATCTCAAGCGAGAGCCTGAGTTTGGGGGCTTCTGGAATACGGGGTGGATTCGAACCAGACATGGTTGACCGTTCGAATTTCCCACGGACGATCGTTGCTGGGGAGGTGGGGATTTCCGTGTTGATGGATTATAGAGGAGATATGAGCTATATGACGGAGCTAAATTTGAAGTGAAGCGTGGATGGTAGGGAATAAACGATATGGAACCACGGAATCGAGTGGTGAGTGAAACTCTTGTTTTGGTCATCAAGGGAGTTGTCGCCGAAGTGCAACGGGAGGGGACCCAAAAGTATTCGCACGGACGCCTCCGTTCTTGGGCACGTGCGGCATAGTGGAGTAGTACATTGAGGTGCGAAGAGGCGAAAGTAAGTCTGAACCAAGTGGCATGTAAGATGAATGGGATGAATACGATAGAGGATAAAAACAAAGTCAGTCTAGCAGTCATGGAGAATGTCACTGCGATCAGTACTCTGGACAAGTCGAGAAAAGTTCTTCCGGCAAGTGTTCTAGAACACAACCTAAAACATTAAATCGGGATAAGCATATGAGATCTCGGCTACGGAACACAACTACTATGCTGGAGAATTCAAAGAACACTTCCTTTCCAATCATCAAGTCTATCGGCTGTAACAACGGAGAAAATTCTTCCAACGACACCGCCATTGACGGCCGCGTACTTTGTATTCAGAATAATCAAGACGGGCTCGGCCATTCGATGAACGGCCCCACTTCGTGTCGGGGTCTCTTGCGATCTTTTTATAGAACTGTCCAATGAGCCTATGAGGGGACAATTTAGCTGACTAACTGGCGGATAATCGGGCTTCTTCGTATACATCCTTCGGGGCTGGAAGAGAAAGTCGAGACGATAGCTGAGGTGGAGGAGCAGTTATTGGTTTGCCTCGTGCATCCTTCCGTATTCGAGAGAAATAGGATTGCCTACGAAGCTAAAAGGCCCCACGATCGTCAACCTCCAACCGTCTCCATCGAGATTTGCTCGTCACACCTGGCCTTTTAAGTTTATTTTAGAACGGGCAAGACAGGCAGGGTCGAGGCCGATCCCCATCTCCGGCCGGCCTGGTGGTGGCGTCGATAGTTGCCCGTCCAGCGTCCACACCCTCAAAAGAGGGAAGAAAAAATCTGCCCGCCCCATCCTTCAGATCTTGAAGTTAATAAATAAGTATACATCTCGAATCCTGGATTCATGCACTTGTGATTGATGGGCGATTTTGGGTGGTATCTTCTATACCCCTAATCCCTAATCTACCGGCAGCGGGTGACGTACCGATCACGATCACCTTGTCACATTTGGAAGCGCCAACTATTCTTAGCGCAAATCCCCCGCCACTGGACGCATTCGAAGCGCATATCACGGATTGCGGCCTTTTCTCCATGTCATGCTCTATGACACACCTCTACACTTCTTCCTCTGAAAACCACCCTCTTCAACCAACTTCATGTTCGACAGCCATGTCCTGTCTCTCGTCGCCTCCCGGTGACCACCGGTCAATCACGTCCAGACCCAAACTGACGTTACAAACCACCTCTCTCCCGCGCACGTTTGGCAGTTCGACCACCGGCCTCTCTCTCTCCTTCGCCGCTGGTCCAACCGCATCGCCGACCGTCCGCAACACCTTTAAGAATGCTTATGATGTCGCCTCCCCCGCCTCCGCGACAAGTTCGCCCTCCTCCACGGCCCCTCCTAGCTTCCGATTCAACGGCAACAAGCCGATCTCTCCATACGTCTACCACGCGAACAACAATCCAAATACCTTCAGCTATCGCCCCTACCAACTCCCCATAGGCGTGCACAGTATCCTACGCAATTCCCCCCTCGAATCAGCCTCGCGGCGCCGCTCCGGCTCCATTTCCGCAGGCACCAGCGGACCCGGTGGCGCAGGCGCACGCCGGGTTTTCTTCCCCGCCAAGAAGCAAGTGAGCTACCGGAATCCACTCGAGGAGGAGATCCGCACCGAACGCTACACGGCGCAGCATCTGGACCTATTTCAAGACGACGAGTCGACCGAGGCTGTGCAGGACGAGGCACACCCGGGGCCGGAAGAACCAACGCCCGCATCCGCCGAGGACGACGACGATGATTCAGCTAGTCTCCTGTCACATTCGAGCAGTGCTTCCAGCGATGATGTGAGCCCTAATGATAGCACAAACACGCCGCTATCCAAGACCGAACGCAAAAAGCGGCGCACCATGCGCGCAGAGCGACAAGTTCGAGCTGTTGCACTCCTCGACGGCTTCGATACGGATCCCTACGCCTCGTCTACACCCCAGACTCCCCGCCAGGGCCGAGTCAAGCGCCGTCGCGACTGGAAGTGGACGCTAGGCCCCGTCAGTACCGTTTCTGATGATGTGCAGGCTGAATTACCGGTGCAAATACCTGCACCTCAGCCGGTTGATCCGCCACCTGAAAAGCCACCCAGCAAATGACTATATGGCTGGCAAACACTTTCATTTTGCATATTTTCGATCCTTGTTTGCATAATGGCGATGCATATATACTATCTTGTTTGACGAATCATGTTCTCCATCACAAATAGAGGCGCCGGTGGCTTTTTTTCTCTTGTGAGTTAGCCCGTTTATAGGGCACATAATTCTACTATATATCACCTTCTATTAAAGACACGCTTGAACCTCGGTTCACTCTTCTTTTCTTGAATATATTTTTATCTTTACTTTTTCTCATGTTCCCCCTAGTTGGCTCCTACCTCCAAGTCCCTCATTCATAATATTATTTCACACTCGTACATATCATCCATCAGCGCAGCATTCGGGCAGAGGCCAAGCGCCGTGGCGGGTAGTATTCCAGGACTATGGCGTCATGCAATATACGCTAGACAGCCATCGTGGCGCGAAGATGCACGAAGGGGCGCATAAGTGATCTTGGCAAGTGACAAACGACGCAGACGGACTTATGCAGCTTGCAGTTTGACTGTTTCCCACCGGCTGTTATCGAAGCCAGTGCTACCCGACCACTTGTGTGTCCACATAGTTGAGAGCAACAGACCGTTGAAAACTCGATTGATAGACAGCATGCTCCGACAAAACTTCACAATCATCTTTTGAATTACAAGTTTGACACAAGCCACAAGATGAGGTACAAATTATTCAGCGATGGAAATTGAATTCTAGAAATATCTTTGAAGGCGAGGAACTTGGAGCATATATGGTAGGACCACTTCTCCGAACTCTCGACTGCAACTCTTGGAAACGCCCATGGTAACAATAATAACCGGGCAAGAATTCAGCTTGCTTTGCTCCTTGATCTGTCCGAACCTCCAAAGTGTACCACGCTGGTATTTTCAAAGTACGATATAAGTTGATTTTACGAAAGGGCGCGCGAATGACATGGAGAAAGTTATTCCACGTCAAACATGTCTGTCTTCTCCGAGGCGGCGCTGCGAGACGGGTCAATTTCGATAAGACTCGAGCCCTAATCTACAAACCCTAGTTGCCTATTCAGGGCATGGATTGTTGATCGGCGGGCTAAACTTCCCGCGATTGGGACGCGCCAACGCAGGCTGCGAATGATTGATTGTTGATCCCCTGAATAACCTACTCTTTGGCATCAATTCTCTGTCGCCCGCGTCGAGTCATACACCATCATTCAACCATTTTAATCATGGTTAACCTCCAGGATCTTCCGCTGGAGCTCTTGACGCGCATCATCTTCTTTATCGCCCCACTAAAAGGTCCTCTCTCGGATGGCGATTTGAAGGAACTTAGCAGGAAGCGTGACATCAATGCAAGCGCCAGATGCGAGATATTCGTATTCATAGAGGCATAAGCATCGTAATATGTCACACAACCGTCCACCGACGCCTTTTACAAAAATTCTGAAAACTGACTATACACTCGATCCCGATTATGCGGGTCCTGTCAACTTGTGACATCTCATGATCTACTCATATTCCTCAAGTCTCGGTCTCAACGTCCGGTTCGCGACCAGTCAAATCACCCATTCCAATCTTCTTTTTCATCTTCCTCAGCGCAAACTTGGCCTCGTCCTTTGCAAAGACGGCGTTGCGCGCAGGTTTCCACTGCATCATTCCACGTTGCTGACGCTGCTCACTTCGCTTATTCACCTTGTTGATCTGGCTCTGGCTTAAGTGGCTAGTGCTAGCCTGCGATGATCCCGCCTCCGCAGTGGGACTAACCGTCGACGGGGTCCAAGAGGAAGACGATTCCGTCTCGGAGTCGTCCGAATCGGAGCCTTCTTCATCATTATCATCGGCATTCGTCACGTGGGCCCCGTTTTGTGCACCAGAATGAGGCGATGGATGGCCTCTCAACGGAGGCGGCGTGACGGGGTCATGTCGTGGCTCGTCTTGTCCTGGCTCGGCTATCTTACGACCATCCGCATCTGTGTATGCGCGAGGGTCGTGACCGAATGCGCCACTCCAGTCATGACCGTCACGGTCAATCCACCGACGTCGCTCGCTGGGATCAGCTTGCTTGAGGACATCGCGACCATCAATAAGCGACTGTTCATGTTTCTGTTGGGTTTCAGCGGGAACCTCAACGGAGACGCTGCGCGAGCGAACGCCCTGCGACATGCAAGCTTCCCAAGTCTCAAAAGTCTCGCGCGAGTCGTTATCAGTGACGAACTGCTCGTGCGACTCGTCGATGCCGGGCGAGAACTTGCACTTGAACTGCAGACGGCCAACTTCGGTCAGGTCTTCCAGCCCGGGAACCTCCTTAGCTTTCCAGTTCTGTTCAGTGATGTAATTCTGTGTGAGGCGGGCGCCGTTCTTTGTCGTCCAGATGGGAATGTCGATGTCGGTTTCTTCGTTGTCGACAAGGTGCTGGAGCCAGAGGACTGCGTATGCGGCTGCGTGTCGCTTGCCTTTGGTGTGGAACTCAAAGACGACTGGGGAACGGTATCTGTGCTTGACTGGCATGCGGAGGCTGTCTCGGAAACTCTGGTCCGAGATGTCGTAGCTCAGATCTTTGCCATCCAGGCTTCCTGCCTTGCGAGTAATCTTTCCCGTGCTGCCGCCAGTGCGTAGCCTGATCTTGGACTGCCGTCCATATTCCTTGGCGAGGATCTTGTTACTAACGAACTCAAAAGTGCCAACATCCCAGCCCAACATGTTAGGGGGGAGCTTGGTCTCAACGTGGCGCAGGAGGATGGAGATACGAATGCGTCCAAATCCGACGCCGCCGTCGAGGGGGTACCAGCGGGTGACCTGTGAGCTGGTTTGCAGAAGATCGGAAAGCTTAATGGGAACGACGCCTAGAATTGGGTCGTGTTCGCGATAACGCTGGTCGCGTACGGTGACGGTGACCACGGCAGATCGCCAGTCACGCACAAAGCGCTCTGTGCCAGCATTGAAGATTGGCTTTGAGCTGACAGCCTTCGCTCGAGTGCGGTAAACCTATGAAGCTCTGATTAGTAGATGACCCCCGAATACGCCGAGGTACAAAACATACCAATTGATCATTAAGCATGATCTTGCAATAGCTGGTAGGCAGATGTTCGCCCTCTTCCTCGGTGTTCTCACCGAATGGCTTCGCAGGTTCATACTCTCTACCCTTGCGGTTCCCTTCACTGCCCTTGATGTTGTTTAGTTGGAGATTGACGATCTGATGCACCACGATATGCACAATACCACTGGGCCAAATAGGATCCGGTGGAGTGTGCACAACAGCATCCTCTTCCTCATTAGTGATGGTTCCCTTCTCATCTTCAAAGGTCGGATCTCCCTTGAGGTTGTCAGGAAGATCCTTCTTCTTGCCATCTGAGCGCAGCTCGGGGCGCAACTTGGGCTTGCCAAAGTAGCCAACCTCCCAGTGCAGCTGACCCGGCATCTCGCTACCATCATCAAGTCCTTGCAGTTTAGAGACCTGAGGATACATGCGACCTGGATGCTGGAGCATTTCCCGGATGGGTAGCTCAACTTTACCGCAGATATCGTCCGCGGTGTTTCGGTCCGAGTCCCAGAGCTCAACGCTCAGGTTTTCATCCGCCTTGATCAGCTCGGGCGTGACAAGGAGCGCAGCAGTCTCTTCCCAAATCGGGTTGAGATCATCCGTAATAACACGAGTGCAGTACATGGGTTTGCCATACTTTGAGAACGAGAGGTTAATGTACGGATCACTCCCACCACCTTCACTACCACGTCGATCTTGCTTGCTCAGACCGACTGCACGGTGAATACGAATCCACATAACACCAAGTGCTAGAGTATCCTTGTGGATATCGTCGCCCTTCAGCAGCATGCTAAGATCCATAGTCATCGATTTGGGAGCCGCGAACATGGCGCAGGCGGCACCGATAGCGTAGTTGACAAAGTTCGAGATCAAGGGTAGATTGAGAATGTTCACACCACGACGGATCATGGGCACGCAGCCCGCGCGTACGTGTGGAATACCCACTAAACTGAAAGTCACCTCCTTCATGAATGGCGGCTCAGGCATCAACTGGAAGCGTAGTCGGACTGTACCGACCAACTCGGTCAACTCGACAAAGACCGGGAACGGAACTCCAAATAGACCACGAATGCCCAAGTAGAACACCAAGTGCATGTGCATGTTGCGAGCCTTGGATGAAGCAGATCCATCACTGGGCTTTGCGTGGTATGCAAAAGAGGCCTCCATGTTGTAGTAGCTCCCACCTTCTTCGGCGGCCGCAGCCTCTTGTGGATCCTTGTTCTTGATATTGTCTTCATGGATATTATCTTTGAGGTTCTGGACGTGATCATCAGGCAGAGCACGCATGCTGAGAATTCGGAGGGGGTTGTTTCCTTGATCGATCTCGGCGATTCGGACGTTCTCGACGACTTTGGGAGCGGATGCTTGCATAATATCTTCGATTGTGTCGGCCATGGGAGTCAACATTTCAGGATTCATGAGGCCCCAGACCACGCCTAGGAAGGAATTCATCCATTCGACAGATTCTGGAAGTAGATTGGCAGTGGCCTTTTGAAAGTTTACCGGGTCAGCAAGTGGAAAGGTCAAAGCATTAATTGAAAGGTTGAGGCTGTACCATTTGACCGCGCATCTGCTCGCTACTCCACTCCATCTCTTTGCCACTCTTGATGACCTCTTGCACCCATAGCCAGACACCACTCGTGACACAAAAAGCTAGCGGGATGAGTCCGAGGAGGGAGCCTCCAAAGGTCCGCCCGAGAACAATGATCGCAAAGGGAATTGCAATACATAGTGCTGTACCGCGCTTCTCCAGTTGATCAAACATAGGCTTGTATGAGACCGTAGGAGTAGGGTGGAAGAGAACGTTGGTCTTCTCGCCGCGGATAGGAACGTCGGAGGTCGTGCCTTCGGCAATGGGATCAGGAGGAGCGGTGATGTCTTGCTTCTCCTTGTACTCGGAGAGCTCTTGGTCATGACTGGTTTTATGCTCCTGAAAATTTGGTCAACACTGCGCTTCTCAAATATGTAACGGGTTGCTGCTTACAGTCGGTCGGCCAAGGTTGGCGTTAGGTACAGTTAACTGTAGATTTCGATCAGTCAATGGGATTTGTGAGACACATTGCAACATAATATGGCAAACCTTTGGGTTCTTGACAGTTTCCATTGAAGAAGGACCTTGATCCTCCACCCCGATCTCTTTCCCAGTTGTCGGATCGGTCACCATGCGAACATTAGCTTGAGCAACCTCGCGGGCCTCATGGGCCTTAACCTCTGCCTGTGTAGCATCATCTGTGCTTCCAGATTTAGATTGTTCTTTCTGTTTCAAGGCTGCTGCCCGTTGCTTCCTGGCCTTCTCCTCCTCATCGATTTGCTTATCTCGCTGCTTCTTCTCCACGTCCAGGCGCTCGATGAATTTCTGGACGGTAGGAACGGGATTGGCACCGCTCCAATGTTCGCCAACACGATGGCGGTCGGGCTCACCGGTTCCCTGACCGGTAGACGCCATGTTGATTGTGAAGTACTGATTCTAGTAACGCGTATGTGCGCGAAGTATCAGGGCGGTCGTGCGTGAGTGGAAGTGGTTAAGCAGAATTCCCTCGCGACAACCCCAACTTCGGCCAGAATAAAACTGAGGAATTGAGCAACTCAGGCAAGCTGGGAGTTGTCTGAATGATTAATAGATTCCCAAGAGAAGCTGTCAGCCCATAAGGCCCTGGAAGCCAGGCGCGGCCAAAGCTCTCCCCAGAATTACGTCATTGGCAGCTGAGACCCGGGAAATGTTATGACGATGCCAATCCCCTTTGCGATTTGCAATTGGCGGGTCCATCGTTTATCTGCAACTCGGAAGCCATAAATATACGTGAAATTGGTTTTTTCCCCACATCTTTTGCTCCATACTTGCTGGGCGTGCCCTCCTCGCCCAGCCCAGCGGGATTCTGGCGGGACTCTAGTCTTGGCATTATGAACCTATACAGATCAGAGGATGTCACCAGCCAGGAGCTACTAACAACTACTCAAAGAACTCATTCAAATGCACTATGGAAGTAGAATGGAAACGAGGTCAGTATAAGAATCACCGAGTGAAAATTGTGAGATTTTGCGTTCGCGAATGACTATCCGCTGGCTTCAAGGAGAGTACCTGCAAACATGATGTCACCAGGAGCGCTCAATGTGATATCAATGATCCTTATTTCGCATAATACATGATTTTGCGACGCCAAAGGGCATTCTACCCACCAATATCCTTCACTCTGGGGACTCTGAATAATTTACCATCTTCGTAGCTGAGGCTTCTCGTGATCGTGTTGTGCCGGCGTCGGATGGATCAGATGTAGGTATCGATATTCAGTCGATCTGCTATTTAAGCGATCGTCATATCATCTTTGGAGTGAACCGAACTCATCCAATAAGGTGGAACAGCCCTGTCAATCCCGATCGTCTTAAAGATTAGGTAGCTCTATTTTTTTACGCTGTCCGGTCGGCAATGTTGTACAAGATTTACCAGGCCCATCCATCATCTTATGCGTCATTGGGACGATCAGTAGGTGATGACATCCCATGATGGTCTGGGGTATATTTTGGTCGATCACTGTGTTCAGTAGGTGAAGCTGTGAATATGAGACCCTAGCGACTCGAGGGAATTATGAAAGCATACTTCCAGTGGGAACGTAGAGACTGTATCGCGCAATAAATTTTGGCTGTCGTTGAGCCTAGATCTAGTGAGGACTGATGGGGAAAGATCTAGACCTCAATCATAAGTCCAGTACCTATGGTACTGTTGATATGTGGAAGCAAAGTTCAAATTCAGGATATAGCTTTACCTCCGTCCACTTGTTGAGTTAGAAGTATTCGAGGAGGATGAAATGTGGTTGGTGGTATGGCAAGCCCAACCTTGAGAGCTGGGCGAGTGGAGTGATAGCTGTGCTTATCGCCACGGGACCTTTTCACTTCCGCCCACATTTGGACTTCACCTCGTCACCTGCGATCGTACATCAGCTACTGTACCTCCTTTGATACTTCCGTGGGATCTTGACGTCTGATCACGTCTAGACTGTCTTTGCGAGTCTTTGTGTCCTGTTACCCATCAACAATGTCCACTCCCGAGGAGTCCCCCGCCCAGCGCGCCGCACGCCTGCGACGTGAACGCCGTGAGGCCAAAATCAAAGAAGGAGGTTCAGCCCGCCTAGACAAGATTACCAGTCTCAGTGGCCGGACTCCGCAGTCAGGTAAGCCTTGAAACATGTCTTTTAGAAACTCCGATACCTTAGTTGTCCGGATTATCTCAATGCGCTGCCATGTGGCTAACACCTTGGTCCCAAACAGAGCGCGAAGAAGCTTCACCATCTCCTCAGCTTGCGGTCTCGCCATCCCCGTCTCCCGTACCACAGAGCCGTCCAGTGCCAGCTCCTCAACCAGATACGCCGCTCGCAGAATCTCTCCAAGCCCAACAGGAAGCTTTCCGTGCCATGTTGCGCCAGGTGGCCCCAGATCAAGGACAACAGAATGATGTGGAGGACCCAACACTGAAGCTGCTGGAGAATCTCCTGGGTGCCATGCCTGGTGATGCCAATGCACCCCCACCCGGTTTTTCAGGTGCTCCAGGTGCTCCGGGTGCTCCGGACGCCGCCGGCGCTATGCCTGGCCAGTCGGCGCCAGGACTCTCCCCTGCTGCCATCGCATCCGCACTCGGCGTGCCGCCATTCCTCGCCAACATGCTGGGCGGAGCATCTCAACAGCCGACCGAGAATGAACAGAAGACTCTTCGGATATGGAAGGGCCTACATGCAGTTTTCGCGCTTGGGGTGGCCATCTATCTACTGTTCATTATTGGGACGTCGGTTGCGACCTTCGGTAGCCCACCACCCAAGCCTGCTACGGCACAAAACCCGTTTTTGATCTTTGTTACTGGCGAGATGGTCCTTACTGGCGGGCGAGTCCTGTTCGGTGGAAAACAAGCGGGGCTTGGGATGGTGGTGCAGCTATTCAGGGACATTGTTCGAGATGGAAGTCTCGTGCTGTTTGCGCTTGGTCTGGGTGCTTGGTATAACCGCGAGTGGCAGAATGTTGCTTAGTAGGACCTCGATCTGAATCATTCATAATTAGCGTGGCATGAATATTTGACCTCACGATACGAATTGTAAATCCCTCCTGTATGAATCGAAGCTCAGTTCGGTGCAAAATAGCAATTCTATCCATTCGAGTATACCCGTTTCAACTCATCCTTAACTGACCAAGTCTTTTTACCAAGCAGGGTGGTAGTGGCGCTCTTGGTCGCGCTGCACCCTTTATCCTCTCCTAGGTTCATATGGCCAGGATATTACGAGAATTACCATTGCTCGGAGCCTTCTTTCATCGAATATTTCGTACGGCAAAGCGTGCCAGTGCGGCTGCATTGCCTTTATATTTCTACATGCAGAGATAGCAGCTATATGTTCAAGTGGAGGGACTGGCAATGACCCTCTGAGATGGCAAAACGGCATTCCGCAGAACACCCATGGTCGCCGGGTCTAGGCCCCAGTCACCCACCCATTGATCCATGCGTGCCCCATTCTTAAAGTGCTCTGCCAAGTGCTGAGTTCGAACGGCCCAGGTAGGCATATTAATCTCGCAGAATCCGCACCGACTTGGGACATTTGTCCCAGTACCACGCCAGGCATCAAGGTCTGGAACGGGGAGCTTAGTACAAGCGTGGAACTTTCGCAGGTGTTGCCACAGATAATCCTTCCGGCTGAATGAACGCTCAGCTATAGGCTTCGCGGCACAGATGTGGAATTCATGCTCTTCCCAGTGAGTAGGGGATGGGAACGGTGTATTGCAAAAGGAGCAGCCTACCAGCTGAACACTCCATTGTTGCTGTAAATCGATGAGATTCGGTGTACATACCCAAGAATCCAATTGAAGATGTACACTCTTTTCATGCCGGGTCCAATCATGTCGTTTCTTGAATGACTGCGTGCAGAAAGTGCACTGATATTGGCATTCTTCCCCATTGGATTGCTGGCGTGAATGCCCACGGCGACGAGGTCTCCTTGTCTGTGGGAGTCGTGGAAATGAGCTTCTTCCCCCTTCCCCACCCGACTGATAGCTCCATGCAGACGAAACACTGCCCGAAGTCTCCGAGACCCTACTTCCCACACTCGAGATAGATGATGTAAGATGAGAAGATGTCTCGTCGAAGTTGAAAAGATCCACCGGAGAGCGGTCAAATTGGAACGGGTCCATTAGAGCGTCGGAATCACCAGCACCAGAAGCGATAGCTTCTTGAATGGCTGATTCAGGGACGGATTCATCCTCTGGTGGTGATGCTTGCCACCGTTCCATTGGAGTCATTGAGCTCAGCGTGCTCGTGACAAGAGGGGAGCCGGCCCGGACGCAGGTGGCAGATGCTAGATTGTTTGATTGGATTTTCTGCTTTTGCCGTCGGCGAGCATTTGCGAACCATGTCGACAATCGTTTTTGAGAAAATCCTGTTTCACGAGAGAGTCGGGCTTTTTCATCATCATCGGGGTAAGGAAACTCTTGGTGCTGATAGAACCATTCTCGTAAGACTCGCGCACCCTTTCGAACAAATTGTTTGGATTCCTTTCGTTCCTCTCCATAGTGCGAGTGAAAGATTAAATCTCCATCCTGATTGTCGCAGTCAGTCGTGTTACTTGATTGATTCTATTCCGAGCACTTACCTTGTCGTCCATGTGCTCAGGCAGGCCATGTAGATGGCCTAAAACTGGGGTGTAGGTCTCAAAGCCAGCAGCGACACGCTTTTCTCCCTTGGAAAGACTACACTCTCTGAACAAAGCTACACAGCTTGAACATGATGTGACTGGGTTCGGATTTGCCGATGTTGTACGTAAGATCAAACACTGAAGCCGGTGTTTGCGACAATGGCTGCAAGGGACTGGGGGGCGGTAGGCTCCATCAAGCCACTGGGAAACATTTCCAATGCTTCGAAGGTGAGGCTCAGATTCAGATCCCTCATCCTGTAGAGCTTGAAAGGGTTGGCTTAGGATATGGCCAGTCTGAGGCTCTGCGTGATTCTCCCCGGAAGGCGACGTGAGATCTTGATTGGCTTCAAGGCCCGCCCATTGGGGCCAATCTAGATTGGTGGGATCGGATGAGCAGAAATAGAACTCGTTCAATGCACTCCAATCAGCAGTGGGGTCGTCCAATGCCCAGCCCCCAGGAATTTCGGTTTCGAGGATGCTCTGTAGGCCCGAGTCTGGCAGTGACTGTGGCAATTGCCTGGACGACGCAGCGTCGGAAGGGAGATGTGAATTCATCAGGGATGGGTTCTCGGCACCTCTCCGTTCGATTTCCTAGAGACACATATCCACACTGTGCTTTCAAACCACGAAATTTCGGCTCTTCATCCGACTACAAGTCATGTAGCTCTCTGGGGTCGTGATATTCACGGTAGTCACTGACTCATCCCCGCTAACCCAAGGCGGTTAAGGGCACTGTGGAGTTATCCCCGCCTTCCCAAGACATGCTTAGTCAGTATGTAACTACTTTCTTTGGGAGCCGTTTATGCTTCTATGGAGCTGACCTTGTAATGTTGAACTTGGGAAGTAGGCCCTCGACCACAGGTTAGTGGAGAAATTGTGGTTCTCCGGAAGCCAGTTGGACACGGCTATCTGGCGATTTGAAACTGCAACCCCACACTCATTTAAGATTGCGGCTTGGAGATCCAATGGTCCCTTGCTAGTAATTACAGTAGACGCTCCTCATAAAACCTAAGGGTCATTTCTCCTACGATTGATGAAGCCCCTCCTTTCTCTGCCCCTTTGGATACACGCAGAACCTATAGAGCATGCAGATAGCATGAGCAAGTAGAAGCGAGCGAATAGGACAAGTTCTAGTCTTGGGGAAAATTCAATGTTATTGATGTCCAACTGAAAATTCGCCGACCAGCTAATTTCCGCCATGACGAGTGCAATCCGCTTCCATCTCAGCCTCCCCTATGCCAATGCCGCGGTGGTTAACGCATACCCAATAGAGTCAAGTTGCATTTCTTCCTCAGGGTAACGTGGAATGAGGGATAATACCGCTTCGTTGAAATCGGTGAAGTGCGACTGGGTTGACAATGCTGCACTTTCAAAGGCAGGAGGATACGCACCAGAAAATGCCCAGTCAATCAACCACACCTGTTCATGCTCATTTTAGATCAAGTTTCGAGGGCTGATGTCGTGGTGTGTAAGGACAAACATGGTGAAATTGAATGGCCCAACGTCTTTTGGGGCTCGATTGTAGCACTTGCAAATTTCTAGCTTGTGATTAAACCAAGCTTCCATTTCAGCAGTGTCCTTGAAAGGTCCAGCACTATAATCTGTGAAAAACAGACCCTGACATGGTCCTCCACCAATGGGGCCAGGCTCCAAAAGCTCAATGGACTGCATCTCTTTGATCATATCAGCAACCTGCCCAGAGATTTTTACTTGGGTGTCACGGGATAGGGCGTTCCAGTACTCATCCAGCGCTTGACCTGGGATAAAATCCATGACATTATACCCAGATGTACCAAAATATTGGGTATCATCTTCTAATTGAAATGAGCGATAGACTCGTGGGACTCGAATATTGGTTCTGGAAGCAATAAGACGAAGCATATCCGCTGCATTAGTCATGACATCTCCGCCACCCTTCGTGACCAAAGTCTCCGAAAGCCGCACAACCGTCGTTGCACCTAGCTGATGGAGAATAGGAGCCGTTGTGAGAAGGGCTACCAGAGCCTCGTCTGTGACGGAATCAAGATCCTTTCCATCGAGTGGAAAGTCCCCATGAGGCCCACGACTTCCTGGCTTGACGTGGGGATTTCAGTAGATGATATTCAGCAGAGTATCAGTCAACATACATGGGTTATTGGGCGGAAGAGTGGTTCCATTTCGGTAAGGTGGAAGGGAAGAAGGAAAGGATGTGTTTAGAATTGTGAATAACAGAGGTGACGGGCTAGGCAGAGATGAGGCAGAAACACGGCATTTCAGGCTCCCAGGTACAGTGCCAGGCAAGAAGTTTGAGTAGACCCCTACGGTATAAGAAGACTTAGTGCTATACTCTCCTACCTAGTTGATAGGCTCTCTACCCTTTGAGTAGTTTACTCCTTATGGTGATTGTGGGCTCAGTTGGGTGACTGGTTATGTATAAGTCTAAGTGAATGCAGCTTAGCCGGTCGATCTGCTGACCCAAAGTGATAGGTAGAAGCGTTATCGCCAAGACTTCGCCCAGGATGGAGTATATTGAGCTTACCATACCAATACCATGTCCTATCTCACCCCTAGACTGTTCCTGCTAGACGCAAAGAAAGGATATCATCGCCTTTCATAGAGGCCCATCATCCTACAGCTTATATTTTGGGCTGCTATCTATCTCTAGCTGGGAAATCTCTCATCGTGGGTCTTTGAATTGCAATGGTCATGGACAGAAATTCATTATGCGTGATTCCACTGAGGATGTCTTCTTCGCAAGATAATCATTCTCACCTGCTCCTGTTAGAGAGGGTGAGGACTGCCATTTTAAGCAGCCTCAAGTCACATGGAAAGACACAAACAACCGAGCTTTTGAACAAGGTTGTTATAGATCAAGATTAAGAGTTTAATGTGAAGAAGATGATACGAATGAAGGTCATGAAAGGTGGGCAAATTGAAGTGAAACATTCTATACATGCGACTTAGGGGGCAAAGGGTGAAAACGAGGTGAAAACTCAGTGGTGAGCAATAGAGACTAAAGAGTAAACCAAAAGGTCTAGATGCTCGGGCACTTAGAGACTGGACTGCTTTCTTTAGGCGTAATAAGAGTGGTACGATTGTCAGCGTCATGATAGGCTATTGGCTGGCAAGGAAAGTTCAACTCGACAGTATATGAACGCTCTCTATTTTGTTCTATAGTAATTAGATTAATGACAGTAATCGAGTGCCAGCCGAGTGAAGACTTTCGCCATTTCCTCCAAGCTTTGTACCTCCACCCACTCTTCCTTGCTATGCAAGCCTGCACCCGCGGGGCCAAAAATGATTGATGGGATGCCAGCTTGGCCCAAAAGGGCTGCATCACACCAGAATGGTACACTTTGCACAACGGGCTTACTTCCAAAGATTGCAGTGCCACATTCAATCGCTTTTTCAACGAGAGGATGATCTGTCGCGAGCTTCTGAGTAGGCCGGGACATGGCGATGCGAGGATCGGCGTATTGGAAGCGAGGGTTCTCCTTGGTGATGTCTCCAAGCATTGCAGATATATCGCCGAGGATAGACTCCTCTGACTGAGCAGGGACAGTTCGGAACTCGACGGTAACCGTGCATTTTCCAGGGTAGGAAGACGGCTCTTCGCCGCCGCGAATCAGACCGCAATGCATTGATGCTCGCCCGAGAAGGTCATCCACCGGTAGCTTAGCTTGATACTGGTCAAGAGCTCGCAATAACCATCCAGCGTGTAGAATGGCATCGACTCCCGCAGAAGGGTCGGATCCGTGAGCAGCAACACCCAGAATATCGATTTCGATCCATACGAAGCCTTTGTGCGCAGTCGCGATGGCGTTCATTGTTGGCTCAGCGACAACTGCTGCATCGGCTCTCCAGCCAGCAGCCAAGATGTCCTGAGTCCCTTGAGAAGCATCTTCCTCATCGGACACCGCAGCGACGATAATATCGCCTCGCGGAATTCTACCGCTGGCTTTAATAGACGACATTGCTGCCAGTGCAGCTGCCACCCCACCCTTCATATCCAAGCTGCCTCTACCGAAGACAACATCTTTACCGTCTTTCGAGCCCAATGCTCCAGAGAGAGGATCTGCTTCATAACTAGCCAAGCTGACTGTGTCAATATGTCCATTGAACATGAGAGATTTTCCCCCGCCAGTCCCCCGAAGGACACCAACGATGGATGGCCGACCAGCGACTGGCTCTACACGATGGAATTCGATGTCGCGGTGGGCAAACCATGCAGAAAGGTAATCTGCAATCTCACGCTCGCCGACTCCATCGCTGACGGACAATGTGGGATTGGAGGAGTTGATCTGGGTGAGCGTTTGGGTCAAGCCTACCACATCTTCCACGGAAACATCGCGTGGGAGAGAGTATTCGCGTGCACCTTCGGTACTAAGAAGGACAACGACGGAGTCCTTGTGCAGAAGGGAAGAGTGGCTGGTTTCTGTACCTAGCCGACGCAGTGCAGCCAAAGATGCGCCGCCACATGGGCCAGCTGGAACTGACTTGGAGGTCAGCAGCTGGACAGCGGCATGACTCTCATAAGACGAGACCGTGACGCACGCATCGACAAGCCGCTGTAGATCCGGCCATGCGGTCGTCGACACAGTGCCACAGTTCATCCCGTCCATGATTGTGGAGGACGTCTCCACGCTGACTGACTTTCCAGCATGTAAACTCTTGAACAAACAAGGAGCAGAGTCCGGCTCAACAGCGACGACCGATACCGGGGTCTTTCTGGATTTGCAGTGTCGAACCACTGCATGTGCAAAACTGCCGACTCCAACTGGAGTGACCATAACAGTGGTAGTGAGGCCGAGTTTGGCGACCTGTTGCTCAGCCTCATTCATCATGGTCGAATATCCCTCCACAATCCAAGCAGGAACACTCTCGTATCCTTCGAATGCAGTGTCCTGAATCAAGAGAGCACCAGGGAGCTGGTTTGCCCTGTCCGATGCCTCATATACTGCTTGATCATAGGATCCCGGTGATACCACAACCCTCGCACCTTCTCCCGCAATGAAGCCGCGAGTACGCTCGTCCATTGACCGTGGAACGAAGATTTGCGCATCGATCCCCAAAAGCCGGGCCATGAACGCCACGGCTCTGCCATGATTTCCTTCCGTCGCTGCGACGAGAGTAATCGCACTCGCTTTTGCACCCGTGGAAACTTCATCCAGAGATGCAGTTCGTGGCAATTCAAGATGCTGTGCAACGGCACGGAAACACCCCCACGATGCGCCCAGAACCTTGAAAGAGGGCAGGCCGAAGCGATCACTTTCATCTTTGACGAACACTGCTCGAACACCCAGGTCAGCTGCAAGCTCTGGCAGGTGAACCAATGGAGTCGGAGCATAATTGGGCAGTGACTGATGGAATTTTGTGACGGCCCCCGCTTGTGACCCCTCACAGCGCTCCGTTGCGGCGGCGGAGTTGATATAGATTGGTCGCCTCGACGACATTGTACCTCGGCGTTGAAGGCTCTCGTATCAGTATGCAGGATGTTTCCTTCCAAATGGTGGCTTGGGTTCTATTTTATGGTTATTCGCTGCTCCATCCATCAAGTCAAGTGGCGGCAACAGTTCAAATGCTTTCCGACGACATTCTCCCGCGCCTTCTCACAACATGGTCAGAGTGGATCTTATACCCACAACGGTGGCACCTCAAGACCACGAAGGTTCCGCAGCCGAATCCTGGTTATACGGCTTATTTGATCGCTAAATTGAAGGAGGCGCTTGGATAAACGGTGTTCCGGGTAAGCACCTAGGATATCAATTTCTACACGGACTGGGAAGTGGGAATCGTTCCTAAGAGATGTTCAGATGAACATTACGAATAAATTTGGGGTTAGACTTTTGTCGCCCTCTCTAGGTTTCTCGCGCGCATCCCCTGGGGGCTTCTCTCTCATATAGCTGAATTTTCCTGAAGCTTAATGAATTATATACGCTAAAGTTTTTGATTTTGAACCTCTAGATTGAGCGAAGGCTATTTCGATATTCTTACGCATTCTGGGCGCGAGCTTGGTCATAGTGCACCACAGCCTCCAGCAGTGCCTGGGTCCCAAGAGCACTATAGGTACCAGTTAGGAATGAAGCAAAGAATTAACAATCGAAGGCTCACTTACCAGTCCCCCGGAGTACAATATTCGGTCGGGTGATGGCTCACACCATCCCGGCAAGGCACGAAGATCATGGCCGATGGACAGTGCTTGCTGGTATACACAGTGTCGTGACCAGCACCACTAGTCATGTACATTGACTTTTCAGGCCCAACAAGATGATCTGCTGCTGCCTTGATTGACTCAACACACCCTTGATCAAATCTCACCGCGGGCGAGTCCGTATCCAGAGTCCAGTCGAAAGAAACGCCTTGGCCGTCCTCGGAAGAGATATTGGCAAAGGCATCAAGGCATTCTCTTTGCACAACATGCACAGTGCTGTCCTGAGGGTGTCGAATGTCAAGAGTGAACGTCACTTCGGATGGCAAAGTGTTGGTAGACGCATTCGGCGGCACTCTGATGATACCCGTAGAGGCCAGCGCATCGTGTCGCTTGGCGATTGCGTTCGAGGCTACGATCATCTTCGAAGCTGCGAGCATAGCATCGTAACGAGCACTTAGAGGTGTCGTTCCAGTATGAGCATCTTTACCCTGGACAGTGACGGTCAGCCATCTGTAACCTTGAGCACCCTGCACAATGCCAATAGACCGTCCGGTTTCTTGGAGAATAGGTCCTTGCTCAATGTGCAGCTCGAAATGAGCCCCCAATGGGAATCCGGTAGCTGCGTCGCTCGAACATGCAATGTCGCCGAGATAGCCATGCCGCTCAAGTTCGGAACGCAGGGTCACGGTGGAATCATGAATGTCACGAAGGTCCCATGCGTTTTGGATTGGAATCGCCCCAGCCCAAACTCCAGATGAGCACATTGACTTTGGGAATCGAGCTCCTTCCTCGCTGTTCATATTAAATATCAGTCTTGCTTGCATCAATGGAGACGAACGGGCAAACGAACTTGGTCCAATTAACAATGCCCACATCATAGTTCGTCTTGAAATTGTTCTCTTTCATCGTTCGCAAAACTTCCAGCGCGGCCATCACCCCAAGAATTCCATCATAGCGACCGCCCCGAGGTTGAGTATCGAGATGGCTACCCATGGCAATCATCGGCGCAGAAGACTTCATGGACCCTGACTGTCGGGCAAACATGTTTCCCATCTGATCCACCGACAGCGAGCATCCCAGGCTTTTTACCTCAATGGCAAACCACTTTCTTGCTTTGGCATCCTCATCGGTAAGAGTTAGACGGGCCATCCCTGTCTCCGTGGGACCACTGCGTACATGTAAGGTTCAATGTGTCTGAAAAGGAAGTAGGCAGACAATACATACTCGCCATATCTGTGTGCTGCGCCCCACTCGCATGTATTGTGTATGGTCTCCCAAAGACGGTTCGCATTGATCTGTATGTTTGCCGTGGAATGGAATCGGGGGGTAGTGGAAAACGCTCTTGGCGTATTGTAGCGTAAGCCACGTGTTGCGCACTTTGTTCCAAGCATCTTGACAAAGAGGTCGAATCCGTCTAGTAGAAATCAGATCAAAGGGCTTAGAGTCTCTTTAGCGGCAACCAAGTATATAATACGAATTCCCCTTGGTGATCGATGTATGAACCTGGCAGGGCGCCTTCTCCCGACAAGAGTGGGTCGGACACGACAAAAAGGAGTGTTTCCAGTTAAGAATTTCTTTTTGAAATCGACGAACGGCCATTAAGTGAGTGGCGGAGGAAACTGTGCTGGGGTGCTAGGGCGGACCCTTTCGGTCTGTCACCGACGGCGCCTTCCCGTGACATACTCTAACTTCAATTTTCTTCGGACCCCGATGCCAATTCAAATGACGATTTTCGAAAATGGATCATGAGAGGCGGCGTATTTTAGATTTTCCCATTGTTATTTCGTACAGAGGAGCAAATCCCTAGAAAAAAAATCAACCGAAATTGGAATTCTCGCTTCAGCACAAGCGGTGACAATAGTTCATGCAACGACCGGTGGTGGTATGTACAAGCCGAAATACTTCAAGAAAAATATAAACAAAGTCAAAGGCCTCTAAGCATAGGTGATAGGTTTGATGGAAACCCCTAACCTGATTGAAATCATCATAAACCGACCAGATAGCAAGGATAACATAAATTCCTCGTGAAATTTTACCGAGGATAACCTTTTCCCCGGCAGCAGCTGCCAAAACACTGGTCTCCTGGGAACGGTTAATACTGATGATTGATCTATTCAAGGTGCAGGAATACCGTTGTATGGAGTCGGCGCAGTCTCTTGAGTTCCCCTAGATGAAGAAAATGTGCTCCTTGATGATTGCTCCCTGCCAATTGGTCAGAGGGATGACGTCATGTTATTCGAGAACATCTTACTCCAATGTTCTCATCGAATCAGTATCGGATATGGAATCATTTTTGGGCATCATCTCCCGCACTCTGGCCCTGAGGCTCTTTGAGTTTGATTTGCTGAGCATCTTGGTCTGATGTGTTGCTGTGTACTGGGGCCAATTGCGATGCTGAAAATTGGCCAGAGTTGCTCAGCTTGTGTATCACAATATTGATCCGAATATCAAGAGATTACCCCTGTGGCTTGACTGTCTGAATCTCACAGGGAGCAAGATCGCGTTCAAATATGTGTTGGTGAACGCCACTGCGGTACGCAAGATTCGGATCTGCATGATCGTGACATGATTGTGGAGAAAGATCCGGGGAAGAATACTTCGGCGAACGCCGATGTCCACGGGGAACAATCTCAGATCAGATAATACCTCAAAGCGCCTTCAGTGAAATCTTCGGCGACCTCCCCCTTGATCAACAGCAGATCTGATAGATGGAGCTTATCTTCCATGCAGATTGTAACGACTGTCAGTAGTGATTGGCCGTGGAAGATACCCATTCATAAGATCGTAGTCTCCACCTTCCTCACTGAGCTTCATCTTAAGTAATTGGCGACGTGTGCCTGGCCTCTTTTTACCTAATTGATTGAATACTGGGGCTTGGTGAGATCCATCCCATAAAGAGGCTCCTGTGGCATTCGCTGAAAGGGAAGCTTAGCCGGTCATATTGAGAGTGGTACCATTCAAATTCCATATCCTCTCATCGAATTCATTCTGAAAAATTTGTCTTGAATGACCATTCTCGACGAATATCACGAGCCAGAGCCAACGCAACAGCAGCGGCCAGATAGAGAATCCCATGGAAAATAATCAATTCCCTGTATTCCCCTCCATCCCGCACCTAAATCACCCCTGCAATTGGTATACCTGTCAGAGTATCGTGAACATAATTCCATTCCACTTTTATAATCTATCGTAGCACGTACTGAGAAATACACACCGGTGTAAGACTAATGGTAGCTCTTCTCTAAAATCCAAGGAGCACGGCATAGCAGATGATCGCTGCCAAGTTATCACTGAGGCATAACCAAAGTGCAAGAGTAACAATTGCGCAGACAATCGTTGTCAATACCGTTATATTGAACCGGCCAACTCTATCGGCCATTATCCCTGGCAAGAAGCATCCCGGGATAGCTCCGAGATTCAGGCAAGCGACACCAAGATAGGACATGGTTTCTTCCACAACGACATGTATCGCATAGGATGCAATAGTTATGATCGGGGTAAAGACTGCGAACTCTACCAAGGCTACCACAGCTATGGTAGAAGCATACTTAGTATCTATCAAAGGCCTATAGTCCACAATTGTACCTGCCTCCAGATTTACGAGAAATCCCGTCCTCAGAAGCAAGCAAGCAACGGCACACATCAGTGCACTAATGAGGACGGCAGTACTTTTTGCTGTACTTCTTGGAACATTCTAATCAGACAGTCCCTAGATTCTGATCAAACAAATCGTCGGTTCGCGAGCCACCTCGGAAAATGGCTCTATTTGGCAATTTAGGTCATGCTGATGCTGATAGAATTAAGCTTGCCCTTTTCCCGAGACTTTCGAGCCCACTTTATTCAGGTGCTAGCGGCAAGGAGCATCGAGCTACATAGTATGGCTGTAGCAGAGCGCTCCGCTAAATGTCAGCGCGAAGGTGCAAAGCTTGTTAATTTCCTTACGGAAGTAGCCAGCAAGCGTATATAGTAATAAATACCATTTTCTAGGAGCGTTTTTCACTGAATATTTCGGACCTCTGAAGGAACATCTGATCCGCTTGTCTGTTCAAGAACAAGAAGGAAGTCAATCTCGCTAGTGTGGTAGACATTTGCATCACAAATCACAAAACAAGCGAGTCTGCTTACCCGGTCCCTGGTCCCTGATAATGACATTTTAAATACGCATAGCACTAGAAACCAAGTCCTAATTGCCGCCGAGAAATCCAGTGTCGGGGCAAATTCGGCTTGTTAAATTGTACCGTTCTATGTACACCGGACTGCCGCGGAACATCCTCCACTCTCAACACTTCTCAGAGGCGTTGGAGTGTCGGTTGGCCAATCAAGACTCTGAATAACCGCAAATCTAGGTGGATAACGGCATATATAGATCATGGGTTCCAGCTATTGGCAATTCAACAGTTCTCTGTGGCCGGACTCTGGAGATAATCCGGCTTTTTCTCGGTCGGGAAGAGCCTCTGCTGGTCCACATTTTGTCTGGATGCGGCTGAGAACCAGCGGGTCGTATGGGGTTGTTATCTCAAGAGCGTGGGAGGTGATGCACGCCTTTGGAAGCTGCAATACGGACTCGTTAGTGATCGTTCGAGATACTGTATAAACATAAGGATACGGGAAGGTACTTTGGTCAGAGGCTAGAGTAGCGATGTTTCATTGGGCCATATGTGATGCATGTTAAATAAACTTTTGCACTGACCAACTGACAGTTGGATGTTTACGAGTTAGCTTATTTTGGTAGATATGGTTACATGGCGTTAAAAAGCACGAGAATAGTCAATAAGAGCTGCTTGTTCTGTTTAAAATGCTTCTTTCGTAGCTCCGTTAGGCAGTCCAGACAATACACTTGTTGCACGGTGTAAAGAAGAGACGAACCAGAAAACAAATTATTATTCACCGGGCCGGTTAGTCCGAAGAGGCTGCACGGAGGAGTTTTTTTCTGTTGGGACCCGAAGTGGGATGAGTGGAGCTCACTAAGACCGAGTAAAATGGCTAGTGATCAAAGACTGCGATGTTGCGTGGTCATGAACGAGCGATCTCTTTGTCACGGTTGACTTGAGCCCGATAACTGTACATTGGGCCAGTGTGTTTTAAGTCGGAGGTGAACAGGCTACTTAATTGACTTGAGATTATCGTTCTAGAGCGATCTGTCTCTGGATCTGTTGTGTTTTCATTGCCCACGGATCGTCGGTAGCTCCTGTATGGTTCGCATGCTACGGTCGCACGGAGGAGTGGCAGATCACGACCTCCACCGTTTACAGCGGTAAGCATGCTCCGCGCGATAACTTCCTTCCTCATTGACCGAGTATGTCGTGATAAGGTAGACCTGTATACGTAGACTCGGATCCGTTACGTAGACGATCGGCATATGCCACGCATCCTACAGAACCCAAGGAAGTATTGGACCGGTTTCCAATTCTCGATATTTCTATCTTACTCTGATCTACTAGTTCTTCAAGTAATTTACAGTACTAGAGTCAGTAATTTCCATGAAAGAGGGGCCAGAAGAGGGAAACCCCCCGCCTGCCAGGGGCACACCCACAGCCCGTCCCACACTGACTCGCGATGCCCCCACAATCCCACCACCCGCGAGAATGATAACGGGTTGGACGGATTTTACCTTAAAACACCGGACCTTTTACCGCTTCAAACAAAGTCCAACACGCCAGTGGAGTAATCGTTAGCAGGAGGTTAGCGGGCTTTATGGCCAGCCGGTGGCTCGAGCTGGTATAAAAGCAAATGGCAGATCCATGACCATCGACATGGCACTAAGTCCAATTTGCAGCACTAATCTCACAGCTCCCTCCACCGCAACGCAGGAGAATAAACTTCGAACCCGCGCTACAGACTAGCCGACGCTGATGCAGTACGAGTGCCAATCAGCACCCTCGAGACGGCAGATACTGGGTCGAGACTGAGGCAAGACCAGTGGCATGGACATTGTGTGCACGGCGATCCAGCCTAATAGGTCTGTTCTGCATGGGACAAGGCATAATATACTCGGGCTATGGAGGTTTATACCAAGTTCCTTTGAGTTGACTTTGCGGGTGATTTCGAACCCGGCTATGGAAATGTTCGGGTCGATGACATCGAGGGGTGGCGGAAACCGGGGAAAGGCAAGAAAGCTGATCATTAAAGCTGGCGAAAGGATAGACATAACCTAGGTTATCTCGCTGAGATCCTGGTCATCGTGGTCCTCCTCCCCCAGTCCGTCCGAAATGCCAAGGCGAAGACCAACTAGACGGCGGGAGGGGGCCGGGGTTGGCATCGGACGAATGGTTCCTACGGAAGATGCAGTAGTTTGAATGGAGAGAGAAGGTCGAGTCGAGCGGATGTGAATGGAAGGGGAAGGGAGCCCGGTCAGCTTTCCCCGGAGGAACGGAAGAGGGACCGTCGACTGTCCCCCCCTCCCCGCATGGCCGAACTGCCCCGCGTATTGGTTGGTATTGGTATTGGTATCATTGACTGTACGGTTGAGCTTTGTTTATTCCTCCACTCCCATAGCTGACCGGCAAGTAGAGTCACACAGCATGCGACTCGGCCTCTCGAATTCTCGAAGAGAACCCGTGAAAGAAATACGAAATAGTCAATGCACTATCCCTGTCTGTAGGGTTTCAAGGCAAGCTGGAAGAGGAAACCGGTAGGGCGCAAACATGCGGGAGTCAAGTAAAAGCACGGCCCACGCCGCATAGGGGCGGTCTTGGTGCCGTGCTTTTTAGCCGTCTTGGGAGTAGCTCCTCCTCTCTGTAACGCTCGGGTTTTTCCAGAACTCTCGACCGGGCTACAGCTGGCTGAAAACGTTCTAGAATGTAGAATTCACAACATTCCAAGTAATAAATCATCAACCGTCAATCTAGCGTAGGCCATATGTAGGGCTAACTAGGGAAGAGGTATTTTTCCGTAACTCCATAGTACGGCATCAATCATCATGGACAATACCTATAGAGTCATAAAGGGTCATCAGAAGAAGAATCGTAATTATAACGGTGGCCACTAAATATTGACACTAGCACCAGCACTAGCAGTGCCACTACTACCGTACTCTTGACACTGCTTATCCCGAAGTACCGTAGCCTAAATAAACTGGGTCCCTCCCCGTCAAAGTCCCTCAGCTCCGAGAACGAGTCTCCTCCATGCCGAACGGCCTCCGGATCCATTGGATTTTGCAAATTACCAAATAACAATTATTTAATTCCAGGCCCTGCCCATCCCCCCCCCCCCCTCCTCGAACTGCTCTTGTCTTTCGACTCTTCCTCTTCTCCATTCCTCCTATCCATCTTTCTCATTCCCTTTACTTTCCCACCTTACCCTCCCGGATTGTTCCCTCCTAGAGTGAGTGTTGATCTTCACTCCCCCCCCCCCCCCCAACCCCACTTTCATCCCACCTCTCCTTGCCCGCAATTTGACCGCTGACTTGGCTCGCCCGTTTCTCCCTGTAGAGTGGTGTTTACGCTCTCCTTATTATTTCCTCCTCTCTCCGTTTGAGTTTCTTTGCGTCCAAGAACTTACAACCATGTCGGACGCTCCCAAGCCCTCAGTGGTAAGTGTGGATCTTAACTTCGGGACACCTTTGCACATGCGATCGCCTCGCCAGTAGGGGGTTCATTTGCAAATGCGAGCGAGCTTTGGAGGCCGCGGAACATTCCTAGCTAATCCTGACCATTTGATAGGTGCTCGAGGCCCACGAGGTCGACACTTTCCACGTTCCCAAGGCTTTCCACGACAAGCACCCGACCGGAACTCACCTGAAGGATCTCGACGAGTACCAGAAGCTCTACGATGAGTCCATCAAGAGCCCCGACACTTTCTGGGCTCGTATGGCTCGTGAGCTCCTCACTTTTGACCGCGATTTCCAGACCACTCACTTCGGCTCTTTCGAGAACGGCGACAATGCCTGGTTCGTCGAAGGTCAGCTGAACGCCTCATTCAACTGCGTTGATCGTCACGCTCTGAAGAACCCCGACAAGGTCGCGATTATCTACGAGGCCGATGAGCCCAACGAGGGCCGCACCATTACGTACGGCGAGCTGCTGCGCGAGGTCTCTCGGGTTGCCTGGGTGCTCAAGCAGCGCGGCGTCAAGAAGGGAGACACGGTCGCCATCTACCTGCCCATGATTCCCGAGGCCGTGATTGCCTTCCTGGCCTGCTCCCGTATTGGTGCCGTGCACTCCGTCGTCTTTGCTGGTTTCTCCTCCGACTCTCTCCGGGATCGCGTGATTGACGCCCAGTCCAAGGTTGTCATTACCACCGATGAGGGTAAGCGTGGTGGAAAGGTTATTGGCACTAAGCGCATTGTCGACGAGGCCCTGAAGCAGTGCCCTGATGTTACCACCTGCCTGGTGTACAAGCGTACCGGCGCCGAGGTCCCCTGGACTGCCGGTCGGGATTTGTGGTGGCACGAGGAGGTTGAGAAGTATCCCAACTACCTGGCCCCCGAGCCGATGAACTCCGAGGATCCTCTTTTCCTTCTCTACACTTCCGGTTCTACCGGCAAGCCCAAGGGTGTTATGCACACGACCGCCGGTTATCTGCTCGGTGCGGCTATGACCGGTAAATACGTGTTTGATATTCACGAGGACGACCGTTACTTCTGCGGTGGTGATGTCGGCTGGATTACCGGTCACACCTACGTTGTTTACGCTCCTCTGCTCCTCGGTTGTGCTACCGTTGTTTTCGAGAGTACTCCCGCTTACCCCAACTTTTCCCGCTACTGGGATGTTATCGACAAGTACGATGTCACCCAATTCTACGTCGCTCCCACTGCCCTGCGCCTGTTGAAGCGCGCCGGTGACGAGCACATCCACCACAAGATGAAGTCTCTGCGCATTCTGGGCTCTGTTGGTGAGCCTATTGCTGCCGAGGTGTGGAAGTGGTACTTCGAGTCCGTTGGAAAGGAGGAAGCCCACATCTGCGATGTAAGTCTTGATCCCAGCCTTGTACGCATACTCAACGAAAGGATATCGGGCTAACAAGGAAATTTACCAGACCTACTGGCAAACCGAGACTGGTTCTAATGTCATCACCCCTCTGGGCGGTATTACCCCCACCAAGCCCGGTAGTGCCTCTCTTCCCTTCTTCGGCATTGAGCCTGCGATTATCGACCCCGTCTCTGGAGAGGAGATCACCGGCAACGATGTTGAGGGTGTTCTTGCCTTCAAGCAGCCCTGGCCCAGCATGGCCCGCACCGTTTGGGGTGCTCACAAGCGTTATATGGATACCTACCTGAATGTGTATAAGGGCTACTACGTAAGATACTGATCTCTTTATCTTTGTGATATCCTCCGATTTCGTCCGCTGACCGATTACCATCTAGTTCACCGGAGATGGCGCTGGTCGCGATCACGATGGTTACTACTGGATCCGTGGCCGTGTTGACGACGTTGTCAACGTTTCTGGTCACCGTCTGTCCACCGCTGAGATTGAGGCTGCCCTTCTTGAGCACCGTAAGTTCATATTATCGAATCGGAAAGACACTTGACACTGACCCCCCTCACTAGCCATGGTCGCCGAGGCCGCCGTTGTTGGTATCTCCGACGAGCTGACCGGCCAGGCTGTCAACGCCTTCGTTGCCCTCAAGGACGGCAATGAGACCACTGACCAGGTGCGTAAGGATCTGGTTATGCAGGTCCGCAAGTCGATCGGTCCCTTCGCTGCCCCCAAGGCTGTGTTTGTGATCGACGATCTTCCCAAGACCCGCAGTGGAAAGATTATGCGCCGTATTCTGCGCAAGATTCTCAGCGGTGAGGAGGACAGTCTGGGTGACACCTCAACTGTAAGAGACCCTTTTTCATCTTTTATAACAGTTGGACTATGCTAAGCTAACACGTTCAAAAAGCTGTCCGAGCCTGGTGTTGTGGACAAGATTATTGCCACCGTCCACGCCGCCCGCGCCAAGTAAAACGTCGAGTATATGAATTGATGATAATGAATGCTTCAGAAGAGTTTGCCCTTTTTTGAAAGTTCTTCTTAGGTGTGTTGATTGGTATTTCCTTCGATTTCCACGTCGCCTCCAGGACTGTCCGTAATGTGGGCATGCGAGATTTGATGTATTTCTCCGTTTCTTTCTGTATTTGAGATTCCCTGATCTGTCTATCCAGTTGTTGTGTGAATAGTATTATGCTTCTGGATATCAATGATCTTGACCTTCCTATCATTCGCAATGTGCATCTTGGTTACTCAGACATAAATAGCAAGATAGGTACTTAGTAGAGAGTACATAAGTATACACCCCTAAATTCGCATGCTAAAGGCTAGTCCCCGAATGAATGCATTGATGGGCAAAATCGAATATTTAGTAAACGGACGGGACCTCTCTTCGCCCTCAGACGGACTGGCGTGGCAACAATGCAAATGTGCCATCCATCAGGTGTGAATAAGCTGCACGATCTGGCAGATTCCTGCATGCGTCCGGTGGCATTGTTGACTTCAATAAACGTCCGTGCGTTAGCTTACCAAACCAGAACGGGTAAGTTAGTTAACTATAGCACATTTCAAAAAAAGTACCTCATTGGTCAAGTAGCCTCGATGCTTTGTTCAGGCAACAGTAACTCACGTGACGGACCACGAAGGGCCGTGCTGAGGTAAGCCATGCTTGCCTGAGCTGGCAAACTTGACCAACCTTGACTTTACTTTTCTGGCGCGTCCACCTCCCTCTCTTCCTCCTCTTCTTCCTCCACCACACGCGCTATCACCCATTCGCCTTCGCTGCGACATCTGTTTCATCCTTCGAATTTGCGTCATCTACGGTCATCTCCTCTCTATGCAAGCATAAATCTTTAACCCACCGACACCATGTCTTTCGGCTTCGGAGGAGGAGGAACTGGATTTGGGCAGACCAACCAGAGCTCCGGCTTCGGTACGGGCTCTGGGTTTGGAAGCTCCAACACCGGCACAGGTAGGTTGCTCTTACTTGCGCAATGGTTTCTTTCTTTCTTTTTTTTCCATCTGTTTCTGCTTCATGGATTGTGAATGGGGTCCTAGGATGTCCGGGGGCTGCTATTCTCCTCATTATTCCCTGCTTTGTTTTTCATTCTGGGCTCCCGGTTGGCAAAGACCCTCGAAATCTCCTGGAAGGTGTACTCCTGGCGCTGGACAACCCGCGATGACGACGACACGCGCAAAGTCAGCGACCTCCCTCCATTCTGGCCCAACTTTGCTCGTGCCCACGGAATCTCCCGCGGACTTCCTCGACGCTCAGCGACACTGCGATAAGAGAAGAGGGTGTAAGGGTAGCCTTGGATAAATCAGTTCTCTGACAAGCGATCCCACTCCGTCATCTAGGCTTTGGCTCGACCACCTCTGCGTTTGGTGGCGGAAATACTGGAAACACTGGCGGGAACCTCTTTGGCACCACGTCCAGCGGCTTCGGCACCGGCACTAACACAGGTACGTGCTCAATAACGACCGAGCTTTGCGATGATGGCACTGGGTTTTCCGCGTCGCGAGGGATTGACTGTGTCGCTTCGTGTCCCGCCTACCTTTGCTTCAGTCGCCATCATGAAGCTCCTTTGTGGGATCAGCTGCTTTGTTACACGCGCAATGGATACAATCTATTCCAGAGAATGTCAAGCCCATTGGACCTTCCCGGAGCTTTGAGGCCTTTGCACTCATGGATCCCAGTCATCCATTCAGCTGCTATCTATTACTTACTTTTGCTTGGATTAACCTTTTGAATCTTTTGCTAACCTGGCTATTTACTTCCTTAGGCTTCGGTTCCAACACTCAGAATCAAACTACATCCATGTTCGGCGCCGCAAATCAAAATCGCACCTCTGGATTCGGAACCAACACCAATACTGGCGGCAGTCTCTTTGGCAGCACTACCCCAAACACTGGCGCTACCTCTGGCTTTGGTGGAACTACCGGGTTCGGGTCTACCCCCAGTGCCACCGCTGGGTTTGGTAGCAGCGCAAACACCAATACTGGCTTGTTCGGCAACAAAACTGCCACTGGTTTCGGTACTTCGAACACAGGCACCACCGGCTTTGGCTCCTCCGGTAATACTGGATTTGGAGCAGGCGCCGCCAACACTGGCTTCGGTGGCACCGGCACTGCCTTCCAGGGCGCGCAGACTTGTGAAGGTACCGGCGGCACTCCTTTCAATCCATTCACTGAAAAGGATGCCAACTCGACCGCGACCAACCACTATCAGAGCATCAGTTTCATGCAACCTTACAGCAAGTTCTCTTTTGAAGAACTAAGACTTGCCGACTACCAACAAGGACGTCGTTTCGGTAACGCAAGTGGACAGCCCGGTGGCTTCGGTGCTCCGGCCTTTGGTTCATCTACTGGGTTTGGAGGTCAACAAGCTACTGCTGGCTTCGGCGCCAGCACTACTCCGTTCGGTGGTGCTGCTGCTACTTCTGCGCCGTCTGGCTTCGGCACAACCCAGACCACCGGTGCTTTCGGTGGCGGCAATGCCGGGTCAAACCCTCTCTTCGGTGCCAAGCCTGCGACGTCGATGTTCGGCGGTGCAACCCAGACCGCTGGGCAGACAGGGTCCATGTTCGGTGGCGGTACCGCAGCTAACACTACCGGCGGCTTCGGTGCCAACACTACAGCTACCCCTAGCACTGGGTTCGGCGCCAACACAGGCAGCTCGCTCTTCGGCAGTCAGCAGCAGAACAAGCCGGCTTTCGGCACCGGCTCGACTGGCACTGGATTCGGTGGCGGATTTGGTACCACCCAGGCTACCACTGCAGCCAACCCCTTTGGCAGCACTCCTGCGACCACAACACCATTCGGAGGAGGTCAACAGCAACAGCAAGCCGCACCTGCCTTTGGCGGTGGCTTTGGTAGCACCCAGGCACAGGCTCAGAAGCCTGGTGGCCTATTTGGTAGCGCTGGCGGTTTCGGAACGAACAACCAGCAGCAACAGACCGGCACGGGCTTGTTTGGCAACACCAGCACTGGCCAAGCGACCACTGGTGGCTCTTCGCTATTCGGCGGTGGCCAGGCTCAGCAAGCCCAACCTGCAACCTCTTTGTTCGGCGGCGGTCAGGCCCAACAACCTGCTACGGGGACTGGTATGTTCGGTGGCGCTCAAAACCAGCAGAAGCCCGCGACTTCGATGTTCGGTAACACAGGCACTGCCACTACTGGCGGCGCCTTCGGCAGCAGCTTTGGTAACACCCAAGCTCAGACGGGTACCGGTGGTCTCTTCGGTGGTGCGCAGGCTCAACAGGCCAAACCTGGCATTTTCGGCACTTCCACTACTTCCACCGGCGGTTTGTTCGGTCAGCCTGCCGCAAATCAAACTGCTGGAAGCTCGCTCTTTGGTGGAAATCAAAGCCAGCAACAACAGCCTGCCGGAGCCAGCATCTTCGGCGGCTCACAGCCTGCGCAACAACAGCCGCAACAGCCTGTGCCCGGCAGCTTCCAGGCCTCTTTCAACGATCCCAATCCCTATGGCAGTCAGTCCATTTTCTCTGGCCTTCCGAGCCCGATCGTGTCCACCCCCGGCCCTCTTGCTACGCCACTCTCCTCTAGTATGAAGCAGAAGCAGCGAACCCCTCTGCCTGTTTACAAGATCACCCCCAATGCTGCCAACCGGCTCATTACCCCGCCCAAGCGCCCTGGCTACGGGTTCTCATACTCGACCTACGGCTCGCCCTCTAGCACTGCCAGCACTCCGGGCGCTGGCTTCAGCAGCAGCCTTTTGGGTGGTGGTGGTGGTGGCGGCAGTCTCCGTGGCAGCATCAGTGGCAGCCTGGGTCGTAGCTTCAGCAAGAGCTACTCCACCAGCAACTTGCGCAAGTCATTCATTCCGGATGAGGACAGTGTTCACTCTCCCGGTGCTCTCCTGCCCACCAGCGCTCGTAGCAACGGTGGTAGCCTCAAGCGCCTTACTATTGACCGCTCCCTGAGAAATGATCTTTTCTCACGCCCAGCTAGCACCTCGCCTGCCCCCATCGCTAATGGTGATGATTTCCATTCAGCTGACAAGCTTAAGAAGAAGGTTAGCTTTGACTCCGCTCCTTCTGGTGGCGAGATCGTTCCCGTGGAAGCCAAGAGCCCCGAGCCCACTGCGGAGGAGCTTGGCTTCCTTCGCTCCACGCGCAAGAGCGGCACCCTTGATGGTATTGATGGGGGATTGGAGCGTCCTGAGATGGAGTCGACCCGCCGCGACCTTGCTGTTGTTCCCGAAAACGCCGAGCCCAGCCCCAATGGCACCTCCGCCAAGCGCTCTTCCTTCATCCCCGGTGGCGACCCCAAACCGGGCGACTACTGGATGTCGCCTTCCCATGCCGAGCTCGCCAAGCTGTCTCGTGAACAGCTGAAGAAGGTGGTTGATTTCACCGTTGGCCGTCAGAACTGCGGTGAAGTTACTTTCAACGGCCCCGTGGACCTCACAACCGTCGACCTTGACAACATCTTTGGTGGCATTGTCGATATTGGCGTTCGTAAGATTACTGTCTACCCAGATGAGAGCCTGAAGCCTCCTATGGGCAAGGGCCTTAACGTTCCCTCTACCCTGCGAATCCAGAACTCCTGGCCGCGTGGCCGCGACCGCAAGAACCCCCTGCCCATCACCAGCGGCCCCCTCTTCGACAAGCACGTCGAGCGTCTGCGCAAGGTGACCGATACCGAGTTTGTCGACTATGAAACCGACACTGGCACCTGGGTCTTCAATGTCCCCCACTTCACCACTTATGGACTTGACTATGACGAGGATGAAGGTGAGAGTCTTGAGCAAAGCACCCTGGGTGCAGGCCCTGATGACAACCGCACTCCTAAGGCTCATCACGATCACCCGGCGAACTTTGAGCAGTCTGCGACCTTCTCCATTGACGAATCGTTTGTCGGCTCTATGGCAGGTGTTGACGATGACACTTTTGATTTTAAGAAGCGCAAGATCGTCCCGGGCTCCTTCGGCAGCCAGGCCATGCAGGCGCATGATGAGGAAATGGAATCTGAAGGCGACACCGAGTCTTTTTTAGAGGAAGGCTCCGCGGGTTCAACTACTGAGCATGACGACGACTACGTCACCGAGAGCCAGCGATCTGGCGACTCGACAGTTGGATCTGATGAGGATCAGGCAATGGACATGGCGGGTTCCTTTCCCAATCTTCATCGCACCGTGGAGCAGGATGACGCCCAGAGCATCGACAGTGACCTGGACACAACCCACCCCTTTTCAAAGCCATTTGACACCCCTGGCAAGCCGCGCCTCGACTTGAGCGGTGACTGGGCTGAACAGCTTCAGCGAACCATCAGCCCTCGCAAGCAGAATCGTGACGCACTGCGCGAGATTCAGGCCAATGCCTTTACCGATCGACCCCTTCTGAACGACGGATCGCCGGTCCATAAGACAGCGGTTTCCCCCAAGAAGAATTTCACGACCAGTATCGACCTGATGAACTCTCTCTTCCAGCAGCCACAGCGGAAGCAGAACGTACCCGCTACGCAGAAGGCGCAGCCCAAGGGCTTTGAGGTTCGAGCTCCCTCCTTGCTGTACACTTGATTCCTTTTCTCATTCCCTCTGCATTTTCATCCACCTCTTCACACCTGATCAATATGCATTTGTGATCATTTTCGCATTCCCTTGCACACATTAGCCTGTATCCCCTCATATCATGTATCTAGCACCAAACCCCCCCGCAGATAGTTAACCAAATTTGAGAAGCTCTATGCTAAAACTTTGTTTTATTCTGTACAGTGGCCCTACAACAAGCAACCCAAGACATTCGCCGGAGATTCGACGCAAATGGACCAGAATGATGCCGCTTTCCACAACTCCTTCAAGCCACGCTGGGGTCCCATGGATTCGATCGTTTGCGCCAGAAATGACATTACCGGACCTTTGTCTGAAAGCAACCAACGCTGGAAGGAGCGTTTGTCTGTCTTTAGCGAGGGGCGCGATGTTACTGTGTTGCAGTACAGTCAGTCCCGTACTGTATGTATAGGATGACCCTCCGATGATGGAGCTGAAGCTGACCCCTTTACTACGTAGTCCAATGCTTTGCTTGAGGTGCAAAAGAAACAGTCCACCATCCAGCGTGTTGATGGGACTCCCCGGGTTCGTCTAGCAAAGGCTGACCTCCGTCAATTCGCCCTTGGCCCGGCTCAAGATGAGGAGCAATTGATATGGCAGCTGGCCAATGTTCTGTTCAATGATGACATTGAGGATGACATTTCTGCCGGTGTACCACCACAATTGCGATCGAAGTTTGCCCACCGAATTAAAAAGGACCGATTGACTCGCCTTTGGGAGTCTGTTATCCGTGGAAAGCACGCCCACACGCTCGATGCAATTCGCTCCCCCGAAGAGCGAGCCGTCCACCTTCTTTCTTCTCACCGTGTCGATGAGGCATGCAAGACGTTGGTTGACAGCCAGAATCTCCACTTGGCTACTGTGGTTGCACAGATTGGCCGTGATGCTACCTCACGGTCCGACATTGCCAGTCAGATCGACGTCTGGCGCCAGAACAACGTTTTGTCAGAGATGACTGAGCCGGTCCGTGCTCTCTACGAGCTTGTTGCTGGTAATGGTCTTCGGAGTGAAGGCAAATCAGGAGGTGCGCTTGAGGACCGGACTTCGTCCTTCACCTTCAGCGAGCGCTTCGAGCTTGATTGGTTCCAGGCATTCGGCCTTCGCCTGTGGTACGGAACTACTGAGGATGAGCCGATCGAGGCTGCTGTCTCCAAGTTCCTTGACGACCTCACGACTGGACTCGAGCCTGCTTTCCCCTATCCATCGCACCACGCTCACACCCGAGCAAGCTTACAACCTGGTACTGATACTCTGGGCCGTGAGTCTCCTCTGTGGGTGCTTCTCAAGGCATACGCGGCGGCTAGTGGTCGTGCCAATGTTCCGCCTGTGCAGTTGCCAGCAGCTCTGCTGCCAGAGTCGGTGTGCGGGGATCGTCTTGCAAACCGCCTTTCCTTCCAGCTTCATCATGTTCTTGCGGCTGTTATCGGCCAGAACGAAGCGATGCAAATCGACCAGACTCAGGTCGACCGCCTGGTTTGGGACTACGCCTCCGAGATTGTCGCTGGTGGGGAGCTTGCCTCATCCCTCTTTGTTCTTCTTCACCTCTCGCAGGCGGAAGATCGCAAGCGTGCCGTTCAAGATGTGCTTGCCCGCTTCGGTGCTACTCTACCCAACCCGACCGCCGAGGATGGATCGACTGTCGATCCTACATGGCTGAACCTGACTGTCGAGCTTCAACTACCCGAAGCCTGGATCTGGGTTGCCAAGGCTCTACACGCCCACGACCGTGGTGACGCCGCTCGTGAAGTTGACTGCCTTATCCGCGGCAAGTACTGGAACGACGCGCACGCAACCTTCTGCAGAGTCGTCGGCCCTACCGCCATCGTTTCTCAGGACTACCACACTCTCGAGCAACTGGTCTCTGGCTTTGGTGATGGCCCTGAGCGCAAGATGCGCGGCTGGGCTTCTGGTGGTGGCATCTACGAAGATTTCCTGCGCTTGGCTATCGCACCCCGTGGTCGGCGCGACCCGACCCGCCTTAGCCGCCTGGTGAATGCCCTTGTTGACATGGGTGAACGTACTCGCAATACCAAGGGTATGGACGGATTATTGGAGAGCGTCGCTTTCAAGGAGATGAGTCGCGCTGTCGCTGGATGGATTACCCACGAAGATGTTCATGTACGTCTTGCTGCTATTGATTTCTCATTCACTTCCGTTGCTAACCGTCCTTTCCAGTCCGTTGAGTCCTCCGCTGTCCTCGGTCTTCCCCTCAATGGTGACGCTCGTGTTCTGCAGACGGCGGAGATGAGCCGTCGCTATTACGGTATTATCATGGCGGGCGGTCAATAGGTGATCCTGGTGGCTTGTTCGGTGTCACGGCCCCACGGATCCAAATGCTTTCTAGAGGTGCATGGTCATCTACGCGTTTTATTGTATGCTCCCATGGCTTCTTCGCTTCAGCGTTAATTCTCCCTTTCCCAAATGTCTCTTCTTACTTTCTTCTCTTTTGTGTGATCTGAACCCGACATGACTGTACTTTATCAATCGATCACGTTTAGTGGCATGGATGTTGTTCTGTAGAATCTTGTAATATCTTGTAGCGTTACTGTAGAAGCATCATCATCACCTCACCCCATATACAAGCCAATCCGGTTCAGGACCCGGAACCGGCATTACCCTCATTGGTTGGGAAAGTATAAATCTTGCAAGAGGAAATCACCATGAAGCATTCTTTCCCTCGACCCCCTTATCTTCCTTCTTTTTAATATCCTAACAAGAGACTCCCCTTCTTCTTCAATCTACTATTTCAAGATCCAGTTTCCGACACATCCATGGCTTTGGTGCCTTCAATAACGAGCCGTGGCCAGCCCTTGTACAAACATAAGAGCCCACGACTGGGTAGAACTATAGACCAGATTAGTCCAAAGTATGCTGCACTCCTCAATTGACCATCCGGCTCTACTAATCTGTTAGATACTGGCTCTATCCCCCGGATCTCAAGGAGATTCTGACCCTTTAGACTCTACCCAACCTGTGTTACAATGAGCTCTCGCATGTCACGGATCACTGGTGCATGATTGGGTACACAGTCGCTCTTTTACCGGAGTTCTACAAGCCGGCGCTAGGAAGGTGCAATCGACTCCAGGTGGTTATTTCTTAGATCTTTCCATCTCAAACCCTTTACAATCTGGCAGGCGCGGACCGCTGAGTTGTCGAAGCACTGCGAGGCGCCCTTTCAGGCTGAACCGCGAAACGAGGCAAGTGATCCATTTGAACGTTTCCTTCTCACCATTCACATGGACTAGGTCCCCTGCTCATCTCTAGTCGGGTTTCATCAGCGCCTTCTACAGTTCCATCTTCCACGCCTCAGGATCATCGGTATCGTCGTTTCTGGATCAAGCGTGTCAGAATGGACTCGACAGGACGACTGCGCTGGAATGTGGGTGTGCATCCACGGTATACACCCGGAAATGTTCATGTATCGCGTCGTCCCCTCCCCAGTGCTTATTCGCGCAATAGGGTTATCCCACTCGAGACCACCCCCAGTCATCCCAACAACATTCAGCCTTCCAACATCAACAACCAGCCTTCGCAGACCTCTGCAGCCAGTGACGGAGACCACCTGGATATCGGGGCGCAACTCGAGATGGCTGAAGCTACACCGGACAACCGTCCCGCCCATTCGGCATTTGGCAAGTACCAAAAGATCTTCATTGTCGTGATGGTTACTCTGGCTTCGTTCTTCTCTCCTCTCTCTGGTCAAATTTACTACCCGGTCATGCCAACCCTCGTCAAGAACTATCACCTCACCACTGCGCTGGTCAATCTGACTATTACCACCTACATGATCCTTCAAGGCCTTGCACCGAGCTTCATGGGTACCTTTGCAGATAACGGGGGTCGTCGTCCGGCATATATTGTCGCATTCGCCATCTACACCGTTGCCAATATCGGCCTCGCACTGCAGAATAGCTTCGCCGCACTACTGGTGCTCCGCTGCGTCCAGAGTGCCGGCAGTAGTGGTACAGTTGCCTTTGGCTATGGGGTTATCGCCGATATTGCGACTCCCGCAGAGCGTGGCAAGTACATCGGACCCATGTCTGCGGGTGTGATGGTTGCGCCAGCTCTCGGCCCGGTCATCGGTGGTCTGCTATCTAAATTCCTCGGCTGGCGCAGCGTCTTCTGGTTCCTCGTCATCGTCAGTGGCGGATATCTGATTGTCTACATGATTGCTATGCCGGAGACGGCGCGTGAAATTGTCGGAAATGGCAGCTTGCCGCCAAAGGAGTCCTGGCGGATGTCGTTGATCCAGTATCTATCTTCTCGGTTTTATGGACAGACGGCGGCGAATGAGACAAATCAAGAGGAATCAGAGCATCAGCCGCGCTCTTCGAAGCTCAAATTCCCGAATCCGCTCACGTCTTTCGCTATCTTACTCGAGAAAGATGCGTTGATCATTATCTCTTACGTTGGACTGGTCATGTTCGGCAATATCGCCTTGCTCACCAGCACGCCCAATCTATTCCCTCGGCTATACGGGTTCAACGAGCTTCAAGTTGGCTTGTGTTTCCTGTAAGTTTCATCCCATCTCGATACATGACTATCAGCCATACTAACTTGGAGCTTCACACAGTCCCCTCGGCGTCAGCGCCTGCATCAGCGCCGTTCTCAACGGCAAACTAGTCGACTACAACTACAAACGCATCGCCAATAAGCTCAATCTCCCCATCGACCGCAAAAAAGGCGATGATCTCCGCAATTACCCCATCGAACGAGCTCGGCTACAGTGCGTCTTCCCTCTCATGGCAGTCGGATGTGCAGCTTTCATTCCATACGGATGGACCCTTCAACAACACACAAGCCTAGCAGCGCCCCTTGTCCTCCAATTTATCATCGGATTCTGTTTCATCGCCTCGCTGAATACTCTCAACACCCTCCTGGTAGACCTCTTCCCGGACCGCGCTGCCACCGCCGCTGCGGCGTGCAATCTCGTACGTTGCTGGCTGGGAGCCGTTGGCGCCGCGGTGATTGATCAGATGCTGTCGGGTATGGGATGGGAATGGACGTTCTTCTTCTTGGGCTTGTGCATGGCCGTTGCTATGGGCTTACTCTGGGTAGAGCTGATGTATGGCATGCACTGGAGACAGACTCGACTGGATGTGATTGAGCGAAAGAAGGCTCAACGAGCCGAGCAGGCCACAGACACGGAGGCTCAGCTCGGTGTGAAGAGTGACGCAGGCGAGAACAAGGCTGTCGAGGTCAATGGGAGTGCCAAGTGAAATATTTCTTGTTATATGGATTTCCATCCAGATTGCTCATCGCCTCGGTGATTCGAAGCTCTGGATTTGCTGTTGCGTTGTTTTTTTTTCCTGATGAGACGATACTATGAGCTTCAGCAAGTGTCATTTATTTCTTAGCTTACGTCTCTTAATGAAACTGTTGATTGAGTCTATTACTCCACGAAAAATAAGGAAGACATAAAATGCATCAATTTGCTACCGACTGTACATGGAAGGAAAGAGACCTAGACGCGACAGAAAGGGGATCGAACAGGAAAGAGATATAGGAAAATAGTAGAGACAACCTCTGCCCCAACCATCACCGGCCGGGCATGATAACCAGCCAGCGAGAAAGGGAGAAGTCCAAAAAAAAATAGAGATCTAGTTCTTTAGAAAGGATACCGGATCCGGTTCCTGCATCGGTTTTGAGGAACAAGATGGAGTTGAGGATGTGAAAAGAGGCAGAGGTGGAGGAAGATAATTGCTTTTTTCAAATCGGTTTACATGCCAGGGGAGATCAGCTTGCCCTCGGCACGGGCAGAAGGCTTCCAGCCACCAGCGAAGGGAGCACCGCCAATCTCCTTCTCGTACTGGCGGATACGGGCCTCCAGCTCGGGGCGGAAGTGGCGGATCAGACCCTGGATGGGCCAGGCGAAAGCCTCACCCAGAGCGCAGATGGTGTGGCCCTCGACCTGCTTGGTGAGCTCCTGGAGCATGTCGATCTCACGCTCGCGAGCGTTACCGGTCTCCATGCGCTGCATCATCTGCATGGTCCACTTGCTACCTTCACGGCAAGGGGTGCACTGACCGCAGGACTCGTGCTTGTAGAAGGTGGACAGACGGGAGATGGCGCGGACGATATCGGTGGACTTGTCCATGACGATGACGGCAGCGGTGCCCAGACCGGACTGGGAGTCCTTCAGGGCGTCAAAGTCCATCAGCTGGTTATCGGCGACGTGCTTGGGGATCACGGGGGTCGAGGAACCACCGGGGATAACGGCCAACAGGTTATCCCAACCACCACGGACACCTCCACAGTGCTTCTCGATCAGGTCGCGCAGGGAGATGGACATCTCCTCCTCAACGGTGGCGGGGTTGTTGACGTGGCCGGAGATACAGAACAGCTTGGTACCGGCGTTGCGCTCACGGCCGAAGGACGAGAACCAGCTGGCACCGCGGCGGACAATGGTGGGGACCACGGCGACGGTCTCGACGTTGGTGACGGTACTGGGGCAACCGAACAGACCGACGGCAGCGGGGAATGGAGGCTTCAGGCGGGGCTTGCCGGCCTTGCCCTCAATGGACTCAATGAGCGAGGTCTCCTCACCGCAAATGTAGGCGCCCATTCCGCGGTGAATGTAGACATCGAAATCGTAGCCGGTACCGCAAGCGTTCTTGCCGATGTAGCCCGCGGCGTAGGCCTCGTTGATGGCCTGCTGGAGAACGGTAGCCTCCTCGTAGAACTCGCCACGGATGTAAATGTAGGCGGCATTGGCGTTCATGGAACGGCCAACAACCAAGCAACCCTCGATCAGCTTGTGGGGGTCCTTGCGCATAATCTCACGGTCCTTGCAGGTACCAGGCTCGCCCTCATCGGCGTTGACGACCAGGTAGCGGGGGCGGGGGTCCTTGTCCCAGTCCTTGGTGTTCATGAAAGACTAAAATGCAGCAAAAGAGGACCATTCGGTTAGAAACACGTTCCATCATATGCCCACTTATCACCCAGAACCCCAATTGGATCTGGGTTCACTCCATCCCACTTACGTATTTCAGTCCGGAGGGGAAACCAGCACCACCACGGCCACGCAGACCAGAAGCCTTAATCTCGGAAATGAGCTGTTTTCAAGAAGCACACAATGTCAGTAACACCGATAACCACGTCCGCCGAGCGCACCCAGGCCTGCAACACAAGCAAGACGAAAACGCACCCAATCGTCGCCCTTGAGCACAATATCCTTGGTCCGGTGCCAATCACCACCGTACTTCATCGACGACTTCAAATCGGGGCTGTGGTGACCGTAAAGGTTGGTGAAGATGCGGTCCTGGTCTCGGAGCCCGCCATAGTGCTTGACGGGAGGAGCCTCCTGCACGGTCGCGAACGAGCGGGCGGCCGCCCCCTGGGCGCGGAGGGAGCGGCTCGAGAGGGAGGCGAGGGTAGAGGTGGAGGGAGCCGCCGCTCGAGATATCATGATGGCGGATTAGGACAATGGCGTGGAGAGGATCAAGCAGTTCTCTGGAGAGAAGGGAAGGGGGAGCTCACGGCAATTCCTGCGCTTGCTGAACGATCCGCCATTACGTGAGCGCTGATTGGAGAAGAGTCACGTGGTCGTGTCAAATCTCGCTGAGTCATCGATCGGTCCCGATTCGGCCATGACGCAACTTCCTTTTTGGGATGTTGTATAGTTTGGATATTCTTGTTTTCTTTTGAAACTTTTTATTCTTTCTCTGCTCTTGAATTCCGCTAATCTACTTCTACTCTTGCGGCACATATAAGCATCCCAGCTTTGGTAAGCCCGGGTTCTCCGTCGCCAACACCTGCAACGGCTCATGAGGAATCAACACCATCTCCGCCTCTGCCACAGTAAACGCCCAAGCTAGCCAGTTAGAATCCAGCCATCCACAGTCATCAGACAGCCAGTATACTCCATCTTGAGCTGCCCACGCCTGGGCTTGCTCGCTCTGGACAAATCGGATCAATTGTATAGTCTCACTAGTGACCGATGGGACAGCAGACAATGGATACTGCTCAACCAGGAAATCCACCCATCGAGTCAGGCGCGAGGACAATTGTGGTCGTGCTTGAGACGATCGCCCAGTCGCTACAAACAAGCAAAGTACCAGAGAGAAAAGGGCCTGCGGGTCCGTCTGCAACGAAGGGACCTGCTGGCCAGCTTGTGCAAGTACATGATTGAAGCAGGCCCGACTCGCCGCCTGCATTTCAGCAGGCAATAGACCAAACAACTCTCCCAAACGGAATAATTCTCCATTCTTTTTGAGTAGTGACTCTCGCTCCAGGATCCGCACCCGAATCCTCGACAATGTCTCGGCTGAAAAGTGGCCTTCTGGGATCTGTGACATGTGCTCGTTCAGTAGAGTCTTAATATCCTCCCAGCTTTCATCGCGAGTATGCTCCCGTGCACGGGCAAGAGTCCATGTAGCAATGACCAGTGCGGCCTTGTCGAGTGTGAGCAGGCCGTTGCGGTAGATCTGGGCAAATGCCTGTTTCAAATTCGTGGGCTGTAGCTGACGGTCCTGGCCGGTGGCTTCCAGCATTGTGATATGTGAGATCAGCTCGAAGCTGATTTGAGATAGTGCTGCCAGTGTGCTGTGGCTATTTCCGTAAGTAGTCGGGACTGAGATAGCCGATTCGCTGATTTCGATTTGTTTGCGCTCGCGCTCGTTGGCATGCATGATTGTCAAGGAGTTGAAGAGGGCAGGTGAGAAGATAGAGTGCTCCATAGCAGTATCAGGCCCGAGAAGTGGGTAAAAGACGTTGAAAATATAGTAATGATCTTCCGTATTGTTGGCTACCTCGGGGAACATCTCAATTTGGCGGTTCTTGGCATTACTGAGATGGCTGTCTGGCTTCACACCCAGCTTGATGATGCGGTAGTCTGTTGGGTTATTCGGGAGACAGAAGCCGTAATTCATCAGGACTGTTCATATAAGCATCAGTATGAAAGACTTTAAACTTCGAGAAGTAGAAAATCACGCACGTTGCTCGTTGTTTCGAGGTCCATAATTGTTTGAAATTTCATGGCCCGGGCCAACCTCCTCCAAAATGACCATCCCAATATCGGAAGATCCTGCCCGCCATTCGACCTTGGCCAGTGGACGGTGATTGGGAAGATCAATTAGCGGCAGAAGCACAGATACACCACTCTCCTCTGCAAGCCTAGAGGCCTCAACGACACTGGAGAGAACCTTTGGCGAAAATGCTCTCGAGGAGATAATAGTCGAAGCCCACAAATACAAATCCCTGCTCAATGATACCCGTCAACCATACTAGTCCTCAATCAATTTCAAATCAGTCACTACTTACCAAGTATACTCTTCAATCCCCTCAAATCCAACCTCCTCCAATTTCGCTATGCACTGCTCATACCTCTCATCCCAAACCTGATATCTCTGCACCGCCGCCTCGGGAATACCAGTCCCCTGAATCCAATCCACGTCCTCCTCCCCGAAGAAAAGCGGCGTGTTCAACTCCCCAGGCTGAGGCAAAGTCCGCAAATACGGATACCAGAAGCCCTGAGAACCACGCAGGAATTGGCCCATCAGGAAGAAAGTGCACGTTTCCTCAACGGCCACGGCATCGATGAAAGCTTGAGGCAGCTCGACACCATGTTTGGAGAAAGTTGCTTCTGGTGTTTGGAATCCAATGGCATTGAAGAACGACATTGTTGCGCCTATAGGTGTGCTGAGCACTTTGGTTTCCTTGCTGATGGGTTGAGGCCAATCCTCCTTGACTTGGATATGGACCCCGCGCGAGGCATCTTGCGCGACGCGTACACACTCGTTTAAGGAGCCGCCTTGGCTAATGATCCATTCTAAGAGCTCCATGTGCGCTTGTAGCGAGTGGCCGCTTTCTTGTCTGTTGTGCCTGTTAGTCCGGTCTCGCTGGAAGCTCTGGTATATAACCATTGTGGAGTGACAGGCTAGGCTGAGTGGAATTGAAACTGCTTACTCTGTCGACGATACCATCCTGGTAACAGCTTGTCAATCCTAATGTAACGGACTGTCTGTGTGCGTATCAATCACAGATCAGATGGACCACAGGAGCGGGACAAAAGCTAGTGATATCATTGCTTGTCGAAAAGATTCGGCGGGATGGTGGGTGATCGGGCCCACTTTAATTTTCCCGATTGAAACCTTGTGTGCCACGACACCTGGACCTCCGAGAAACAGCCAACTTGAACAGCAAATTCATTGTGATTTTGACTCAGAATACATCTAAGGCTATTCTCACCATGAGGCATAATTAGCGAGTGTACGTAGTACAGTTTTGGCTATGAAAGAAAGTACTGTCACACATCGCCAAAGGGAAGTGCAAATCGAGAATAACTCTAGCAGTCTATACGGCCATCATCTCATGAATAAAGCATCAATTGACTTCTCTCTAATCCAAGTATCGTACAAGGGCATCAGCATCCATCCCCATCAAATAAGCCACCAGGCTCGCCCTATCCCGCAACGCATGCGACGGCTCATAAAAAGCACGATACAAGCTCTCACCCCATGCGGACTCGCGAGCTCAAAATACAAAAAGCAAAGGTCATAATGCAGCCCTCCCCCAGGTGAACCAGAAGATGGAAACATATATACAAATGCCATGCCACGGTTAGCAGCATGGATGTAAACATCCCCGACTGACGAAAATCAAGAAGAAAACGAGGAAAAGCATGGAGTAGAAAACGCGACAAGGAGGAAAACTTGGCCATTGGAAAGGTATGGTTTTCTTTCTGAATGGTAGGCATTGACCAAAGGACATCGTTGCTAGTGTATGCGAGCAGGGGGAAAATAAGAAACAATAAAAGATGGGTGCAAAATGCACGAAAAAGCGAACGCGGAAGGGGAATCAGGTCTGAAAATTGGAAGCCCGGCTAGTTGGAGGTTGAAGATTTGCGGCCAGGGACGAGAATCTCTACCAAGCCATCATCTTCACCGTCACTGCTATCGTCTTGGTCATCGTCAAAGTGGGAACTCACTGCCCGCGGCCGGCGGAAACCGCTGTATCGCGTCTGGCCGGGGAGGTTGGAGTAGCCCAAAGATTCGTTGATGATGGCTTCATCTTCATCGTCCGAGTCAACCATTCCGCTCGCACTGGGTCCAACCATCTCGCCCATCTCGTCGTCATCATCTTCCTCGACTTCGAGAGGGACGCGAACGCGTCGTCGCACGCCTTCTGCGCGACCATCGCCTTCCTCATCGGAGGAGTTGGTGGATAGCGAGTCAGGTGGACTGAATCCAGACTCGGGGAACGTGGGGGAGAAGGTCTGATCCGCATTGGACGCGAAATCGGAATTGGGGAACGCCGAGCTGCCGCCGTCGGCATCATCCTCAATTCCTGCAATGATGAAGGGGTTGGAGGACCACTCTCGACCTTCTTCCTCTGCACTTCCTTCCTCTCCGACATTTGCATTCCCTGCTGCTTGCTGTTTCTGGGCCGCAAGCCGTGCTGCTAGCTGACGCCGAGCTCTAGAGGGACCCATACTCAACGGGGCAGGAGGTGGAGGCAAAATGGGAATAGGCTGGCTGGTAGAATTTTCAGAGACCTGCAAAGATATAAGTCAGCAAAATAAAACGTAGTTCGAAGGGGGATTGTAGGCAATGAATGGACTATAACAGGCGTTCCATGGACGAGAAACAACTCAACGCACAGGCCAGCGGTACGTTATACAGTTGTAATCAGGGGAACAGAAGGGAGATGGAGTCCCGTCCGAATGGGCACTTTTAAGGGCAGGGGTGGATATTGCCTCTAGGACACTTCACATCGACCTCAAAAGAATAGAAATCATGGAAGATGAAGAGAACGGTGGAGTAAGGAAGGGACGGAGAAAGGGTCATCTCTGGTAGCAAATTTGAGTGCAAAACCAACAATCGCAGGATTGCACAACCTTTGTTCCCCTGATCAAATCTCTCGCCACCCTTCCCAATCCAGTCTCTTCCCCGCGGTGTACAGAGTGATGAAATATGGCGCACGGAGGAAATCATGCATCGTGCCTCGAAAAGATGGTACCCACATTCTCAGAATCGCCGTGGTCGGCACCGGTAACATCTCGGTCTTCTTGGTCTTCCATCTCTTCATCCTCATCATCGCTCGAGCTAGCAAAGCCACTCAAAAGTGAAGTACCACCGCCAAAGGCTCCACCAGAAACGCTACCCTGGTTAATCTCAAAGCCCTGGAAAGTTGAGCCGCCAATTCCACCGTTCAACCCGGCATCGGCCAAGGCAGAGGAGTTGTTGCTGAATCCTTGGTTGGAGGTGGAAGTGTTCATTGTGGTCTGGCGAGGGCCGACGGCCATATCGGGCCGAACACCGCCCAGGATGGCGTTGTCACGTTCCCGAGTTTCGGAAAGGGTCTGCTCGACATATTCAATCCAGTTCGGGTTCAGGACAGACTCCATGACGGATCGTGAAAGCAGCTCTGGAGGGTGACGCTCGCTGAACTTGACGACCTCCTCGGCGACAAGGGTCAGGTGGCCCATGTAGCCAAGACGGATTTGCTTGGTACGCTGGGCCTCGTCACTGCGTTTTTGGCCCTCCACAATGGCGTTCGTGATTTGACCAGTCTCGAACACATTGATAGCCAAGGCACGGTTGTATCCACGTTCCATGGGGCCGTTGAAGACCTGCTGGACCACGTCATATACAACATTGTGAAGGAAGTTGTTCCAGGGAAACCGGAAGAAGAAGCCCTAAAGACAAATAGTTAGAAAACAAACTACTTGAAGTAGCGAAATGTTGATTGGACGTACCAATATGGTTGGCACCACTTGGTTCTCGACAAACATGATCTTCAAGTAATCTCCAACCACGGGACGACCATCCGTGTCGTACTGAATGTATTGCTCGGCAGGATCCTCGGCTCCACCATCGTTAACGGGCTGGGTTTCCTGATTCTCTTGGGTTGGCTCAGCGGCTCCCTCTGCTTGAGCAGTAGACTCTGACTGGGATCCCTTCGTCGCAAACAGTGGAGCAGGAACATCTTCAGAATCCACAGTAACAGACGCGTCTTCCTTCTCATTCTCCGTAGATACCGGCAGGTCCTGCGAGAATTGAGTTCCGAGATCCATCTCGCCAACTTGGTCGGTCAGACCGGTTGTTGGAGTCTTTGGCGATGACGGCGTGTCTGCCTCTGTCTTTGGTGTTTCCACAGATGTCTCGGTATTTGACTCAGAGGGCTGTTGCGACTCAGCTTGCGGGCTGGGTTCCTTCTCCTCGCCCTTCTCGTCGACCAGAACGCCAGAGGCACCAACGTCCTCGAAGCCTTCGTCCTCGACAACACGAGCTTTGAGAGCCTCTGGTGACCCAGTGTCCATGACTGAGCCATTGGTGAAATCGGCTGTGGTGTCATTGTAATCTATACCTGACTGTTCATCTCGCTGCGGATTGAAAACGCCCTCGCGGATCAACCTGTCGCGCTCCTCGTTGCGATGCCGAACATAATCCTCACTGCCAGGCTCGTTCAAAAGACCCATGTTACTGCAGTGCAGCAATTCCGCCATCAGCTCACACGTTTTGAACCGGTCAAAGCCAAGCGGCTCAATGCTGGCGCCCCACGCGGAGTTCAAGCGACCACGATCGACAGACTTCAGTGAAGTGCCGTCGTGCACAGCATGCTTGGAGCTTTGTATAAGAGTCATGAAATGGGGAATATGCTGCGCAAAGAGACGGAGGAGGTGTCCGAGATAGATTGGATCGTAAGGTGTCGGTATGGAATCCGGGCCACCCATCTGCTCGGGATCATAGTCGGAGTTATTCTTGCGAATGACTTCGATGACGATGCCCACACCCACGGTCAATGGGTTGCCACCCTTCAGCATCGCAGTGATGAGTTGCTGCACGCGCTCAGGTGAGACGAGTTGGCGGGTCAGGCTGTTAGGACCAATGCAGGACTGGTCATTGGGGGTCGCATTGGCGGAGATAGTAATGATCGCCTTCAGGAAATCACCTGCAGATGTTTGCACGGATCCTGGGTGCTCTGGAGACAGAAATGAAAGGAGGTTCGGGATCAAGTCCTGCGACTGCAACCAGTCCACCGTTCCTTGGCCGCCTTCAGCCTTTTCCAAGCTGATAATCTTCAACAGCAGATCCATGACCATGGGATTATCAACGTGCTGCAACAATGCCGCCACGATTCCATCTAGCGACTTGAGGAATTCCAGCATCTCCTCCGTCTTTTTATCAAGTAAGGTCTCGTTTACTTTGGTGAAGTAGCTAGCCTGCAGGGAGTCCAACGGAGCAGGCCTTCGGAGGAAGCCCCAGAAGTCGCGCAGGTAAGCGGGATTGGCCATTATGGATTCCAAGATTGACCAGGTCTCCGACGAGAGAATTTCGCAGGCCACGTAGGCATGCTTCAGACGAGCCTTCTCGACCTTGTCCAAATCTTCCGGGTCCAAGACATCTCTGAGAGTATCAGACTCTTTCTCGACTTTTTCTTCCTTGTTCTCAGTGTTCGCCTGGTCTGTCGGTCTAGTCGTGTCGCCTTCAGTGGGAGAGGCATGCTTCTTTAGGGAATCGTCGTCATCATTTTCTTCGTCGTCATTCACCAAGCTTGGTGCAGTGACATAGTCCATAAGCCGTTTCAAGACATGATCCTCGCGCAGATATTCTATGAGTTTCGTATTATGCTGTTTCAGTTCCTGGATGATTTCCGGCTCATCCAGTAGGTCCTCGAGGGTGACTTCGGGTTTGTCCAGAAGGGTATCGATGGTGGAGATACTTGCATATCCCCCAAAGCGCCAGAACATGATGGAGTATATAGCCGGAAAGCACGATTCATGGGATAGCTCGTTTCGTCAGTCTCCGAGGTGTCGTAACGGAGCGATCTATGGTACACGAGTAAAAGAGGGCGTCGTGGTTGGGGGTTTTGAGAAATGGAGGAGGAGGAGGGGGGGAATCCCGCCAGCAGGGCGATTACACCGAGTGTGTCCACACACAAGAGGTGGTCGCGGCAAGGTCCAGTGGGGGTCGGGAGCAGGAATCTCGATCGTCGCACTCCCGGGGAGAAGATCGGAGTAGGATCGCAATATGGACCGAAGCGAGCCCGGCGCTGTTGAGTTGGGAGGTCAGCGATCACGGGCGGACTGGTTGCATCAAACACGGAACTGATGATGTGTGCAGCCGGCAGGCGGACCTTTTGCACGGGGATTGGACCCCACGAGACGAGGCTGAGGGAAGGGGCACCAGGATCAGGTGGGTGGGGGGGAAGGGGGGGGATAGCGGATATCCAGGCTGGCTTGATCGCCGCGTACCTTCAATAATCAGAGAGTGACGAGGAGGAAGAGGGCAGGATATCGGACCTCCCGTGGATTGGACAGGAGTGGTGGAAGGAGAAGAAACGGGAGTGAGCCAAAATGCGGGCGGGAATGCAGGACTTCAACGCCGGTTCATCAAGGAGCGACGATGGAGTCAAGAGAAACGATGCGAGGAACCAACTTGAGAAAGATGAAGGTGATTGATTATTTCCGAATGGTCAGAGTATTGAAGAAGAATCGGGGGATTACACACACAGTCCGGGGTGTAATCATCAGTCATTGACTCGGTTCCCGACTTGGGTTGCCCTACTGGACGAGTGATGTCGCTTTCTACCCAAAAGACCCCAAAGCGTGGGAGAGATCACCCGCCCGACCAACGATGATAAGCAACACGACAAAGTCATTCTTCGTGCATTCGCTTTCTTCCTTTTTCTTCTTTTTTCTGAGTACAATTTCATTTCAAGGGACCAGTCTCGTCTCGGCAGCCTTTTTACGATTTATTATCTGCTATTCAAGTGATTGTCTCCTCCGCCTCGGAGGAAGGGAATCCTGCCACCAGAACTCATCATACTACTGGACCACCCAAAAAGATCTACTTATCGGCAATGAGGCCAAAGGATGGCTATCTTGAAAGATGCCGAGATTGCCAATAGATCTGGCTAGGTGGGTTTTGTAACCAACAGTGCAAGATCTTGTTTCAGGATCCGGTCATCTGGATCAGGCGACAACTACCCCGTCCTCTATACTCATTGAGGCTAAGCTGACTGCTCCCTGTATGCAGAGTCCCCAATAGAATTTTCCTCCTCCCTGACCAGTATTCCAGACGCCCATAGTTACATCGGCTGACGACGTTGGATGGTCCCAGCGAACCGGTCATGGTCTAGTCATCGGGAGTATATATCCAGCATGGATATGTATCAGAAGGATGTGCAAGTAAGGTCTTGTACTCGGCCTCAACGGACATATGAACAAAAGACGGCGATATTACCGAATACTCACGACGAGATATAGAAAGTTTCAAGATCATAGTTAGGGTGTTCGATAGTTAGTTAATGGGTGCCATTATTAATCTTCCAATCCCTCAGAGCCACTAAATTCCGCTCTTCCTTGGATCACGTGTCTATAGCTTTCTTGTGATTGCTTCCTCAGGCCCCAAGGCCCGAAGGGCCCACTGACGTCGGCCCTCCGCATTGTCATCGCATTGTCGGTGCCTGTCCACCAAGTGCATGGGGTCTTCCGTCCATACGAACACAACGCTTCGCTTACCCTGTGCCATCGGGATATCCCTCTAGTCACACTCCCTAGAGACCCTGGTCACTCTGACCATCTGCCTAGGCAGCAGAACGGGGCTCTCCCTCGCTGATAGCCCCGTCCCTCCCCAAGGCGACAAACAACAACCATGAATCGCCTCTTCGGCACCAAGAGTGCGGCTCCCAAGCCCACTCTCGACGGTGCAATCTCCAAGGTATACGATTCTCCAATCCACCAAGGATACTACCCAGCGACTCCCCCGCGCAGACTGGGCTCGCTAACCCCACTATCTAGGTCGACGACCGCATCTCCAGCATCGATGTCAAACTAACCGCCCTCAACTCCGAACTCTCCACCTACCAAGCCAAACTCTCCAAGATGCGCGACGGCCCTGGGAAAAACGCTCTCCGCCAAAAGGCTCTCAAAGTCCTCCAACGCCGCAAACAATACGAAGCCCAGCGCGATCAACTCTCCCAGCAATCCTGGAATATGGAACAAGCCGGCATGATGCAGGATAACCTCAAGAACGTGATGACAACCGTCGATGCGATGAAGACCACGACCAAGGAACTGAAGAAGCAGTATGGCAAGGTCGATATCGATAAGATTGAGCAGATGCAGGATGAAATGGCCGATTTGATGGAGGTCGGTAATGAGATTCAGGAGAGCATCTCGCGGGCGTATGATTTGCCAGAGGAAGTGGATGAGGCGGATCTTGATGCGGAGCTGGAGGCTTTGGGGGAAGAGTCGTTGTTTGAAACGGAGATGGGGGCGGATGCGATGCCGAGTTTCTTGCAGGACGAGGTTGCGCCGCCGCAGTTTATTGATGAGCCACCTGAACAAGCGAAGGTCAAGGAGGCTGCTGGTGGAATTGGCTAATGCGATTGGTGTTCCACCCCTCGTGAAGGCCCTTATTGCGGGGAATAGGGGTTCCTTTTTTTTGCTGGAGTTGTGCTACTAGTTGTCTTTTTTGTCCTTTTTAATTGTTCAACTTTTATGCGAGGTCTCCTGTCTCAGTCAAGACGAGATTGGGGTTTTCTCATCTCATGCATAAAGAAATATCATATGCAGCGCTAAGTATACTGACTATCTATATGAACATGCGATGTAGAAACCGATACGAAATAGTGAGAGGGGAATTGAGGATCGAACACCCCCCTCGTGCAATCCTCCTTTGAATGGGAAGCTGAAGATAGATAGCCAGATAGCCATGCTTCTCAGCTTACGCCTTGCCCAAACCCACCAACACTAGCAAGGCCACATTCATCACGGCAATGAGGAGCCACACGAGCCCGGCAATCAGCGTGGTAAACCAGTGGTTGCGCATGGACACTTGCGCCACTTGAACCTCGCCTTCACCGCTGCCATCAGCTGTCTGCTCAGTCGGGACGGTCATGTATTTGCTAAAACACGTGAACCAAATGAGCGGAGCAGAGACAAAAGGCAGGATAACGCTGAGGCAGACCTGGCTGGCCGTTAGGGTCTTGTCAAGACCTTCTTTGCCCACAGCTGCCGCGATAATGATACTAGGAATAATGCTGATGCACCGGGTGATGAGTCTTCGCACCCAAGGCTGGACGCTCCAGTTCAGCATGCCTTCACTGACCATCTGGCCGGCCATGGTACAGACAATGCCCGCCGAAATGCCGGAAAGAAGGAGAGCTAAAGCGAATATTAACCCGGCTGCCGGAGAGACGGATGAGGAAAGAAGATCGTGGATGCCGAACAGGTCGGCATCACTTCCTCCAGGGACATCATAGAGAGACGCGCCCGCGACGATGAGGATCGCACTGTTGACGAACAATGCAAAAGTGAACAGAGACAATGCCAGTTCAATGATGGAGTATTTCATGCAACCGCGAATGGCGTGAAGGGTAGGTCGGTACTCTACCTGGCCGCCATTGCTTCCAAGAGGCACAGTTGACTCGACGTATCCCGCAGTGACATCAAAGTCTTTTAGTCGAGCCTGCACCACCCCACTGCCCAGGAAGAGGGAGTGAGGCATGACGGTAGCACCGAGAATACCACAACTTTGGTAGAGACTAGCAAAACAATTAGCAATATTCTAGTGACGATCTCTCCGAGGCTCGTATCGAAATGATGTCACTCACCCTTCTGATTGCACGATAGCAGATGACGGTAGGTAGCCCCTGAAGACTTCTCCCACTGATTGGTTCTTGATGAGCGATAGCTGAATGCAAAAGCAAATCACTACGCCAAGGACCAAAGCCATCACGAAGAATTCAAAGAGGCGCAGGCCCAGCATCGACCCGTTCGGCCGCCAGAACAGCAACAGGAAGAAGACATCCACTAGAGTGATCGCACATCCTGCGACGAGAGGGATGTGAAGAAGCAAGTTCAGCGCAATCGCAGAACCAACCACCTCTGCAATATCAGTGGCAATGATCGCCCCCTCGGCCATAATGTACAGGATAATGACCAGCCATCGGGGAAGATGTTCACGACAATTCTCCGCCAAGTTGAGGCCCGTCACCGAACCCAGCTTGATGCACAGAGATTGTAAAAGGACCGCAAAGAGGTTAGACATGAGAACGATAAACAGTAGAGCAAATTTGAACTGCGCGCCGGCGCCGACATCCGTGGCATAGTTTCCCGGGTCGATATAGGCGACCGCAATGAGAAATCCAGGGCCGATGAAGCGGCCGAATTTGACCAAACTGCGGACACAGTGCTGCGTAGAGGCAGAGAAAGAAAAATTAGAGAAAGGACGGCGAGGTGATCCGCAGGTCCTCGAGTGTGGTTCACACCTCGAGGCCGCGACGGTCACTTCGCCGCCCGGCCGCTTCTCTATTGTAGGGTCCGGGAATTCCAAACTCTGCGGTCGCGGGTCGATCGCCATGGTATCGTCGCCGGCGGCGCCCCCTGTCCCTGCGGCATGTTTGCGATGAACTCGCGCGTTCGCAAGGCCATTGAAGTCGTTGCGGGTCGTAGTATCTGGGTTGAAGGGAGGTGGGTTCTGATTCCAGCCGGGGTTGTCGAGGGTATCGTCGGTCCGCGAGGGGCAGTTCATGGTGGTGGTAGCGGCGGCGGCGATGCGACACTTGCGTTTTCCTGTATCGGTCGCTGGGAGGAGGGTATGATGCAGGTTTTAACAAGTGTCCTTGCAGGGTCGGGTGCGAATCGCCGATCGAATGTCTCAGGACTATGCTGAGAGCCGGGTACTCTGTGGGGTGAGTCCGAGTCTGCCCGACTTCCGTGATGTTGACAGGCGGCGAACGCCTAGAGCCAATAACTTTATAACGGGCGGGTCTGATAATTGTCTGTAATTGTCGACTGCACCCACCAATACGTAAGGGAATCTGCCAAGGGCTAGGATAGTCCTTGTGTGTCTCGATCAGTTGATCTGAAGGTGCTGCAGGCCGGAGTCCATTGAAATGATCGCCCGCCTTATCAGGGACGAGCGTTGCAAACGGCAGGTCTGTGGATCGCGGGACAGTCCCACCAGACCCGGAATATTATTGTCGGCACGGACTGGGGAAGAGTGTTGAGGGGCCATATCGAGATCTTTCAGTCTGACCGAGTGCCACAGAAGATTTGGGCAAGAGGAGGTGCATTTTCAGATTTGCCAGGTGTGCATTGCAGGAAAGAAGTGGTGAGGCGGTGGTCCAGTGGTCCATCCCCGCATACACGAGACTTGGGACTAGGCCCCGCGACACCGCGAGTTTGTTTTGTACGGAAGGAACTGGACATGCGATTGATTAGTCTGGTGCATGATCACTAAACATGGTGTAAAAAGCCTAGGTCTAGACATTTTCGGATCTTGTTGATGTCATGCTATCAGTAACGAAGGTGATAGATTAACTGGTGTTTATCATGACGTACAGATCCGCCACTGGATAGATAGAGGGAGTCGTATACTTCAGGCAACGAGCTGATGCAATTACCTTATTCGTGGGTCGATGTGTTTTGGAAGCATCTTTCCTTTGTTTTTCTCTGCCATTTCACAACGGTTAAACAATTGCAGAAGAGGAGACTCGCCTCGGTTGCAATGGCAATCGCTGATAAGTATAAACTCAACTAGGCCGGGGTATACAAAAACAATCTAGAATCCTACCCCACCATAACAAACCGTTAGCACAATTAGGGTACCCCTCAAGTAATGAGGTTTATGCATAACCCCCCAAAAAGAAAAGGCGCCAAACATGCAAGATGTCATCAAACTAAGCAGAAGAAAGAGGTAGTCTCTACAGACAAACCCTCGTCATTGAGTCCACGTTCACCGCCAGCTCCGCCGCTCCGCTGCGTTGCCCCTCGCAACCTTCTCGCCCGCACGTTGTTTACTCTCCTCCGCTGGATCCAGCCAACCCCAAATGATCCCAAGAGATCGCCCCTCGACGCTAGCTGTTGTCCCGGTCATCAAAGTGGAGTCTTGATCCTTGAAGGTTGCCGTTGGCAGCAGGTCGCTTCTTCTCATATCATCCCCCCCGTCTGCCCGGCTTTCTTCTTCTCGTTCAAGATTCTCTTCACCTTCGGATCTCGCATTGCATTTGTTTCTGGCTTCCATTCTTGCTTAATTTGATTTGATTTTTCCCTTTACTTTTCTTCTATATTTTGAGCCGTTGCCGGCTCGCTGGCGATCGTGTTTTTGTTTCTTGCCGCGTTTGTTTGCAATCAACGAATCCCGTAAGTACGGCCCTGCTCCTACCCGCGCCCAGGAACCGAACATTTTGCTAACAGGCTCACAGTTGCTGGCCAAAGAGGATAAGCAATGGCCCCCAATACCGCCGCTCCGCAGATCTTTGACGATGCCCACCGCGCCCCCGGCAGATCCTCTGTCTTCCGAGCCATCATGTCGAAGCCGCATAAGCGAAACCAGTCTGCGGACGATGCCATGCCCCCGCAGTTCAAGAACAGCAAGCCAACGGGCACCGTTCCTTTCCCATGGGCAGACAAACCTGCTCCGGAACCCGGCCATCTTCCCTTGGGAGAGATAGTTCCGAATCGCGATGCCCGTGACAGCCATGTGTCACCGGCGAAGCCAGCGAATAAAGAGAATAAAGCGCCTTTGCATAAGAAGACGAAGAGTGCAGTATCTCTCAAGTCCCTTCGGAGTTACATGGAACGAAAGGACACCAAGCTGGAAGAACCCCATATCAACGATGCCGACGAGTTGAAGCCTAAGAAGACCAAGTCGACCAACAGTTTGTCGGCCATCCTCAAGCGATCCCAACGTGGACGTAGAGCCGATGGTGCGAAGCAGACCCGCGACAAAGAGAACCGGAGCCCCGTTGATCTTGTCGACAACATGCCATCCCCCGTCTGGCCCCAAGAGGGCTCTATCTACCAAGCTCCCAGCATTCGGTCGCGACAGAACTCATCTGCAGATCGACGTCGAAGCGTCGCAGAAGAAGTGTCTCTGTATACGCCAAAGGCATATAGCCCAGCCCAGCAACGAAACTTTTACGACTACCAACAACCGTCTCTGACCAGACAGGGAGAGGGAAAGCCTCGTCCCAAGTCGGACTGCCTTGCTGGCAACAGAAAAATGAAGGACATTTTGGGCCTACATCGTGCACTATCCGGAGGCAGTAATGCTAGTGCAGTGGATAGCGTGTCATCCAAGGCGCAAGGTCTCGACAGAGTGAGGAAGACGTCCGTACCCGAATCGCCTGCCCCCCCGCCAAAGGACCAATCGAATGGGAAGAGACTTTCTCGTGTGCAGGCAGCGATCTCGGTGTTCAACGCAAAGGAACGAGATGCTGATGTCCACAAGCACTTGAGCTCCAAGGATCTTGAAAGTGAATTTGAGAAGCTTCTGGTTAGTCTATCTCGAGAGCAATACTCTATCATGGATGTCACTAACATAATGGCAGGATGCCCGAAACATTCCTCATAACATGCGGGACAAGATGCGCTCCCTTGACACCAACATCAAGGCCGACTTCATTCAGAAGGATCGCACTGAGATGGGCACACCAGTCAGCTCTGGTACCTCTGACAGTCGCCGTGGCCGCGGCAAGGAGTCGAAGGATTCTCAGGATCGTAAGGGCTCACGCTCCCGCTCCAGGAGCCGCGGTTTCACCTTTGGCCGGGGCTCTTCCTCCCCCGGTAAAAAAGCTCGACCAGAGAGCGGGAGTTTCCATCGTCCCAGGTCTGTGGATCTGTCCCAGCCAGTAGGTGTCTATACGACTCTGAGTGCTGCGGGCTCTACTGCATCACTTTCTGAAGCGGCGGTCGTTGACACCGCTGCTGACCCATCCGACTTTGTGCACTATCTGAGAGAGATTCAAAAGCCAGAGATGGTTGAGGTAGGCAAGTTGCACAAGCTACGGCTCCTTCTGCGGAATGAAACAGTCAGCTGGGTGAACGGGTTCATTTCTGAGGGAGGCATGGATGAGATTGTCCAACTCATCTACCGTATAATGAAGATGGAGTGGCGGTATGTTGAACTGTCTTCGACGCCTCTTTCGGAAATATTTGCTAACTTATTTCAGGGAGGACCATGAGGACACTCTTCTTCACGAGGCTTTGCTATGCTTGAAGGCTCTTTGCACTACATCAATTGCATTGGCGCATCTCGCTAGCATTGAAGGTGAACTCTTCCCAGCCTTGCTAAAGATGCTTTTCAACGAGGAAAAGAAGGGCCCGAGCGAATTCACGACTCGGGGCATAATAATCAACCTTTTATTTACCCAGCTCTCTGCGACTTACCCCACTGAGTCGAAGTCCGAGCGCACCGAGCGTATTCTGTCATATCTCCGAGATCCGTCCCCGGAAGACGAGAGTCAACCTGTCTCGTTCATTGCCAACATTTACCAGTCGCGACCGTATCGCGTGTGGTGCAAGGAGGTTACAAATGTGACCAAGGAAGTCTTCTGGATCTTCCTTCATCACCTCAATGTGATCCCGCTTCCCAAAGCAGACCCCCAGTCGGACGATCCATTCGTAGAGAATCACTCGGTTGATACTCGCTCCTACTGCGAGCGACACTTCCCTCCACCTCGCCCCCCGGTCCCTGCTGCTCCCTATGTTGGCGGCGTTGAGTGGGATGCAACCAACTATCTTGCCGCGCATTTGGATCTTTTGAATGGTCTGATTGCCTCCTTGCCCACAGCTGATGATCGGAACAAGCTTCGGTCTGAGCTGCGGGCTTCCGGCTTTGAGAAGGTCATGGGTGGTAGTCTACGTACCTGCAAGGAGAAATTCTACTCCGCCGTTCATGAATGTCTTCGCACCTGGGTTGCTGCAGCAGTTGAGGATGGCTGGCCCTATCTCATGGTGCGCGAAGGACCGCCTCGTGCGGAGCCTGGCTCGCCTACCAAGTCCCCCAAGAAGGCGGCGCCCGGTAGTCCAAAGAAGGGTCTACTGGATGACAAGCCACCTCAGCTCAACTTGGCCCTGGACTTCTCAGACAGTCGCGTATTTACTCCACTGGGCCCAACAACGCCATCCAGCGAGATGCCTCGCTGGCTTTAATCGTCAAGCATTTGGATACAACATCCGCTTGACAATTTTTCTTCTTTTCTTTTCTTATATTTTTTTTTTTTACAATTTTCCTACCGGCCCACTCTGACTTTACTTTCATGACTCGGCGTTCTACGGTCCTTGGTTTTCTTTGTCTTTGTAGGGGTCACACCAGCATGCCAAGGGAGCATGTTGGGGTTATACCTTACATTTTTGGAAGCTCCCCCCCCCTCTGTCTCCTTTGGCTTTTTTGGACTTCCTATGGCGTTGGCATTTCTGGAGTCGTTGGGAGTTGCATATTTTCGATGTCCAGCGAATTTCCTGGCAAACATGATGTGATGAAGTCAAGCTATGGTGCAGGCGGCGGGAAGAGGATGGCAACGACAGATAGGTATTGGTCCAGTGGATGGATGCATAGGGACATCTTTTCTTCTGTTCGTACCCTCCTCTTCACGGATTAGAGACGCCTGCTGTTTCGACTAGAATTGCTCATGACAAACGACACATGACAGATATGAGAATTGAATGAAATTCCACTTACGAGATTTGAGATGCTTGTCGAAGTAGCTATTAGTAAGAGTGGAAATTGGCTAAAATAGGAGAGAGATGGATGAAAGAGGTGTCTCATTTTCAACGAATATTTATGCCAAATGAGTATTGTACAGTCCCACAGGATCTACCAATTACAGTGGATATCAGATATTTTCACGAGCGGACTACTTTTGAGCTCCACTCCCACCATTCTCGTCTGCCCTCTTCACGGGACCTGGAGGCGGGGGACTGGAGAACACAGCCTTGATACCAGCGAAGACACTCTCTCGGATCTGTGGTAAACTCGTTAGTCCACGTTACAATTAGACACTCGGAGCAAAATAGAGAATCACTGACCCCATCAAATGGCGTATCCTTGGTATCCCAGTTCATGAAAAGAACCGCATAGATCACGACAACTATATCCAACAAACACGTATCAGCATTCCCATCAAGTTGACCATCCAAACCCACCAGATCCAATTCGATATCTTATGAAAGATCACTCACATCCAATGATAACCCACTGCGCCAGCGTAACAGTCTTGATAAACTTCGGCCGGGCATATTTCAACGCCGCGCGCCGCCGGTACTTACGCTCCAGTCGGAACTGGTGCTTGGGTGAGAGCTTGGACATATCCGGGGGCCATTGGCGCTTAGGTTTGTAGGGGCTGTAGTATTCGTCATTGGGGTTCTGGTAGGGCTCGGGTTTGTCGGAGGAGAGGCGGAAGGGCGAGGAGGATTTGATGGCGGTGGATGTGAAGGGTGTTGAGAGGGTACTGGAAAAGGTGCGGGTGGTGCGGAGGGGAATTTGGGTGGTTTTCTGATTAGATTATGTTAGATATTGCATGATAAAGGCATTTCGGGGGTCTATAGATCGTGGTCGTACGGTGAGGTGCCATGTTGGTTGTCTGGTGATTTGGGTCTTGAGGGTGGTCGAGACTGGGCACGCGAGGCGCGCCGAGGAGGCGGCTGTAAATAATTGTCGGATCATGTGGATTGTGATTTAGAGCCCGTTGATTGTGGAAGATTGGGGCCGTTGCGGTATAATTGCGAGGTTACCTGGGGTCGAGCCGACGATGGAGGGTCGAGTTGTCGCGGTCGAGGAATTATTTGATCTGCCGGTCTCCGCATGTGCTCCGCATTGACATGCACATCCACTAGCTCCGCTCCTCTTTCACCCTCGCAATGTATCGCAATCTTTGTCAAACAATCATATCAACTCGATTACTATGCTGTCACCATACTCCTCAGGCTACCTACCATTGACTTTAATGGCTTCGGGAGCCCTACTTGTCGTCTCTTTAATTGGCTGCGAGATTGACTCATCCATAATCTGACGCGATACCTTTTGGGGGCGGGCCAAGAGGGCATCACCGCCTTTATAAAGCCAGCAACACTCACATCGAGGTTGGAGCGGAATCTAGGATCCTAAACTCCTCCACCTGACGACCATGGCTCTGACAAGCCTACCTCCGGAGCTACTGCAAATGATAGCTCGCTACATCACAGACAACCGGGAGGGCAGATTGCCACGGGCCTCAACACTAAACAATATCTATGCACTGGCTCGCACTTGTCGCGCAACCTACCGTCAGCTATGTTGGAGTTTGTATCGCTACGATGCCGATAGAGGGCATAGCTTCGCGCTTGTCTGGGCTGCCGTGACGAACAACCCTCAGACTGTAAGATTATCTCTGGCTGGTGGTGGCAATACTCAAGCGACGAATCAACACGGTCAGTCTCCGCTGTGGCTAGCAGCTCGCCGAGGACATCGGGAGATTGTGGAGATCCTGCTAGACTACGGTGCAGATATCGAGATCAGGAATCCGGTAGGCCTTACTCCTCTTATGATCGCAGCCCGCGAGGGACAGTGCGAGATTATCATGGTATTACTTGCTCGAGGGGCAAACCACGCAGCTCAAACTCGAAATCACTCTACCCCTCTTCTTTGGGCAATACGGGCTGGTATGATAGATGCTGTGAAGATACTCATCGAACACGGGGCCCAGCTTCCCGAGCCAAAAACAACCCCCTGGCGACGATGGGCTTTGGCCGCGTACTGTGCCGGTCCTGATAGGTGGGATGACGTTCCCGAGATTCAAAGACTGATGGAATCAAGCCATGATGGAAACCAAAACAAGCTTTTATTAGAAAACCCCCTTCGGCATGCTATCCAGTATCAGTTCCTCCCATTGTCCACCTTTTTCCTTGATCAGTGCATTACCCCGATGGGCGATCTCGGCTCATTCTTTGGATCCTGTCCAGCCAATGAAGCTGTGCACGACAAATCCAGCTATGGAATCGAGCGATTCTGGGAGCGCGGAAATGTAAGGAGACAATGGTATTACTTTGGACGCCCGGAGGAAAAACCGATATGGTGGGCTGTATTTCATGGCGAAGAGCAAATCGTGGAGAAGATGTTGAAACGTGGAGCAGAAGTCAACTCTGTTACCCACTGGTCCACCAGGAAAGAGCCGAGGAATCTGATCTCACTTGCTCTAGTCCGAGGATACTACGGAATTGTCGAACTCCTGCTGGACTATGGGGCCGATCCGAATTACCGATTCCGGGATGGGTCCCTGCTCACCAGAGTGCTCCGACTTGGAAATGAACGGTTGGTGATGAAGGTCTTGCTGCGCTTGAAGAGCCTTGGTGCCCTCAACATCACTAACGGCGGAAGTCTGCTTGCCATAGCGATTGGGAAACAAAATGCGATTCTGGTCAAAATGCTGCTTGAATTTGGCGTCAATCCAGATGCCGAGGTGTTCTATCAAAGAGGCACCGAAAGCAGCCGCAGGTTCAAGAGTCCATTGTCCATGGCTATTCAAATTGGACATCAGGACTCGGTGGACACGTTGCTTGAATATGGGGCATTGTAACCGCGTTGTAAGAAGGTAGACTTACCCCCGTGTAATGTTGGACTGACATGGCATGGATGAATTTGAGCTACAGTTAGCACGATATGATGAAACTTAAGCAGTTATCATCTTGTAGACCTCCTCGCCGGCCTGCTAGTATGCACAGTTTAAGTAGAACCTGCGATAAAAGATCGCTCTGGTTGTAGATACTTGGTCAGCTTCAACGGTCACAGCCGCATACTTGCATCGCCCTATTTTCACCCACTTGGCTGGCAAGAGAGTATCATGCCAGCGTGAGGATTCCATTCTCTATATCGGGGTGCTCAGGGATTACGATATTTCACCAGCGTGGCTAACTGGGCCCAGATTGAATATCAAATAACACGAAAAGAAAATCTCCCCCCTCCATGAATCGAAACCCCTACCTTTGTGTTCCCTGTATACTTCACCAAAATGCTCCCTCGCTATCCCACAATGCCGAAGTACATACTCCCGAGGAATGTGGCGCCGCGCCCAATCAACAGTATCCTTTACACTCAATAGTACCTTGGATATTTAAGTCAAAATAAAATCCGGATATCAAATATTATTCAAAGATTATACTAAATCAAAATGATAATATTGTAAAAAGAAGAAGTACCGCGAGTGAGGTGAACCACCTCACTCGCATCCCGCCCGCCCACTCTCCCCGCCTAGGGATGTGCCCGGTAACCCGTGGAGATCCTGCTCGACACGGGAGACCGGTACTGTGATTTCCCCTCATGGGGCACACCCAAATGGTCCATCCATTGAAGGTATGTCCAACTAGGTCATATGAGGGGGGAGAGTGACTGGAAGACCTGGAAGTTGGTGACAACTTTCGTTGACGCCTGGTTTTGCCAGGTCAATTACAGACTTTTCTAATATAGAGGATTATGTATAAACTGTAAAATAGACTATCTTATTTATCACGATCAAGGTAACTTATTAGTAAGTGCATAAAGTTATACCAGCCAAAATACTATTTTATCGCATGTGATAACTAAGACATAAGCCTTCGACGGAGGTGGTACTGTCCCAAGTCAACCAACCCCGAGAGAGCGTCCCCACAATAATAAGGGGGCCCCGAGGATAGATGGCCCGGGGTCGGGGGTGTAGAATAATCACATTCAAGACCCAATCATGTGCCCCAGAAGCCGAGACAATCCTCACGAGTCGGGGTAGTATCGGCGGAGAGAGCATGAGTATGACGTGAGGTCAGCATCAAACACCTCTCGCTCGGTCTTCGTGCAGTTTTCACATGTTCACATGCTGCACAGCACCGGCGATCCCGTGACTGGGGAATTCCACGGATTAACAATGTTGCGGGGACCTCGGCACTTTCGTTGCGACGCCAGCAACGGGCAAAGCTGCGAACAAGGGAAATATCACCGGATCCACGGACGTGATTTATAAGAAAGACCTCGCCCATAAACGTGCGAAGTTTTTCTCATCCCGTCTTGTGTTGCTTTTTCCTTCCTTCCCCATACTACCCCCAGACTGCATCCCACATTTGACGTCATGTCTTCAGGTGAGCTTCTCTCCATCGTCATTGCCGGAGCTGGCACATACAACGTGTAGTCTGCGGGTTTAACCACAGAAACGGTTCAACTAACTGTCATTTTTCAGCCCAGCAGCGTCTTACTCAAGTTTCCTCCCACTTTGGCTCAGGTAGCCAGAAGGGAGCCGCCGCCCTCACCCAGAAGAACCCCGATGATATCGTCGTGACCTGTGCCCTGCGCACTGCCCTGACCAAGGGTGGCAAGGGTGGTTTCAAGGACACTGCTGCCGCTGATCTCCTGGCTGGTGTCTTCAAGGCTGTCATCCAGAAGAGCGGTATCGACCCCAAGTACGTCGAGGATGTTGCCGTTGGCTCCGTCCTGCCTCCCGGTGGTGGTGCCACTGAGTTCCGTGCTGCTGCCCTCGTTGCTGGCTTCCCCGAGACCACTGCCGTCAAGGCCCTAAACCGTCAGTGCTCTTCCGGTCTCCAGGCTGTCGTCGACGTTGCCAACGCCATCAAGTCCGGCATGATCGAGGTCGGTATTGGTGCTGGCGTTGAGAGCATGAGCTCCCAGTACGGGTAAGTACCAATTCGTGAACCCATAATGACTATCTCAAATATGGGTCCTGACTTCTGGCTTCCATTTAGTCCTGGTGCCGTCACCGAGTTCTCCGAGCTCCTCGAAAACCACCCCGAGTCCGCTAACTGCAAGGTCCCCATGGGTGTTCTGTCCGAGAACATGGCCAAGGACCGTGGTGTCTCTCGTGCCTCCCAGGATGCTTTCGCTGCCTCCTCCTACCAGAAAGCCGTCAAGGCCCAGAAGGCCGGTCTCTTCAATGAGGAGATTGCTCCCCTCGAGGTCAAGTGGACCGACCCCAAGACTGGCGAGGAGAAGACCATCACCGTCAAGGCTGATGACGGTATTCGCGACGGTATCACCGCCGAGTCCCTCGGCAAGATTCGCCCGGCCTTTGCCAAGGACGGCTCTATCCACGCCGGTAACGCTTCCCAGATCTCCGACGGTGCCGCCGCCGTTCTGCTCATGAAGCGCTCCACTGCCGAGCGTCTGGGCCAGAAGATCATCGGCAAGTACGTCACCGCCAGCATTGTCGGTGTCAAGCCCCTCCTCATGGGTATCGGTCCCTGGGCCGCTATCCCCGTTGCTCTCGAGAAGGCCGGCATCTCCAAGGATGAGGTCGACATTTACGAGATCAACGAGGCCTTTGCCTCCCAGTGCGTGTGGTGCATCAACGAGCTTGGCCTGCCCGCCGAGAAGATCAACCCTAAGGGTGGTGCTATCGCCTTCGGTCACCCTCTCGGCTGCACTGGCTCTCGCCAGGTCAGCACCCTGTTGACCGAGCTCAAGCGTACCAACAAGAAGATCGGTGTTACCAGCATGTGCGTTGGTACCGGTATGGGCATGGCTGCCGTCTGGGTTGCCGAGTAAACGGGTTATCTTCTTCCATTGTACATTGCACAGCGCCTTTTTCTTGATGTTTGGTTTGGGTTACTTCTATATCCACGGATTTCGGTGTATTGACCACCTATGAGGATACCACGAGAGACTGATCTTTCTTTTTTCATGTATATTTTCCGACGTTTTTGAGGTGAAAAATTGCTCCCAAAATAAGAAGTAGATTCTTTTCTTCTGTAAACTTGTTCAAGTACAGACTACATAGATCCGTTGTACCTCAGGCCCGGAATGTCTTGAAGGCTTCCGCGACGGTCATCCCCTGCGCAACCGCTTCCTTGGCTTGATCATCCATAGTGATAAGCTTGGGCATCAGCTCCAGCACGGGTTCCAACAAGTCGCGTGGAATAGCAACCACACCCTCCATAGGATCGCAAAAGATAATATCGCCAGGAGAAACGGTCACTCCTTCAATCGTGATAGGGACATCTCGCACAACAGCCTTCGCCTCGGCACCCGTACCAACCGTAGACGTCCCCCGAGCCCAAATCTATACCGCCCGAATCTTAGCCACCGATTCCTCCAAGTATATAGTATTCCACAAACAAAAGGGTCACATAGTAACATACCGGAAGCTTCGTCTCCATCAACTCCCTCAAATCCCTGACCCGCCCATTCACGACCGTCGCCCGAATCCCCAGCACCTTCATCCTCGTCGCCATAATCCCACCCGTCACAGCACAATACTGATCCCTAGGTTGATCGATCACCACAATCGAGCCGGCATTCGACGGGTCCGCCGCGGCAAAGTCACCCACAAAGTCCACCCAGTGCTTTCCCGGCGGGAATCCGTGTTTCTCGGGATTCTCGAGAGCGATTGCGGGTGAGTTGTCCTTTTTGCAGAGGAATTTGAAGGTCGTTGCTGGGGCGGCGATTCTTTGGGCTTGGTCGTTTCTGCCGATTATCGGCGAGAAGGGGGCTATGGAAATTTGTGAGTTGGCTTTTGGGGCTTTTCGGCTTTGTTTCGTGTAGAGAAATGCTTTTTGCATTGGAGAGGCTCTTGTCTAAATGATCGATAGATCTATGATGGGGGTTTCTTACTGAGATCTGCTAGGAAGCCGGCGCGTACAGTGCCGCCTTCGGGGACTTTTTGTAACTTGAGGAGGGCATCTGATATCTGGATCGAGAGAGGGTGTTAGGTCTGTGAGAATAGTAGTAGGTGTGGCATTATATCGCAGAGGAAATTCCTCAAGCCGGTATTTCGTATAGAGAAATACCACTTACATCGCAAGCTGTATAGTTTTTCGCCAACGTCTCTAGCTGCTCCTTGAGGGAAGCCATTGCGGGGTGCGGGGTGGTGTGGAGAGGTGTATACCAGCCTCTAGGGATCAGGCAGGCAAGTATAATAGAAATTATATGAAATCAGCAGAACGGATGAAGGAAGAGTGTGTAGTTTTTCACTTGGGAAAATGACCATTGAAACGTTGAATTCCCTCTAGCACATGTCCGCTTGTCCGGGTCTCGGAAAAGGACGCCATCGGCCCACCCGAGGATAACCAGACTCGTCTCCCGGGAGGGGAGAGGGGATCTTTCGGAACATACCCCTTCGCACCTTGATATGTCAACAGAACGTGTTTTTGACCTGATATGAGTGGGCCTAGGGATTTTTCCATCATGGATAATCCTGCACCACGATAAAAATAGCTGTCAAGTGTCGTATTCAGCAGACCTGGACGTATTAAATCCCCCCAGAGCTCCTTCATCGGAAAGTACGGTACTAACGGACATCTAGCAAAGGAATGAAAGATTGATATTTAATGAAATTCTCTAACGTTATTGGACAAGTTAATTTCTCACCGTCACCATCCCATTCGTCTCATCACGGTACCACAGCATCAAAGCCATCTGGCTAATACTATCGCCATCCCAGCCCTCGTCCATGAGACCCATCAACCCAGGATTCGTTTTATATTGCAAAACCTCGAACCTCGAATGGCGAAGTTGATGCAGCAGCCATCGATTCACAAACGTAAACTTGTTCAAGGGCACAGAGCGTCCCACTTCAAAGAACGGCGACCGGTCCTCAAACTCGGTCACTCGCAATGGATCTTGTGGTGGTTGATTGTCGGGGGACTGGGGTTGAAAGTCCGTTACCACTTGATCCCATTGTTCGTCGAGGACGACTGCTTCGGGATGATTGTCGTGTTCGGGGTGGGCGATTAGTCGACGAATTGCAAAGTGGATTCCGGCTTGGGTTTTCGCCTTTGCGTCTTCGTAGCCTGCAAGGAAGGAAAGCCCATCCGGATCGAGAGAGATGCCGATGCGCTCGCGGAGATGTTGCTGATTTAGCCGATTCATATATTCCGATTCTAGGTCCCGCAGTTGTTCGCGGAGCAGGCGAATCTCCCCAGCTAGAGTGAGGTATTCTGCAGTCCTGGACGAAAGCTGTTTGGCATCGGGGTCGGTGGAGGAGGAGGAGGAGTCTGAAGAAACGTTCGAGTCTGCACCAACAAGTTGGTTTTGATCGTTTCCCGAGGCGGCTTGTCTGCGCAGCATCTTATTCAGTCTCTTCATGCGCTTGCCCAGGACAGTCTCTTCTTTATCAAGCTCATTTTCGATCCTATCGTAGTCACTTTCTTGAGTATGGTAAAGTTTCGTGGCAGTTTTCAGGTCGTCAATAGCTTTTTTGGTTGTTGAAACTTGCTGGTGAATAGCCTCTGGAGATAGCCAACTGAGTTTCTCACGTAGTACGAGTCGGAAGTAATCCTCCTCCTCGCGTTTGCGCCGCAGCGCACGACGAAGATCTCGCGCCCGCAAACGTTTAGTACGGACTTCTTGCTGCAAGTGATGGACCTCTTCGAATAGTCTTTCGAGTTGGGCGCTGGTGTTGCCTGTTTTTACAGGCGCATGATCAATTGATCCCGGATGCTGAGATAATGGTGGAGACTGATCTCCCTGGCGTACGGTATTCACCGTCTTGGGCCCATCTCCTGCTTCTCCGGTCGTACCAGCATCGTCCGTCTTATGAGACAAATCTATAGGAATCGTGGGCATTGTGGTAGGCGGCGAAGCTTCTGGGTCACGCGGGTACGGCGGCTGTAGCCTGCCCGAGGAAGGGGAGCTCAAGGCCTGTTCATCCGTGATCCATCGCGAGTTCCATTCGATGCGTGACATCTCCCCGGGCAAAATATTGTCAGGTTTATAGCCTGCACTCCTGGTATCCGGCCAACCTGTTCCCTTCAAAGTAGCCTGTACATGAATGGGAGGGATGAGTATTCACGGTTACTCCTGTTATCGTGCGATCGATCAGTGCCTACCGGCGATACACGAGCCCCCCGAGTTCCTGGCCAAGATGCCATGATAGGTATTTCCAGAGCGATTCGGTCACATATCGTTCAGCTCAAATGTCGAGTTTCGTTTCAACTCCAACAGTCAAGGAGCGGAGACGATGATCAACCTGGAGCTGGGGGTCAAGTAGAACGAAGGGGGAAATCATATAGGGTGACAGTATGCTCTTTTTTTCTTTTGTTGTGCTTTTATCTCGCGGCTTAATCTGAATCAGTCAAGGGTTTTTCACTTCTCAATAGATTTTTGAGGATGGGACGAGGATTTCATACCTGTCCACCTTCGGCTCATAGTGTATTTAGCGGGGCGTTTCAGACTTCAGCCACATCACCGTTGCAGCGCCTGAATGAGCGGCCCAATCACTTAGACTTCTTACCTTCGATACCTGGTCTATTCCCTGCTAGCTTCGGAGCCTTTGGCGTGTGATCTTCCGTCGGTCCCGATATTTGCTGGGCATCACTGCGACTATAACTGCGCCAAGTCACTTTATCTCCAACAGGTACGGGTATCCTGACTTCCCGATGTTCAGCATGATTCCGCTGCTAATGCTGTCGATTCCATGACTTGGTTTCTGTCAACGGAGTCTGACGGCCTGCGAGACGTAATTGCATATTCACCTTGATTCTACATTTTTCTCCACATGTTTTCTCCACATGAATAATACCCACGAGCATTTGGAACACTTGAAATACCATCAACAAGAGACGGTCCGAACCGTAAGGCCAACAAATCATGGAATGACCTTGAATAAGATCGAAGACGTCTGCACTCAATTTAAATTTCAAATTTTTCCTGCCCGACTGTGCTTGATCTTTGGTGCCAGTTGTCATCTTGTCATGTAATAGCGGCAGTCGTGGCGCAAATAGGATATAGCACATTTCCAAGAGTAATAGATTCGCTGTTTCTCCCCACGTCCCCACGAACAGCCTGGAGGGTACATGGGTCATTTGACTGTGGAGTTTATGTGGCTAGCTAAATGTATGTCAAACATTCTTGGGGAATTTGACTCGGCACGAAGAATGGTCCAGAGATCAGCGACTTTTCCTGTGTATCGGTTGTTCGTGTTTGCAAATCTCGAAGACCGGTGAGCTTCAATAACGCTCTTTCGATACTGTTTGTCTAAATGTTCTTTGGGTTTCACGGCGGCAGAGACCAGCTTCTAGGCCTGCATTCTTCAACCCGGGTTAAACATCGTGGGAATCTTCCTACATTATTGGTTCTCGGTGCCGATTATGCAGCCTGGAAACAATCAAAAGTGAGTATCAAGCGGTCATCTATTGACTCGTACATAGGTGTCCAACCTTGGGGCTACCCTCAACTTTGAGCTAGTGATCAGATCCAGCCCAAGTGATGCGTCCAGTACATGGATCACGGCGGATGAGCGAGGCTGAAGATCACCGCATGTTGCAGCCTGAATATGAGGGCATCCAACGCGAGTTTGTTGTTGTGGCGGAGTCGTGGCTGAGTGAAAGGATGGTGGTTTTCCCTTTTCAAGATACAGTTCGAGAAAGTGTAGAACCAGAGCTGAACATCTCTCGTGAGAAAAACAAAGAACTGATTGTTATAAGAGTCGTGGAGCTCGTGTCCATAGCCACCCTCGATGCCACATTTTCACTCCTGCGACCTCCCTCCATCGAAGATGCTCAAAGAAGCCTGCGATAACCCGGACATCTTGTTCGGACTCTCTGAAACAACGCTCGTGTCCTTGATATATCAGGAATTTCCAGACGAGATTGACCGACTCCGGCGGGCTTACTCCATCCGTGACCCTCAAGGAAACCCTCCTGAAAGTCCGTCACCTTCACGCATTCTTTACCAAGAAGACTACGATGAAGTCAATCGCACACTGATCGGGTTCCTTGCCTTGCGTTGGATTCACAATGGCGAATACGAGGTCTTTGTTGGGTCTCAGCCGCCGGAGCTCCGGTTAACCAGAGAATCGTTTGACTGGACTCGGGATTATTACAAACAATCAATCACCGATGCAAAAACTCTTTACGCCTTGATCACTTCGATCATAATCAACGATCTAGGGAAAGACCCTGAGTTAGCCCTAGATCACCAGAAATTAACCGGAGAAGATATCTCGGACCTCAATCACGATCATATTCTCCTCAAAGCATGCGAGTCCGGCCTAGTCCCATCACTGGACCGACATTCTGCCCAGGAAAAAGATGATTTACTCCTAGGAATTGAGATTGGAGCATTCTTCAACTTTGGGCAGCTGGGCCAGGCGGAGAACGCACCGGTGGCTTTGACGAGTCTACTTCGGATGGAAGGCCGGCAACGCAGCTTTCAGCTTCGCTTCATGGAGCAGCTGCTCGACATTGCGGGTGCCGCAGGCCATATGGACTGGACTTGCGCGAAGAAATTGAACCAGCCTATTTTTGACTCGTATCGAAATGTCTTTCAAGCATGTTATAAAGTGATCGATGGCACGCTGGACGCCCGCCAAGGATACGAACATGTCCTCATTCGACGTGCAGAATACATCCATATCAAAGGCTTTCGATTGTTGAGAGTGGAAAATGATCAATATGAACGAGCCTTGATGAGGCTCTTGTGCATGGGTAACGTGACAACCAAGGAGACTGCGGAGATGTACGAGTCTGCGTTGGACTCCCTGCAGCCAGCTACCAAGGATGCCCTCGTGTATGCTTTGAATGTGGACGGCTCAGTGGACGAGCCCGCAATTCAGCCGACATATATGCCTGCTCTACTCAGTCTGATCAAGAAACCAACAGAATTGGTTGCGGTGCTCCACTACCTTGCTCGGGTCATGAGTACGAAGGCTCGGGTAGATTCTTCGCCAGTTATTGTTGAGCGGAGCGTGCTTGCGGTTCTGAAGCGACATATTGAGGGTGATGAGTTCCGCGACAATCCGTCTATTCTGGAAGATGTCGATGTGCCAGATGACGTGGTTGCACTCACTGTGCAATGAAGTAAAGGATGTACGGCAGAATTATGTCTATCCATCTCAAGCCTACGTAGAAGCCTGTCGGGTTGCGATATGCTGCTGATAAGTCAAGAATATTCTGGCATGGCTTTCTTGGGCATTCTATCATATCGCTCTTTGATTCATGGCACTAAATATTGAATATAGAGTCATTCTGAAGGCAGACATTTCGAAGAATACAAAAACAGGGCCGAAAGAATAAAACAAGTCCATTCAATTCAATCTCAAACATTACGACCAGCAGGGGTATCAGAGCAGCATTAAGTATCCTCCATTATAAATTAATGATCCAAAAAGAATTACAACGGCACATTCGTCTCATTGACAGCAGCGGGTGCTGGCGTCGACTCCCGGGCTTGAGTGTAAATATGAGTTCCGAGGCTCGCCACAGACACCCTGGTAGGTTGGTCCTTTGGAGGTGGTGTAGGAGGAGTAGGAGTTGCTTTTTCCTTCAATTCCTGTCGAAGGTGATCCACAGTAGTACGACTAACGTCACCTTGGCTTGCCAAGCTAACCTTCAGCCAGTCATTGGGGGTCGCGAGATACTCCACAGAGCTGCGCATTCGAATAACACACTCCCTGTAGAGACAATTCTGTTCGAACCGCCAGCTACAGAGAAGAGCACGAACCATACCACCTTCACGACCGCAGATAAGTGCTACCACTGGAGGTCGCTCCGCAGCGATCACGGAGACAGTCATGTTTCCCGTATCCACGATCGTGAAAAGACGATGCCCCTCGGGAACGTTCAGCTTCTGGGCTTCCTGCTGCCACCATGCTGGATCTTCAGGTTCAATTCCCTCTCGGGTCTTTTTGTTGCGCAGGTTCTTGGAGAAAATGGTCGACGAAGGCGCATAGGCCAGACGGTGATTGAAGTTTCCGTAGATGACTTTTTCAATGTCTCTGAGAGGCATTGTACCCTCAAATCCTACCAGGTGGCAGGATACACCGGTAGCACCACTGTTGCAGAGCTGTCGCACTGCCCACGGGCTGAAACAGGAGATGATCCAAGCGCATCCAACGAACAATGCCACACCAAGCAAATACATGGACACATCGATGGTGGACTGGTTATTGATGAGGGAGAACTCAAGAGAGATAGCCGACGAAAATAGACCAAATCCGGTCAGCAGAAACCAAGCACCAGCATACACGACTTTCTGGGAAACAGTCGCACGGAATCCATTCAGGTCTTTGACGTACTTGACTCTGGGAAAGTTCTTCCAACGGATGGGAATACCGCGGCATCGATCCAAGATGACGGTGGGGGAGTGTGGATCATCGCCAATTCCAACCACACTGCAGGTGGGCTGTATATCCCAGAGGTGAACCGAGTATTGGTCACGATCGGCAATATTTCTCAGAATGCTCTCACTGCCGGTCAGAGCATTAATGCCCTCCACTCGATCTTGGAGCTGTTTCTGAGGGGGATGGGATGGCCACAGACATACAAGACGTTCGAGTAGGTTATCGCTGTCATTCACGAGAGATAGCCGTGCAATGGCCTGGAAAGGACTGTCCGTGGGATTGCAATTGATGCGATAGGCGAGTAGTCCCATGGCGGCATAAGCCATGTCCGCTGTCGTATATCCCTGTATATCTTTGCCAGTAGATAGTTGGGCCATGGCTTGGACCGCACACGTGAATAGTTGCAATTCACTGAGCGTGGTGGTGTTGGTGTAATGGTTGATGAGATGGGAGATCACATCTTCATGCGATCCGTCGTTGTCTTCCTCGTGGCTGGATCGGAATCGAGACGTGGATCCAGGCCAGAAGCTGTCGTACATATCTGTCAAGGTAACATCAAAGTGTGGCAGGTCCTGACGATCGTTTTCAATGGTCTCAGGGTTCGAAAAACAGTATCTGATCTTGCCTGCTGCAAGAAGAACCTCGGGTAATGTCCAGATGCGCTGTCCCCATATCCTCTTCTGCTCTGGATCGTCGCTAGGTAGCACGACATAGACTCGCTTCGCACAACGAACGGCATCACAAATTGAATGGACATCTTTCGTACGTTTTGACTCCGCCTTTGCCTCTTCAGTCGTGTCGTTCGCATCGTCGGGTGAGACACAGTCCAGGTCAACCCAGAACGCCTTCACAAGAGGTTCATTGGGGGCTTTATCCCTGTTTTCATGCTCCAACATAGCCTCCGCAATACGATAGAAAAACGAACGTAGCTCGCCATCCTTTTTGCCGAGGTAATTGGCTCGAGAGAAACTGAGAAATATATAGGGTTGTAGCATACCCGTCTTTTCATCGCGCAGCTCGGTAGTCTCTTTGACGACCCATTGCTTGGTTTCGGGGTCTCTCACAACCAGACGACGAGGGATGGTGAGCTTGGTGAGCTGCGATTGCGGTTTTGTGTTTTCCGGTGACTGGTCGAGTACATTGACAGCGTGCTTGGGCCAACACCACGACACGTTCTCATACTCATCATAAGGCTCGGCGGTGCCATCATCACTCCAAGGAGCAGTGACAACCTGGATAGACAGCAACAGCTGAATGACCCAAGCCAATCCCAACGTGCATAAAGTTGCTGCTATCACATGCACGATGCGTTGAAGCACTGTCAACGAGTCTTGTCTGCGTTGTCTTCCGTGTCTGTCTCCCTCATCCTCGTCATCGTATCCAGACTCATACTGCTCAAATCCCAATGGATTCAAGCAGAGTTCCGCAAGTGAAATAATAGTCGGCACATGTCCATTGATCTTTCGGCGACTCCAGTGGCGAGATTCCGTGTCGGCTAGGGTACCCGGAGCGGCCTGTACGACCAATCGACGGGGATACTCTTTGTTCGTGCTGTAATAAGCATCCACATCGGGGTATTTTTCGTGTTCGTTGCCTCGCCAGGGATTGAGGTATCGTCGCTTTCGGTAGACTTGCTTGGAGTCTTTCAGCTCTAGCATGCGATCTTCCAACTTGCCTGGGCTGATAGAGGGACGGCGAACTCTGCCCTCGATGGACCAGTGCCATTGGCCGTCGTATTGTTCCCTCAAGTGCTTCTCTGCCTTTTTGATCTGATGCTGTTTGTCATCGCGGCGTAAAGATAGCGATGCGCCCATCTTGATGGTTGCGACAGCGTCGCTAATGGAAATATGGGCTTCCTTCAAGAGTTATTGCTCTGAATACGGAGTACTTTGTGTGGAATAATCGCTGTCTGTTAATTCAATCTAGTAAGCGGGAGGGAAGCGTCAGGACTCTATATGCCTGGCCCACTCGACTTTTAACGCAGAGTACTCCGTCCTCGGTCTGTGTGCGGAAAATAGGGGCGTGGCGTGGCGCAAGCCGTAATCTCTGCACTGGGAATATTGATCAACAATGTCTCCCACCGTCAAAATCCCCTGATCAGTAAACAGAAAACACCCAATCCAGCTCAATCGGTACAACGGGCCATGAAAAGTTTCTCCGTGGCTTTGGCCCCTTTTTGATTCCTGTGCCTGTCAACCGCAGCGCAACAATCCACACATTAAGCATCAGCATTGAAGATTACGGCAACTGACACGAAACTTGTGAAGGGAGTGCATGAGAGCCGCAACATGTCGACGGCCAGTGCGCGACGAGTTCGTTTTCGGCATGAGTAGGGTCGTGGGGGCCAAACTCGAACAGCCAACCATCGCCCGCCATCTGCCGCAAGGGTACAATGGGCTGAACAAGCCCTCGTATTAGCTTGAGATGACCGCACATACGGAGTGCAATTTCCTATTTTGTCAGTTTTGTTTGCTTTTCTCGCACGCTTCATGGCGTCGAATAGTGCTGACTTCTGCGCCATGACCCGCCTCACCACCCGTCTGCCCAACGAGGATCCATGCAGTCAGCTCTTAGCGCAGTTTGAGGGGCAGAAAGTTACTCACTGCTGTCCACGAGGCCGTGTGAAGTATGGGGCCTGGGTTTGCCTGCAGATAGGATGGAAATCTTTAATTTATGTGCTAGCATCACAAGGATCGCGACGCCCGTCTGGATCAATATCCCTCATTCCATCCAGCTCTGATGATTGTTTTCCTACCACGCACCCAAGGAGTCTACACATGTACCCCTGGCATACAAAACTTGCTTCTTGGGCCGAGGGCACAGGACTTCACATCGATGCCCTCGGCCTCGTTACGCTCCTCGGGGCGGAAGAAATGGATCGGAGTATAGGACGGCTTGTCCCGAGCCTTTATTTTGACTTTCTACCTTTGCTAGGAGCGTTTGTCGTGGCAGGAGACCGATTCACTGAAAAGAAATCCGGGTTTACTTTGTACAACGTGTCAGAGGGCATCATGACCACCGAACTCGCTGGATGGTTCTCTAGATGGCTTCAAGGACAAGAGCTTCATCGAGTGCGCAGCATCGTCCACTGGGAAGTAGGTGACCGACCTCCTAGATGGAGATCGTTCCTGATTGGATTGCTTTTGATCAGTGTTCCCACTCATGCAACACTCATTGTGCTCACTGTGTTGACTGCTGACTGGTGGGGCCTCGCAAATGTCATGGCCATGATTGTATCCGTGATTGTGAGATGTATTCAGGTCGCGCAAAACCAAGCTGGCATTGATAGAAATATCAAAGAAGCTCAAGAGGAGGCTCAAAGATACAATTATCAACAAAATCTCGAGATCTACGAGGCAGCAATCGCACGCCATGAAGAATTGCGTAAAAGTGGGACAGTCAGCGAAGAAACAAAATTGCCAGTGGAGCCCAAGGATCCGAATGCGATTGCCAAAGTGATTGTCATCACGGAGGACTCCAAAGCTGTGACTATTGCTGCGCCAAGATATCTGATCAAGCAAGCTTTTACAGCCAGCCCGCAAGTTCCGAATCGGGTTCTCTACACGGCATGCCAATGGACTGGCTGGGTCGCATTCGCGGTGCATGTTATCAGTATCGGCATGGCGGGCCTCTACACTCAAATCTGCTCGGTCGTCATCATACTCGTTGCTACCGTTCTAACGGCCCATAAGGTTGGCTGCGAGGATTCAAGATTATGGCCCCTCCTCCGCAGCAAACTCGGACATAGCACGGATGAAGACATGGGCAATATTTGCTGGGTTAGCTCGAGATTGAGAGCCGCCTTGTCTTCCTACCCAGCTTTCTACGCTGATTGGAATGTCATGCAACAGGAACATAAACTCCCCAGTGTGCAAGAATCGGATGAGCTAGGAGGAGTCTCGAGAAGGGGCCGAAGAAAGTGGAGCGACATAGAATCATTTAGCGCGAAGCCAAATATGTCGGTCAAGGTTCCAGAGCGCCGTCAAGATCTTTATGCGTGGCTAGACTTGACCACGGAAGAAGATAGTCATCTCAACTTTTGGGGACTCATACCCCACAACCAGGAGTGGAAGAGTCTGTATCTTGAAAAGAAAGCCAAGCACCGCAGGCGGATGGGTGGAACTTGTTAGACATGGTATTAAGCACACAGCGTGTACTATATGATATCTGAATAGATGAGAGCGCGTCTCTCTTGAATCAGAACTTATTAGTATTTGAAAGTCTTTCAAAAGCTCCAATGTTTTGCCCTTTCCGATTTAGGAAAGGGCGAGACTGCTGCGATCCGCCGCCATTTCCGGCACGCACCCCCTAGTCAGATCTCTGCCTGGCGGGCTGAAGCTTGCTAGTAAAGCCCGTCATGCGTACAAGTAAGTTAAATGGTGGTGGTAGATAGTAACTATGCCAGGCAGGAATATAAAACCCCTAGGGGCGCGCGCGGGAAATCCAGAGGGTGGAAATTCCGTGATGATGTCAGCAGCGGAGATTCTGTTTGCTCACCGCCCAGAAAAATCTCACCGCCCGAGGAAATTTCCCAAATCGATCTTTTCGACTTCGAGTTGAGATTATACAAATAATACAGCACAGCAAACATGAAGCGCAAGTTGGATGCAAACGACGTTCCCTCTCCCGAACCGGCTGGTGCGGATGAGAAGGAATTTGATTTTGAGGCTCTCAATCTGGATCCGCGTCTTCGCCAGGCTCTCATCAAGGAAAACTTCAGCAAGCCGACCCTCATCCAGGCCAAGGCAATTCCGTTGGCCCTTGAAGGAAAGGACATTCTAGGTGAGTCGACCCCGGCAGTCCCATTATTCATATCTATACTGACAAAAACAGCCCGCGCCAAAACTGGCTCAGGAAAGACGGCTGCCTATGTGCTCCCAATCCTGCAAGCAATTCTCCAACGCAAATCTGTTAGTCTTATCGCATGCTCTGAGAGCAAGGGTGAACGACCGCTAATGCTTTCATACAAAAATAGGCCGATTCCTCGTTGAAAGCCACCACAGGTCTTATTCTCGTCCCCACTCGCGAGCTTGCGGAACAGGTTCAAAAAGTCATCACTTCGTTTACTGCCTTCTGCGGAAAGGATGTCCGATCTGTCAACCTCACTCAGAAGGTGTCCGACGCCGTGCAGCAGTCCATGCTTGCCGATTTCCCCGATTTGATCGTCTCCACGCCCACTCGAGTCCTGGCTAATGTCAACAACTCCGCTCTGTCGCTCGAGAAGCTTACTCACCTGGTGATCGACGAGGCCGACTTGGTTCTTTCATACGGTTACGACGAGGATATCAATGCTCTGTCAAAGGCTATCCCCCGTGGTGTACAGACATTCCTCATGAGTGCTACTCTGACCTCCGAAGTTGATACTCTGAAGAGCCTGTTCTGTCGCAGCCCGGTGATTCTGAAGTTGGAGGATAGGGAAGAGAAGGGTGCTGAAGTTAGCCAGTTTGTGGTCAGGTATGTAGCCAATCATCCGGCATTCCTGCCTGTGTACAGATGCTAACCTATAATTTAACAGATGTGCGGAAGACGAGAAGTTCCTGCTTACATATGTCATCTTCAAGCTACAGCTGGTCAAGGGCAAGGTTATCATTTTCGTCGGCGATGTGGACCGCTGCTACCGTGTGAAGCTTTTCCTGGAACAGTTCGGTATCAAGAGCTGTGTCCTCAACTCAGAGTTGCCCATTAACTCGCGACTACACGTTGTTGAAGAGTTCAACAAGGGTGTTTACGATATCATCATCGCCGCAGACGAGCAGGAGGTTATGGGTACACCCAAGCCTTCCAAGAAGCCACAGGAAGTTGACGAGAAGGCAGACAAGAAGGAAGAAATTGGCAGCAGCGAGGATGAAGAAGAAGTGGAGGAATCCAACAACAAGCAAAAGTCCAAGAAGCGCAAGATGTCCAACAAAGAAAAGGACTACGGTATCTCGCGCGGTATCGACTTCCAAAACGTTGCCTGCGTTCTCAACTTCGACCTTCCCTCTACCTCAAAATCCTACACCCACCGCATCGGACGTACTGGACGTGCGGGCAAGGCCGGCATGGCCCTCTCCTTCGTCATCCCCACCGACCAATACGGAAAACATAAGCCCACGTCGACCCCCAGTGCCAAGAACGATGAAGCTGTCATTACCAAAATTATCAAGCGTCAAGCCAAGATCGGCAACGAGGTCAAGCCCTACCACTTCGAGATGTCCCAAGTCGACGCCTTCCGCTACCGTATGACCGACGCCCTGCGCGCCGTCACTCGTCTTTCCGTGCAAGAAGCTCGCGCGCGGGAGATCCGTCAAGAGCTGATCAAGAGTGAGAAGCTCAAGCGTCATTTCGAGGAGAACCCGGACGAGCTGCGCCAACTGCGCCACGATGGTGAGCTGCGTGCTGCCCGTGTTCAGCCGCATTTGAAGCACGTGCCGGATTACCTGATGCCTACGAAGGGGCGTAAGGGTATCTCGAAAGAGGATGTTGGATATGTCGGCTTCTCCAAGACGAGTGAGAATCGTATCCGTAAGGCTCGTGATCGTAACCGTGCTCGCGGGAAGGGCAAGAAGACTGGGAAGGTCGATCCTTTGAAGACATTTAATCGCGGTCGCAAGTGAAATAGATATGGAGTGCTAGGACATATGCTATGATACCATTGTACAGTTGGATTGGAAACAATTACATTTGCGATTATCCTTTTTTGTGCTTAATAGTTCTTGTAGTACATTCCAGGTTTATGCTGTGTCTCCTCGAGACTAATGTATGTACACTTCGGTCGGCTTAACACTCGACCCTCGATCAAATCACGGACTGTAGGTATCACGATCCTCGATGCTTCGAGCGGTTGTTCCACGCCTCATCATCTGCTCCCGTAAAAACCTCAATCCACTTCCCACAACCTTCTTTTCTGATGACCCGAATCCCAGCGCACACCTCTTTCGCCTTACTGATTGCATCGCGCCAGGCCTGACGCTCTTTGTCACGACGGTACAACCAACGTTCCTCCTCCACGTCCCACGGTAGATCGGTTGGGGGAGGAGACCGAGGAGGGTCGTGGCGATCAATATGGTCCTCCATCGAGAGGGTTTGGAAAGCATTGGCCGGCGCAAGAAGAGAGTTATTTCGCGACGCAAGCGGCAAATACGATGGAGGGGGTAGGTTTCGAATTGCCGAGATGGGTCTTGTGAAGGGACGAAGAAGATCCTTGTCCCCTGGGTATTCAAAGCCAGGACCTAGACCAATCCATCCAACATTTCGCCAGGATCCATTCCATTCAGGACCCGATGTGCCTGGCCGACAGGGCAGGCCGTCTGGATCAGTTCCCGTCCATGTCAGCGCGGGTATCCATTCAGAGCAACCCTCGAGATCCAGCCATTTCAGGCAGTAAGTAAAGCGAGAGAGCTGTCGAAGTATCCCCGCTGCTTCTGCCCAGTTATTTTCATCTCCGGAGTAAACATCTGTACCGCCGTGGACGAATGCGGGACCCCGGTGGTTTGATGGGCGCATCCGCGCGGGGGCGGTATGAGGGGTACGAGTTGGAGGGGGCCACTGAGCTAGAGACAAATGTGTGATGGTAGAAAGACGAGAAAGAATGTGAAGGAGAGAGTTCCAGCTTGCAGCTCCAGGGACTGGGTGGGCGAGGGAAAGGTAGCGGAGATTGGTGAAGCGGGCGTTTTGGCTGATGGATTTGGGAATGGAACCAGCTGTAGTGGCAGACAAAGCGGCGTCCCCCACAGGCTCAACGGGTGTTTGTTCATCCCATGAGGCAGGGACGCTCTCCTCTGGCGCAGGCTGGGCGACAGCAGGTGCTGACTTGGTGGTGATAAACAGCTCCCCCGAGAGTTGTTTGAACGTCATCCAGTAACCCAGCGCCCACGCCAGATCCAACCGGCAGGTAAAGGTATCGGCTTTGTGGGGAGTGTCCACATCAGCTTCACCTTGATCTCCAGCAGTGTCAGACTCGGTGAGAAACAGAGGCTTCAGGCCCCTCATGCGTCCTTTCAGAGGCTGAGTTCTCGTGCGAGCCGCATAGACGGCGACATAGCTGAGCATGAGCTCTTTAGTATGTGGGGGCAAATGAGCCAGAAATGGCCCATCATAATCCAGATGCCAGGCCCAGTTCAAGGCCATAGACATGAGGACTGCATGGAGTAGACTGGACTCAGCTGGGAACTTTGCCCCAGGTAGTCTATCGAGACGATATATAGTATTTCTGTCACCTCCGGTGGTAGCCAGCACGGCTTCTTCCGCTGACTGCGACCCCTCGCTATTTCCCGAGAGCCAGCTGTTTGGGGGCGGAGGTCCTGGGGTCAATCGTACTGGACGCGCGCCGATAATCGTGCGGCGAGGTCCAGGGCGAGGTCGAGGTGATGGGGCCTCTGGAAGCTCGAGAAGGTTTCTAAGAGTTGGATGAACGGATCCTTGAGGGAGGAAGGATTGTGAAGAGGCTGGAGTTTCGGGTTCAGAGGGAGTCGGCGCTTGTGTGCGGCGAAGATGGCTGATCAGATCGTTGACAGAAGGCGAGTCAGACGTGGTGGAGCCAGCAGGTCGTCTGGTTTGATCATTCTGTCGGGGGCTGGAAGTGAGAGTATGATGCGGGGTACCGGTAGGTTTGAAGACAAAGGACTTCTTCTGCTTTTTGGTCATGAGCAATCGATAGATGTTTTGAGGGCGTAGGTGAAAGAGGCAAACATGACTCAACGGGGCTGCAGCTCCCCGTCATCTTGATTGTCCTTATCGCCTTATCGATTATCTTATCGCCCCTCACACTACATGCAGCCGTATAGCAGCCACATCAGGCGACTTATTTTTGGCGAGACAAGGCACTGTTACAAGGCATTTTCCTGAATACAGCTAATGCACGTCGCGAAAAAGATACGATGGACCCTTGTATAACAAACTGTTGTAACTCTATCATGAAATCTATACACGCTATTTACACATAATATTGTACAGCTAGGCTCAGATATCTCGAACCCAGGAATCATCCTTCATGTGGCCCTCACGCTGAGGACCTTCCTCAAGCCAAGTCTCGACAAGGCCCTCCTTCGGATCTTCATCGGGAAGACCTCGGGACCGTCGTACATCAAGCACGAGGTTTCTGATCTTCAAGGTGACTTCTTTGCGTAACTCAACTGCTTCCTTGTTGTTCAACAGTTCGTCGCTCAAGACACCGAATGGCAGATCTCGAGACTGGGCATCTTTCTTCTCGACCTTGGCCCTCAATTTTTGCCAGCGGGAACGCATCTCTCCAAATACCTCCTCGGTGTCCACCTTGGAGCCGAATGTGACGCTGACCTTCTTGCCAGGGCGAGGGAGGAACCGAGGGAATTCGCGACTCTCGTGCATGATATCGTCAAAGCCCTCAATCCACATAGGGACCACATCTGGGCACTCCCTCGCCTCTAGAATGAGGCGCGCAATGCCCCACTTGAAGTATCTCATGGTCTTGCGGGGTGCCTGGTGGATTTTGCCCTCCGGGAAAATGTGAACCCACGAGGACGAGTTGCAGGCGAACGCAGAAGGTGCCATATGCGCATCATCACCATGAGTAGTGTATGCGATAGAGAGGTCAGAGAAGGGATCGATGCAGACGTTCTGGCGGCTAAAATGCTGGAGCTCGGGGGTGGCACGGTGGTGATCGACCGGGAAGGGGCCTTTGGACAATAGCCGAATCGCTTCTGTGATTGCGGGTTGGCCTAGGCCACCGAACTGAGAATGCGCGAGGCGATGCGTGGGCAGGACCTGTCCCAACGCAAAGAAAAGAGATAGTGGCCTTGAGAAACATGAACCATATCAGCAACAAAATCCCTTTTCCCGACCACCAAGTTCTTCCATGATAGACGCACCTTCCCTGAAAGCAGATATCATGACTGCCGAATGACCATCGCTTGTTCCAGAATCGCGCGGGAAGTATTCCCCAGACTAAAGGATCGTCCATACTAGTTTCCGCGGCTCAATGTCAGTTCCGGTGATTTTGTATAAGGCGATCCGAATTCTCGGTGTGTTTTTTGGGAACGTACACGCTGATATGGTTCGAAACTTCATCGATGACGATCGATCAGCACCTGAGCTTCAATTGTAATTTCAAACAACTCGGGCAACATACCTGTAATCAAACCCTTTGATCTTTGTGCCGGGTCCTGCCTCGAGTCCAGCAAGGCTGTAAAAGCCTCTCCACCATGAACCTCCGCATTGTTCATTGTCGACAAGAATGCGCGACACAGCCCAGCCACTCCCCACATGGTCATGTTGGACATGGCCCGCCATGGGAGGGACGGGGAATCTGCCGTTGTTGCGCCGGAGTCCATAGTGCTGTGAAGGAGAAAATTCTATGAAAACTCCATAGACGAGATTTAACTCTCGGACGCGTAGCGAGTGGTCTGGGTTTCAAAGGGCCCTCCTTTGACCAGGAATAGAAGTGGTTGTACGGGGAAGACACGGCGACTGCTCGGCGAACACATTTAATCTTTCGGGATCATGTGACTGAACCCGGGGTAAATACTGACCCAACAATCGTCCAGTCCTTCGGCCCTGTTTACGATTGATCGAATTGACTCTTCTATATGCGTGCTCTTGTATTTGAAACGGAGATACCTCATCCACTCCCCTGAGATTCTTTTCCGTTGCTGGTCTTTGATCCCCTTTGCTCCAAAGTGTTCTGAGTATACTTAGGAAAAGGGACCGGGCGCACGGACCAATTGCATTCCCGACTTCAAGCACGATTTTGCCCGCAGCGCCGTCGTCTTCCCTCTGCAAGCCGCAGCCATGTTCAAGCCCACATCGGCCCTATTCTCGGGTCTTCTCTGGTAAGCAGGCTGTTCGAAGAAATTGAGATGATTGGCATTTGAGTATGCAGAGCTAACAGTTTCCTTCTCCGGTTGACAGGAAGACCCCATGGCGTCTCTCATCCCCCCAAAAGGCCCGGCAGCGCAAGCGTCTGCGCGCCGTGGACCGAGTCGTCGATACCCTCAGTGCTGCTCTTGCCCGGCAAGGGCAGAGCACCAAGGCTGTTGAGCGGTGGTATGCGGAGATGCCGCGTGAGGAGGAGATGCTCCCCAAGGACAAGTACACCATCTTTGACAAGAAGGAGAAGACCTACCGGAAGGGCATTCACAGTACGTCAATACCTCGAGAAAACTCTGCTCATAACTCAGAAGAATGTGCTAAGTCCTTTTTCTCTCTACTTCCAGAGCTTCCCAAGTGGACTCGTGTCAGCCAGCGTGTCAACCCGCCCGGTTTCTAAGACCTCGATCATTGCATCACTCCCTTTACGACTCGCCAATACATACCCTTTTTTGGCTTGTCAATCGGCATTTGTATCATACTTTGACCCTCGCCTTTGTACCACCCCTTCGACTTGGTGGCTCGTATAGGCACACACCCAACATAGGAAGGATTTCCCGGAGTTTTTGGCAGAGAAAACCCGCCACAGGCGCTCGGAAGAGAATGCCCCTGGCTTATATTGTTCCATTACCCAGCGTTAGAACTTGTTATACAAATCAATTGATTCCAAGGACTTATATTCAATGCTCTAGGATCAAGAGTATTCTAACAATGGGACAGCATGGACAGATCATGGTAAGTAAGGATAAAACATCGAGAGTGATCGACATATCGGAGCTCATCCGATATTAGAGAGTTAAATGAGCGGCATGCCTCGGCCGGCACAGTGCAAAAGTTACCTAGTGCAGACCTTGACGCGGTCTAAGAAGCGGCTTGGGTTCGTCCCTTCTCTTCAGGAAGCAGTCTGAGCGACATTGTATGGCAGCATTTTTGAGATTTGCGACACAAGCTCCTTCGCCCGATTCCGATTGGCACGGCCCTCATGGGCAAATTTTGCTAGACGATATCCCCGGCGAACTTGCTGCCAGTCTCCCAGCTTTTCCTGCCATCCAGCACCTCCTTCATACCAGGCGTTCTTCTGTCTAGTGGACATCTCAACCCCCTGGGGTGGCTTCGGCAAGATCCAACAAGCTGGGTCAATGTGCCCATCCGGTGGTTCCTCGGCTGAGTCTTCATATAAATCAATTGTTGGGATAGCGATTCCATTTCCAGACACCCTCCTTTGTTCGTTGACTACAGCCCGCCATGAATCGATCCGCGGTATCTGAGCTCGTTTACGTGCGGTGACCGGGTACTTGAGCCCAGGAACGGGTTCGTTCTCGGCATCAGTAGGACTGAATCGTGGGTCTCCCCATTGCCGACGTCGATGTATTGGCACTCGCGAGATGGGATCGATCACAAGCCAGGTCTCTCTGTTGAGCCAATGATTGGCAAGTAATGCAAAGTGGTATGGCTTTTGCCCGGGCGTCATCTCGTTGTATATCCAACCCAACTTGCGGTTCAAATGATCAATCAGTCGCACCTCCCAGTCGCTCAGCTTCGCAATCGGGGTTTGCTCGTCTTCAGAAACCCCATCACAACCATATGTGCAGTCTGGAAGTGTTGCGTATCTGTTTCGGGCTTTCGCTCTCGCTCTGGTCCTGGCTCTCGCCATCACAGAGTGACCGTATGTTGCCTGGAGGCTGGTTTTATGAAGACTGACTGTATCCGTATCTTGCCATGACTGCCATAGCTGATTCGAAGTGTGTGCAGAAAATAATATTGGCTTCTTAGAAGGCCGAGACTTGGCTGCCGCAGTGTTGAACGCATACTTCGAATCAATGTCAAGAGAACCTGCAAGTATGCCTCTTTTCCCTCGATGTAGAGACTCATGGCTGGAGGTCAGTGGAATTTTCGCAAAGGACGGGTTTGCACCCATAGAGACCCTCCCTGATGCCTCTAAAGATGTGTCGAAAGCACTTTGTTCCGACAAATACCCGGCCAGAAGAGCCGTAAGAGGTGTGCCCGGCGGACCAGAGGAATCCCGAAGATGCGGCTGTGCCAGTCCAGTTGCCTTGGCTTGCATCTGTGCCGACCACGCTCTGTATTTCCGTGAGACAATGTCTCCACGACTGAAACGGGGTCTCGAGACTTCTAGGGATCTTTGGAGACTTTGATGCACACTTGACCCAGAGCTAGGCCCGGCGACATCAGAGCTGTTTCGCACAAATGACAGGCGAGAAAGACGTTGCACCCGTGAGGTATTTTCATCTGCCCATGAAGCCGTCTTCCGAGGGGCAGGTCGGTTGTTGGCCGAGAATGGCACAGAATGCACATTGGTCGGCAAGGTCAACAACTGTCCGATCACTCTTCCATCCACGAGCAAGCCACCTTCAGCCCGGTCGTCGGTGGATCTGGTGTGTGCCCGTGAACGTGGTGTGAACATTTCCAGCGAGCCCGAAGAAACGGCGCTATTCTCGAGCCGGTGCTCGTTGAAGCTGATTCGCGGCAATGGCTCAACGATATCACCCCATTCGGGCCCAAGTCGAATCGGCTGAGAAGGTTCGGCGTCGTGGATGCCGCCCAATGCTCCACGGCACTCTATAGACGATCGCGGATATGGAATGTGCGCGGCGGGCAACTCCTCATAGCTCTTCAAGCATTCCGGTAGCAGCTTCACTCGTTTTCGTTTGGCCCGTCGTGCCGCTATAGCCTCCAGGCCTGGATCCCACCACACCCATTGGTAATCTGTTCTGGGTGACTCCCATGACAGCCATTCGCGAACGTAGCGGAAAGTCTTCCGAATGAACGCCTTATTTCTCTCGTGTCTCTCTAGAGGAACCCAGCCATACCAAGTTCTGGCATATCTAGTCGTTGTTAATTTGCCCGTACACAGCACTCTGTGTCTGGTCAACGAGCGAAAGAACTTGCCGAGCTTCCAAAATAAAACCGCAAATATGAAAATGCCCACTGTTCCTGTGAATAACTCAACAAAAATTGTGGGGTCGATGAAGGTATTCACTGGGACTGGTGTGCCTGGTGTTTCTTTGCCATAGCCTGGTGTAGAAGGTGAAAATGAATGGTACTGTCGAGGATAAACTGGAGCCATCTGCTCAAACAAACAAAACCTCTTCAGCAAGTAGTAAACATACACACCCTTATCCGGGGTTCCAAGAGAGTGACGGTTAATTGGTGTGGTTTGGATCTTGGTGAAGCATGAAGTTGGAGCTTGGCGGCCCAGTGGGGAAGTCGCCTCCCACGGAATTGCAGCATCTGCCATAGTAGATTTCCAACTTCCCTCCCATATTATCGCATCGTTACAGTCGCCGAGTCGAAACTGCATGTTCAAACTTCCGAGCCTGATAGACTTTAGTTTCATCGATAAAGTTCAGTGTTAACATTATCTGGTCTCTGTCAGCGTCACTTGGAATCGGTATAGCCAACGAGGCTAGCAGATCAAATTCTGCAATGACAGCGACGACCCGACTAACGTTATTTATATTTGAGTGGATGTGAATCGAGGTTTTGAGGAGGTACATTGGATCTACGACCTCACGTATCATGCGGTAATTTCTCCTTCTAGATATCTTTAGGATCCTGTCTCGAGTATTCTTGTGCTCATGATGCCAACTTTCCTCTCTGGTTCTTCAATTTATGCTATCTTCTTATTTCCAAGTGATAGCAACACCTTTGCTTCACATGCCACGTTATCGGAGTGTTTCCCGAATAGCGTACAGCTGTCATGTCACAATATCAAGGCGAGGGAAGTCCCCAAGTTGCTTTTCAGGCCGTTTGACCAGAGAGTTGGGCTGAGAGCCTCTCCTTTGATATTCACGACCTGGAAGCCACCAAACAGGCCATTCTGGATGAGTGCCATGTCATGACTGGGCACCTGAATTACTGCAATACGTACGGTATGGTCAGGATGTCGAGCTCCGGCCACTCTATATGCTCCCTATTAACTGGTCATGGGAGAATCGACCCGGTCTGATTTTGAGTAGAAATGCAGCACATGTCATGACGCTCTTTGCTGGCCAAGGAGTTAACTTGGGAATGTAAGACGCCTTGATGTTGTCCCGAGCAATCCTCAGAGGGGCAAATCCAACAATCTCCAAGGATACTTTGCCAACAGAGATCAAGTTATTCGAGAAAGATCTCTATGTACGGGCTAAATAGAAAGCAACTTTTATGAACGATATGATAACCCTGTTGTTTCTCAGTGTTTTCTCTCGATCTGTCATTAAAAAGTTCTTTTTGCGCACATTGACGTTCCACGAAAAGACTCTCCTACGATGCGCTAAGTACTCACTGGTGACTGCTTTTGCATACGGTTACTATTCGCTGACCAAACTATGACATTGATGGTGACATGTTCATTTACAATTCTACTCTCCGTCTATGGATATTTATCAATCTTCTGTACTCTATCTACTTATTAGCCCCGATCTAATATCATCCAATTTGATATTATTGTCTTTGTTCTCCTTGAACTGCATGAAATGTCTCTTCAGAGAATGTGACACGATTGCCTCATTTTCTTTTCGCGGGCTCCTCCTCTCCCATGCATTCCACCGTGATGGCATTCTCGATCATGTGTCGATGAGATTGAATACAAGTGACATGTCAGATCCCTCACGCAATCATCTCCCTGCCGTTCTTCTTAAACAGGTAGCAAGAAGCCGGACGGTGTTTCAGCCGTTCCAGAGTCTATCGATGATCACATGAAAGGACCCATGAATTAGGTCTATATCTCTCGTGCGTTCTCGTATAGGGGTGACCCACGTTGATCCGGCAGATGATAATACAACTATTAGAAAATGAATGATAATCTCGAGTCGATCAGGAATCGGGGAAGTCGGGGTCTCAGAGGATTGGCTAAATGTCTTGGGAAGCCTTCCCGATTAGGAAACCCATGGGTCCACCGCCACATCTCTCCAGCCACTCCTTGCTTTTAGCCACGGTCTAGCCACTGCGGCTGATGATGTGGCGGTGCAACTATTGACGCTTGGAAGTTAGGACCCAAAGGAACTCAAACTTTCCTCCTCCTAAACGATCCACATTGCATAACCCACCAGAAAAACAAGGTTTGTTCATCTTGATTCTTACTCTCCGTTGGGGATCCTTGTTCTTTTTTGTTCGAGCGGACAGAGACGTCACCCCTGTCCTGCCGGGGAATCGTTCCCGATGCCTGAACCGATCCTACTCTTCTCGGTAGCGGCTGTTAGATGTTAATGCTCCATCTGCAAGATTTTTTCTTGGAAAATTACCCTCTCTTCAGATCCTTGCAGAATTGGACTCCGCTGCATTCCTAACTGCACGATCGTTTGATACGTTCTCAATGATCTCGAGCTCATGTCTGACGGGGCTGCATTCTGCTTCGGCGTCAAGCAAATATCTTCATCGACCACGAATCGGGTACCGGGATGTATCCGCTGTGTGACCATCTTTTCTCCTAAGACTGCGTTACCAGGAACTCGAGATAGCACTCATTCCGCAGACACCTATCACCCGGGAGTTACCGCTGCAGTGGGCGGGGAATCCATATGATGCGAACTATTGACTGGCCCGTGCCAGATCGACGAGATGATCATCGGCCCTAGCACTCTTAGGGCGAGATTTCCAAGTGTAGGTGCCAGGCCTGGCCGCACATGTTGGTGGAAGCTTCCTCCCTCGTGGAGCCCCTTCCCTGGTTTTCTCATCCCCCTGCTCAAATCTTAGCTCACACATGGTACTGGAAGATCTTGTCTCTTCTGGTCTTGTGGGCTCTTTCAAAGCCCAGGCACCACAGAGGACCTCGCAGTCTAAAACCTAGTGGCACTAGAGGTGAGGCTGATGACCCGTCGATACCAAAGTGTTGTGCTGTGGCTGGTGATCGATGAAACTATCGCCTCCACTTTTTTTTTTAGCCATTGCCCTAGGCAGCACTATTGCTCGAGATTTTGTGCCATACAATGGAAATTTTGACAGCATATCTTCAAACATTGAGATCACCCTCCAGACCAATTCCATCTTAGCGGACCATAGTTGCCGAACGTTTCGGAGTGGCCGATGGGATTGACGACATACTTGCCCAAAAAGCTAGGGCCGGCAGACTTCATGCGCCACAGGTCACCGTTATGTGTGGCGCACAGTTTTCAGTGACGATCGGATTCCCCCCTGTACCAGGACAATTGCGGTCTAACCTCCCATTTTCATACCCCCTTGATCGGTCGCATGGGTTCCAAATACCAATGGTCATCACGGTCGTGCAATTTGATTTAGGGTTTCCCGGAACCAGCGGCTTCTGGGCACAGACCACGGTTGTCTTGGATCTCAAAGGGTTGTCCTCGATTGAGGTGAATGCATACTAGTGTCGACGCCACATCTGTGACCGAAAAGTGACGGTGACAGCTGCGACGAGCCGGGTAGTTGGCACAACAATAGCAGGACCGCCGAAAACAGATTCCGAATATCTTTATTACAACTCAATGTCGAGAACAAGACCAAAAACTTCCTCCCCATCACACCCACGGCAGGCAGGATGAACATGTCGAGCGTGTAGTGGAGAAGGCGGGTGTGGGGGGGGGATCATACTGTACTATCCGTGCACACGAAACTATTGACAAGTCGGAAAGAAAGTCCAGACTTTGAGCCCTCGAAGAAATCGTAGTCTTATTCCCGTGCCCTCCTTATGGATACTCCACCAGTTTGTCACTGCATATGAACGTCGATCGTGCATGCCAAGGCGCCCGTTTGAGAATCCCTCGTCAAGCTGGCCAGGGAGAATCGGTAGATGGGCGCGAAGAGACCAAATCAGACGTGATGCAACGGTGGAACCCGAAAGGCTGAACGTATCCAGTGGCCGTTCTCTGCTCCCCAGTTGATCCTGATCCGCACGCTAGCATCAGATCTGCCCAAGTGTATCTGCGATCTCCCAGAGCTAGTACCTGCTTTGATCACCCCCTTCCCTGGGTCCATTACGTACCCAACGTTCTACAACCGAGGAGGCCGTAGAATAATCCCATTATTTTTTTTCTCAACCCCCACTATCCATCTCCCCATTTCCTGGAACGTGTTACTGCAAGGATCTCTGTGCAGATGCCGACGGTCCACTTTCCCCGGCCGGATGATCTCTCGCCGTTTCTTGTTTGTCCCTTTCTATCAATGAATCCCGTTGTATGCTTTCATTGGGCTGGATTTTTCGAATTTTGTGATTTATTTTCGCTCCCTTTATTTTGACTTTTAGTCGATCTGCTCTGGATTTCTGATCTCCAATTTGTGATGCACACACAGCATTGACGGCCGCCTTGACTAGATCCCGGAAAGACGGTCACCGATTCATTGATGCGCTCATCACTCCGGTACTTTGGCCGGTGGCGACATCTACTAGCTCCATCATTTTTCAAGGCCTAATCTGGAACTATGAAAGCCGTGATATAGTTGGCAGCAAATGGGTCTCGGCCGCTTGCCGGGAGGTATATGAAGACCGGATGAAGCACTTCAGTCAAGAAACCCTTTTACCAAGCATCATTCTTCCGAATTCAAATCCTTCATAATTCTAAGCTTTCCGCTACATCAACCTTTCTTGTCAACCTCAGTCTCCGTTGATGAACGGTCCCTGCTACCCCTCCAAACTATATCGCCAGATCCACTCCATTTATACTCTCACCAACTCTGTGATCCTTTCGTTCCCCGATTGGTTCAGAGCAGTTCCCTTGAACATCGGTTTTCATATTCGCCGAAAGATTTAGTCCAACCTAAAACTATCAGATCTCTCAAGAACAATGGCTGCTCCTCGTGAATTCGGTTTGACATTCGAAGCTGCCCCGCCAGCCGCAGTCCGCCCCGGTCTCCCCTTCACTGTCCCCGTCATAGTCGCCGTACGACCTATCGGAACACCCTCTCGCACAGTCCAACTCGTCGCCAGCGCCAGTCTCCGCAACGAAACCAGTACCAGCACCGCCATTGGCCTCGGCGGTAATTTGACGGCGATGGTGCGGAGCCGCACCGAACCTTCAATGAGCGGCTATGCCAAATTCGCCGGCCTGACCATCTCGCGACCTGGCAAATATCGCATCCGCGTCATGCTCAGCACGTCCTCCGTGAACGGCGTTATGACCAAGGAATGTGTTGATTCGGGAGTTATCCATGTGCACGCCGCTGCGCCGGCAGCCCAAAGGCCAAGTGGGTCACTCTCGTTTCTGTCCCTTTTATCCTATCCTATCAATCCAATGACCCTACATGGGTCTCGGCCTTTTGTCTCCACTCTCCTTTTCCCAAAAGCCTTTCTCGCCGCGATGAATAACGCCGTGGTATTGGGTGCTTTCCGGGACTTGGGAGTGTTCCCCCCTGCGATTGCCGTTTCTGGACACTTGCTGATGTTTAGAAAAACTCTAGCTCCCACCACGGTGGCAACATTGCAACGGCTGACGGCTGAAAATTTGGATATCACAGTGGCGGATATCGCGAAATGGCAGAGTGCGTAAGCGTGTAAGCGCGTGTGGGCGCAATGGAGGTTTTGTCATTGGGTGTCATTGTGGAGTTTCCGGTGTTTCCTTTTTGTTTGATTCTTGTCTGAAGTTCTTTTTATCCCGTCCTTTCCTGTTCTGAGATTTTTCGTTTAGATCGGCTCTTTCATGGGCTTTGGAGCTTCCTTTTTAGGGGTCCAAGTCCGAAGTGCAGTTCCAGCGTTTGTGGCGCCACTTACCAGAACAAGTAGGTAATCAATTAGAGCCAGGTAATGAAATGATTTTTTTATCCTCATTCGAGCGGGCTGGGTCAAGTGTCGGTAGGAAATTGTGAAATTGTTTGCTTGTGACGAAGTGATAGAAGCGAGTCTTTCTATTTTCAGCACGCAAGTCATGTCCCTGCATCTGGTGTGGGAAAAAAAAAAAAGAAAAAAAAAATATATAGGATCTGCCGTGCATTGCGCTGAATAATTTGGAAATGTCCTCTCTTCTTGCAGCTATGAAGCATGGACGACGCTATGTCATTATTCGGGCAGATATTCGAGCAGAGAACTCTCGTGGTTGCGCAGTTCTCCTAACTGCGGCGCTGATGCCAGCACATATTGTAGGAAAGTAGGATAATCTCAACCCAAACATTCAGCTGCAAGGCCCGTTAGACGGGTCTGGTCATGATCTGGTCCAGTGATCTTCTACAAACACGAGCATTAGTCCAGATCGCAGCAATCCTTCTTCTTCACAAAGTACGCACCGGCTTCATTTAATATAAAACGGCCCAAATCAATACCCAGGCCTAAATCGCCAAATATCTATCCGGAGAGGAGCTCTCGTCTATAGCAGACTAGCCAGAGTCTCGCATTCCCTCATGATGATAGCACTATATTCCGGATCTATATCGACTTCCTCGGCAGTCACAGCGCGCAAGATTCCACAGTCACTGCCATCTTGCCACTATAAGCAGGGATTCCGTTCACATGGTTGAGGCTAGTCACTAGTTGTAGCAGTACCGAGAGAAGCAATCCGAAGGCTCTTGACCTGGAATCGCTCCTTGCGATGGAGGCGTGACGGTGAGGGTGCCCTCTCCACCATTCAAGTGTTCCCCCACGAGAACACGAGGCAATTCATCGACGAGATGAACAATATATTCAGACAGCTCGGTTGAAATGCGACAGTTCTTGACACCGAGACTCCCTCGGCCACACGCTGGCTTTGTAACAATCGGGTAGTCACTTTCTGCGATTGAAGCCAAGATAGTATCCAATGTCTTTTGCACAGCCACGTGATCAACATTTTCATTTCTGATCAAGCATCTACGATCTAGGTAGTGTCAATCAGCCATTTCCACTTCACCATGACTTATCGTCGAATCGATCCGCACACAACGGTAGTTGCCCTATATCCCTAATACCGTGTCAACATTGATGAGCTCTGCAAAGGATGCTCCGCAAAAAGCACCGTATTGGCCGACAGATGCGTGGCACCTTTTTTCAATGCAGTCAAAATGCCTACAACTGTGTTAGGGAAGCATCAGTAGGCATGATTCGCAGGGTCCGGTATCATCTTTGGCGTGAATACTGTGGACCCTGAGTGAGACAATGTGTATGCCTTATCCGCTCCTGAATTGCGGTGTCCTGGGTATGAGACATCAGCGCGCATAGTCCTGCGCCATCTAGATTTATTTCGCGATGGTAACACGGTATATTCTCCGAAGTGGAATGAAATGTAGATGCAGGTGTTGGTGGCTGACCGTTGGGGCGAAGAGAGTGGACGGAATGGCCGAAGGTGCAGAATTAGCGGGAAACCCGAAGACAATAGGTCATTCTGAATGGAATACAGCTCATAAATTGCTAGAGATGGTTAGGTAAGATCAGTTCGAAAAAGTTGTCGTGATCTTGTTTTTACCAAGCTTCAAGTCGCGTGGGATAGATCGGAGATATTCCAAGCCTTGGAGGTGGAGTGCTAGGGGTGGAGATGGAGGAGCGCTCCAGGTTCCATTGGAATATTGGTCATGATGATGAGTACCGACTGACTTGTTTACGAAAGCTAGAGGAGAATTTGCGAGACTCGGAGAAATACAGTCTTCATTTGATTGTGATAGAAATCGCATTATAATTGGCTCGCAACTATAGATAGACAAGATAGAAAAGGGTCCAGCTCCTTCAAGGAGACAAGGACATGAAAAGAAATCGTTCATCAGAGAATAGCTCCAGACTTGTCTGTCAAGGCAAACGACAAGATCTGTGGCCGGCACATGAAGTGATCAGAAAGGAAGATATTGAACAATGATAGATTCGTGGTCCAATGAGATAGGTCCATCATAGTGCACCGGTACATCGGCCGAGGCAATGTTCGGTCGCAGGGTGCAGCCAGACAATCTGCGTGGCTACACCCAGGGGTGAACCCCAACATTGAAAGAGAAGCACAGTCTTCTTTTCGGGTGAATTTGATTGGACTGTCGATTCGAACTTGCAATTGGTGTTTATTGCCCGCGTGGAAGATGATATACTTTCATCTTGCGGGACATCCTATCACAAAAGTGCGCCTGAGCGAGACGTGGCCATGAGTGGTGGTCGGTGTTGGGAAGATTTGGAAGAGCGATTGGCGCGACGACATGGTTCAGCTCTCCTTGTCGTGGTGACGGAGCTTCTCAAAGCCATCGCGAACAGTCTCGCGCACGCTGAAGCCGCCGAAGAGCCAGTCATTGGAATGCCGACCGTAGTGGTTGACAGTACCACTGTAGCGACGATAGTCGTCGCTGTTCTTGCGGGTTGGAGTTGATGCTCGCTTAGTGGTGTACTCCTTGGGAGACTGGGGGGGAGAAGCGTGAGAAGACATTTGGTCGGGGCTATGAGAGCGGTGGTATGGATCAAAGTATGAGGGTCCTGGGGCGCTAAGAGGAATGTCTCGAGAATGGGAGACACTCGCCGAGGACTGGCGTTTGTGTGTTTTAGGAATATCGATGAGAGTAGGGGAGTTGCTTTTCGGCCGGAACAGTTTGGAGGCCAATGGGTTGGAGAAGCCGCGGCTGCGGGTTTTCTCGTCGGATCGTTGAGTGCTGCAAGAGGAACTGGTGGTTGTTGAGGCTTGAGACAGAGACCGCTTTGGATGGGTGTCGCTGTTGTATGATTGAGAGTGCATTCCTTGGTTTGCAGGCGTGGAGGTTGAGAAGTAGAGTGAGGGAGGACTGGAATAGTCGGGGCACGGGACTATTATTTATGCTTCTCCATCTCTCCCCCTCTCTCACCCTCTCTTTCTCTCTCTTTCTCTCTCTTTCATTCCCTTTTGCCCTGCTTTCCTTCTCGGGAATCATCCACCCTCGTAGGGCAACCAACCAAATCGCAGTCCGCTTCTCTGCTGCACTCAAGCCGGTGGAGAACATGCCCCAAAGACACACGCAGCCAATCGCAGCCACGAGAGTCTCCAGCATGAGCGGACCGGGCCAGCAACGTACCAACCGGAGGCCAGCAATGGCGACCCACCGGTAAGGTTTAGCGGGCCTCGGTGTCGGTGAGATTTCAGCAGCAGACACCAACAGGCCAATCCCATATTCTTTCTGCCTTGGAGCCTCCTCTGCCGAGCCCCCGTTCCAGTCCGATACTCCTGCCTTTCCTTGATGGTACCCCGCAGTTAGACCGCTCGTTGCATCATCATCGTCCCTATCATCCCTCATTGCTCGAGACGGACACGTCGTCTCACGCAGAGTTGCAAATTCCTATCATGTGGCTGCATCCAAAGGTAGCCTACGTTGGGCAGCACCAATATGCCGTCCTTCCTTTCTTTCAAAAACGATACATCAGCCAATTTTGACTCCCCGAAGCTGCAGCTTTGTCCAGCTGAGCCGTTCTGTCATCCTTATCTCCACCCTGCCATAGGGCTAGTTCCCCAGCCCGCGGAGTTAGGCAACCAAGATTTCCCAGTGTTGATGGTGGGGCAGCCTGCAGCCTTGGCCAATGTTGAATGTTCCACCTTTTCTCGAGGCTCTGCCCGAAAACGAAGCACACATTCATTCATGCATTCGTGCCGTTTTGCCCTCACACCCCACTTTGACGACATTCTTATCGCATCCACTCATCCATTTCCACTCACAGTCATCTGCGCCAATCACCACTGATTCACTGAGACATCCTCCCTTCTAGCGGCCTTCTCGAAGGCCGTCGTAGCCGAGAGATGGAGCACGTGCTGATGAATCGTCCTATGTTAGTCACTTGGCCCCCACCCAAGGGTACATCAGCCAAGAAAACACGGCTGAGTTAGTGCTTTACTCGGCACGGTCACTCCGAGAACTGTGCCCATGGGGTATTCACGAGCGCTACATCATGACTTTCTTTAACATTATGGTTAATTTACCAGGGTTTCGACGTAGCTCGAGATGCCGTCGGCACCACGAGAGCGTTTAGACTCTGTGCTTCACACAAAAGTCATCTTAGTGGGAGCACCCACTAACTTTCGCTATAGCCTGTAGCGACCGAGGTACACGCTGCACGAAGCTGCCGAGAGCACGCATTCTTGCTGCATTTTTTTGCTAGCTCTGGAAACCGACTGGTGACTCACGACAAGTGACCCATCTGCATACTTCGCGACGGCCGAGTCAAGTTCCATGACCTAGCCCGAATCAAAACAATACGAATATGCTGTCCGACCTGTCGGTCCGCACAGACAGACAGAGTCTCGTGGTAAAGACAAAGCTTCTAAAGCAAAAGAAATAGTGAGACTAAATTTTAAATATTATGGAGAGTACCGATCCATGGACCATAAACATATGGACTTTGTCTAATAAAAGTGCAGTCGGAAATTTCAAATTTGATACCTCCCAGTTATGATTCGGGTGCATAAATGTACATATCGTCAAACAGCTTTACCGATGAGAGGGACAGCGTGGCGAGCAATCTATTCGGTGCAGAGAGAGGAATGCTCTTAAGTTGACTTGACGGCGAAAAGAATTGCAAACAGTTGCCATTTCCTACACACGAGTCAGCTGGAATGCATATTCCAAAGAGACTACGACTGACATACATTGGGAGTATGTTCAGCATGAGTCCATTCACTTTGACGTCGTACCAGCCTTCCGACCTGATGTCAAGATTCCCTCCTCCAAGCATACGTTGGGCCCACCGGTGTGAAATCTCGACCACACTCCAAAGCACCTCATCGCCCATAGGAGCTTATAAACTCGGTTAAACAGAAGATACTATAAGTCCGCAGGCTTTGAGAATCTTGACTTGCCAGAGATTATCCACATTCTAGGGATATTGAAGCCCACGCTGGCTCAGAGAATTCCATACACAGAGTAAACGGCGTCGTCCACATTGGCGATTCGGCTTAATGCTCTATCGAGATATATTTCCAACGATAAACGATAGTTCGAGTATTGTCTACATCTCGATCCATGCTTAGTATACAAAACATGGAATTACTGGATACTGTTCTCTTGATCATTGCCACGGGCAACTATGAATTTATTCGGTAAACTACCCCATAAACTTCATGAGCAATACCACTCCATGATGAAGCATGCTTAGAGACAAAGCTCATTATAGAGGTTACAAATGCTCAGCTTTCAAGATTCCTCTTGTAAAGGCCACAGGCTAGCGCTAGGCTCCCTCCATGACCGTGGTTGCTCCGAGTGACATCGCCGATGGCGTCGCTCAGCGATCAATCTCGCCGTATCAACCCCAGAAAGAGTTGTCGGGTTTCTCTCCACGATCGTCACCGGCTGAGCCGAAATACGAGGCGGCATCCATCCGGAAATCACCGTCTCATCTCCCGCTCTTCTTATAGTTGGCATAACGAAAAGTGACCGCGTCCTATCTAGCGGTTGTCGACGGATCAATCGACGAAGCACACTGCGATGGACATGCTTCCGAGCTTCGACCGAGGAGGCTGAGAGATGAATATCATCCCGTCTGTCTCTCAGTAGAGGGCGAGACCAAAGACGATGGACTCGTGGGTTTCGCGACCGTATAATACCCGCCATCTCGGCGTCGTCGTCTTCAAGGTCCTCTGCTATGAGTGGAACCACTGTGGCTTGCTGAAAGGACCACGGTGTAATAATTGGGTGTCCAGCCCTGGATTTGGATATTCGCAGCTCCAGGCTGCGAGGTTCACGCATGCATATCTCTGAGCCACAGTGTGGCCAGGAGTGATGTCTTCTGTGGTGTGGCATGTGCGGCATTTCTGGTGTTGGTGGATATGGTGGAAGAGGGAAAGCTTTTGGAGATGTCCTTCAGATAGAAAATGGATTTCCAACATTCATCGCGAATCAAATAGTGAGATGGGTTTGATTCCTGTACAAGTTTTGTGGAGAAGATAAGGAAATATTCACTTCTTCGTCTACCAGCTCTCCGCATTATAAATCGAGTGCTTGTGGCTGACATGTCTAATGAGGCTCACACGTGCCGGGGTGAAGTGCCCTTAACAGCGGCCCGGGTGACTGAATAATCATTCGTTCTTGTGAAATGACGTGTAAGCATGCGGCAACCCTGGAATTCAACCCGTACACTGGTACGGACGATCTGAGTAAATGAAGTGTTCTGGGTAGGGAGTAGCCCGGGGTGGTAGGTGAGACTGGAGGATACCCTAGGCCTGGAATATATTCCCGCCCGGTAAGTGAGATAAGATGGGTTGTATATTCATGATTGATGGCATATTATACAACCCCGATCACGAGAAAACACACCCGTACCCCGAGAGTTAGGTCTACAAAGCGGCGCCAAATCGGGTATAGGTAGGAGATGACATGCAAAAGTGATGTGGTCAAGAGATCCGAGCGAGAACTATAGCGGAGATCACACTCTGACCCCATGACCCGGGCGCATAGGACTGCACTATGCGTTACATACATTATTACTCCAGGTGAAATATCACGATGGTGTCACCGAGTAGAGCTGGATGTAACAGACAGTCGGCAGAGAATTGAAAATGAGCTTCAGAATTCCTATGTGTGAATATGTAGTAGTCACGAGAAGCTAATTAGTTAGCAGATGAGGGTTGAGAATGTTTAGACTGGTAATTGTAGGATTGAACAAAGCGTATAGTCAACTGAGAACTTAAATATATCTATTTCCCCCCGATCGTTGGGCAGGTGCAAGAGAAATTCTCCTTGGGAGGCTCAACTTCACGTGATCTCATTGATGATCTTGGTTTATATTTCCAAAAATGGCCCATATCGAACAGCACCAAGTGGTCGAGCGGTAACTCGATCAATCAATCTTCCTTGGTCTAGTGGTCATGATTTCCGCTTGTCATTAACACCGATAAGCGCGGGAGACCGGGGTTCGATTCCCCGAGGGAGAGTTTTTTTGGCATTTTATTTCACAATCTGTTAATCCTCTTTCCATGTTTTCAACACTCTCTATATCAGAACACCTCGATTGTATTGTCCATTTTTCGCTTGATCCAGCCTGCTCTGTGTATTTTTTGGTTTCTCTCGGTACTCGCAAAGGATATTCCCTACCCAATTAGCCATGATGATTAGCAAGAACACTCCTCTATGAAGCAGAGCTGCGCCGTGTTGTCGCTGGTACGACCTAGTGAATCGAAGGAAACGAGATGCTGTTGACAAGCACTAATTCGTTCGTCATCTAGCTCCTTCTTGTGTAATCATGGTTGATGTTGTGACCCTGAAGACGTCCAAGGTGGGGGGGGGATAGACCGGCAAAGTCCCACGAGGCTTCCCCCCACACTTGCACGGGCGTACACTCATTGAATGCTGGGCCTTGAAATGAGATTGGGACTATGTGGAACTTGAATTATGAATGAGAACAGTCGTCAATGATGCCAGTCATGCTCAATCGTGTACCCTCTGTTAAACCATTCGAACACGACCTCGTATTAATATTGCTGCGAGTAGTGTATGTACTTCGGTTGGTTCTTCCCGACGATCTCGATCCACCCATCGACACCTGAGGCTACCTAGTGGAGCCTAAACATTCAGCTTGGGAGATTCTCCTGAGCTTCACTTCTTTCTCCTTTCACACCCTCCCACCAGCTTGTATATAAGCATACGACCTCCCATCGGGTGCACCGCTCTCTAGAGCGCAATACAAATCTCTCAATCCATACAAACATACACCAACACTTCACTATATATCACGCCACAATGTCCACCCCCGACTCCTTCACCCTCGACCTCCCCACGGTCCTCTGCATCGCCTTCTCCCTCTCCTTCATGCCAATCGCCTACCTCCTCAGCAAAGCCCTCATTCCATCCACCCACACCCGCAACCGCATCCTCTTCTTCTGGCACGCCTACGATGCCCTAACTCACCTCTTCATCGAAGGCTCCTTCCTCTACCAATGCTTCTTCAGCTACGCCTCCCTCCCCACCGGCATCCTCAGCGCAGGCCCACACTTTCTTAACCGCTCCGATCGCGTCTACGGGCCCGCCTACGGATCGGGCCCCAGCGCGCGCCTGTGGCAGGAATACGCCAAGGCGGATCGGCGCTGGGCCGGCGCTGACTTGACCGTCATCTCGCTGGAGTTGTTGACCGTATTTGTGGGCGGACCTGCCGCGGTTTACGTGTGTTATTTGCTGTGCCGGGCGTCGAATGAAAAGCTTAGCGCGAAGGTGCGGGGTGGAGCGAAGGCGACGTTGTGGTTCGTTGCGACGGCGTTGGCGACGGCCGAGTTGTACGGTGGATTTATGACTTTTGCGCCGGAGTGGTTGACGGGTAGCTCGCAGCTTGCTACTGATGATCCGGTTTATTTGTGGTTGTATTTGTTCTTCTTCAATACTCTTTGGGTGTTTATCCCGTTGTGGGTGCTGTGGGAGGCTGGTAAGGAGTTGCAGGCTGCTTTTGTTACACAGGAGGTGGCGGAGGCTGAGCAGAAGGGGAAATAAGTGGTTGATTCGATAATGTTGGACAGATACTGTACAAATGGATGAACGGATACATGGAAGTTTTGGTCATACTCGGATCCTCCTGGGGTTAGGAGCTGTCATGTGCCCGATTGACTGTCTCGAAGATGAACGTTAGGGATATCGAGATTCTGGAATACCTTCATAATGCTGCACTGGTTGCGCCAGGCTCAACCTCCTGCTATTAAACACTTGATACATAGTGGACACAAAGAAAAGCAAAAAAAACAAATGCCATGATTATACTTGTACACAACGCTTGGAAACAAAGTAGATAAACCAATCCGGTATCAATCTCAATCTCCCCCTACCATCAACCCTTCATCCCGCGATTCTTGTCCCAAAACCAGTGATAGAAAGTTTTCCACTCCGTAGCCTCTTCCTCAACATAATCCCCAACCAATTCAGCCGTCTCATTGATTTCATAGGAAACACCCGGAACTTTATACCCAGTGGAAGCATCGACCCCGTGGGCTATACTGCCAACCTTCGCAGCACTCGTTGCCGTAGCCGCATTGGAAGTCATATCTACGGCAACGCTGCCAGAATGATTCTTCAACGCATCCTCGGCACCTTCGCGCGTCCGCTCGGCTAATTCACGGGCTCCCTCGCGCGCAATCTCGCTATATTCTTCGGCCTGCTCGCGGGCTCGCGCTAGAAGCTCCTCAGGAGAGGGATACCGGCGCGCAACGATGAGAAGGAGATAGTAGAATTTGACGATGGTTGCGTACACGGCGTCTTTGGCCAGCATAGTGAATCCATGCGAGAAGAATCCCTTCAAAACTTCTCCCGGTAGACCAGCATACAGAGCAGAGATACCCTCCGTCAGGTAGATCGTCGCTACAGTCGAGAATATCTTCGGCGTAAGCGCGGCCAACACCACATTTGAGCCAGAGTCCCGTGGAGCTGCTTTCTGAGCACTCTTGAGTGCCTGCGCCCTGGTCTTGGCCAGAGAGAAGGGGTATGTGATTGACGAAGCGGTTGATTTGCTCAAAGCCGCTAATAGGAATGTCACTGCAGCTGAAGGTCGCTGACGCTTCTCGCGTGGGAGAAGGGCGTACTTCAGCACCTCGTTGAGGAAGAAGGTGATTGACGGGTTGAGGGTGAGGACCAGGGATGCCGAGTATCCTGACCAAAAGCCGCTGATCCCCTTCTCAGCACGAATCTGAGCTGCAATTTCCGCTGTCGACAGTTCTCTACCGTCTTTCCCGCCCTTTCGCGCTGCAGTCTGTTTTCGCGTAACAATATTTGACAAAGGTGTTGTGAACAGCTTTGAGAACGCACCGGCAAGCATACCAACTGCAAGTTCATCCCAAATAGGGAGAACGATATTCTTGCTCTTCGCTGCCTTGGCCGGACCGACTCGAGCAACGATTCTTCGTTGTCGGACGGTGTTGTACGCGAGGAAGAAGAGAAACGAGTCTGCGACCGATTTCCACGTATCCTGCGCCAGACCGGGGTAGAATCCAGCCCATCCTTGCTGCTCGTAAATCTTCCGAGCTGCATCTAGGATATCCTTATACTCTGGGTCGTCATCGGAACCCTGTTCTGGCTTGTCCTTCTTCGCTTGGGTCTGAAGACGGGCAACGATCACGTTAAGTGGGTAGACGATGACGTTTGATATCGCGGAGCCGACCGCACCGGCAACTGCGTTTCCGAGAACTGGCAAAGCTGGTCCGCGGAGAGCGGAGGTTTTCCAGTCTTCTTTTGGGTCGCGGGTTCCATAGCGGAAGGAGGGGTGGAAGGCATCCTGGATCGTGCGGGAGATCGTATTAGAGAGAGGGACTAGACAAGGTTGACTCAACGTACCAATTCTGACTCGTAGGCTAGTTTGTATTCAGCCATGATAGCGACTGGAGAGGCTTCGTCTCTCCTTTGAATTATCCTCGAAATGGGCAAGACTGCTGGGGTGAGATATCAAGTGTATTTACAAGGCTTGTTCATTGATGGGCTAGACCGCGGGGTGAAGACTCGGAGTGAGGTCTCTCGTATCACCCACAATGTGAGAGAGAAATATTCAGAGAAGCCACAGTCAGCGACCGAGAGGACTAGGGAGTTAAGACTTGAAATGAATGTGAAGGCAACTGAGAGATGGCCGAGGTCCATAGCCTTGCGATGGCGTCGATTACATCATGCCGATCATGTGGTCTGTGCAGGACAGTGGTCTGATAACCACAAACACCCTCAGACATTCAAGCATTGCGACTGCGACCGATATTTGAACGAGTGGTTTGACGTCCCGAGGAAGTAAATTTAAGATGGCAGAACGAGTGACTCACCCATGATTGAAGAACTATCTGCTGCATTTTGGGAACGACAGTACTGATGCCCGTACCTTAATTTGAAATTCTTGTCTCAAGCATCTACTCCAAACTATGGAGTGGTACCCATGGCAAGAAAGGTTTCAAGCGTTCTTCATGTGTGGACGCTGCAGACTCGAGGTGAAACTGTTGCCAACATGACAGCGTATAGGTAAAAATCGACATACTTGAGGGGAAGCCCTGCCTCTACAGCGTTTCGTGGGCAACGTCCCGAAGAAGTATCAGAAGGCGAGAGCATCGGACCAGAGATACTCAGTATATCTTATGCACTCTTACGGTCTACAATCAAGCAACAGAGGCATAATGGACTAGTAGCAATTGCTCCGTTGTAAACCCGCCAGGGCCAAGGCAAGCCAAGTCAACTAACTATAAGATAAAGCCATGATGGTAGTCCATTCCCATATTCGCAAAAAAGATCAAAACCATCCCAACCCAATACCCTGCAAACCCCGCCGGCAAACCGGGTAGATATCCCAGTGTAGCCATCATAGCCCAAATAAGGGTAAAATCAAAACCCGCAAGAAAAACCAAAACCATCACACCGTAGCGCGTTAAAAGAGAAAAACGAGACCGGTAACGGAGAGAAAAAGTCACGGCATTATCAAACACCAGCGTGAATTCCCCCGCTTAGCACCAGCCCAGTAAGTCAAATGCACAAGAGGCATTTAACCACCGAAACCGTACAGGGTACGGCCCTGGCGCTTAAGCGCGTAGACAACGTCCAGCGAGGTAACGGTCTTACGCTTAGCGTGCTCGGTGTATGTGACGGCGTCACGGATGACGGACTCGAGGAAGGACTTGAGCACACCGCGGGTCTCTTCGTAGATCATAGCAGAGATACGCTTGACACCGCCACGACGGGCGAGACGGCGGATAGCGGGCTTGGTGATACCCTGGATGTTGTCGCGCAGAATCTTGCGGTGACGCTTGGCGCCGCCCTTGCCGAGACCCTTACCACCCTTGCCACCTATTTGAGATTGTTAGTTTGGGATGTGTTCATGTAAATGTACAAGCATGGATGCAGATCGGTCGACAAGATGAGGACCGTCTAGCGACGGCGAGGTGCTGTGTAGAGTCAAAGGTGGATAGGATAGACAGCCTTGTCCCAGCTAGGCTAAGGCATGAGCGCATGGATGCCTGTGTGCCTGGGGCATCTAGCGCCACCCAATCACGTGCAGCCAGGGGCATCACCACCTCTGGAACTCATCACAGCGACCATCACGCTAACAGTCCGTCACGTCAGAATAAAAGATAAAAAAATAAAATACTTACGTCCAGACATGATGAGTTAGATAAACGGATTGATGAAATCGATAAGATGTTGATGGAAAAATCTGAATGGTGGATGACAGACAGCCTTTGATAATAGGGCGGTCGGGACGCGTCGAGAGATAGACGAGAGTTGAAGAAAGAGAAAAAAGCGAGAGAGGGGAAAGAAACCAGTCAGCGATGGGCGGGGGAAACCAAGGGCTTAAATACGTCCAAGGAGCTGACTACGCGTGATTTTTTAGGGGGAGGGCGGGTTGGGGGGTGTTATGTAAGCCCATGATTTTACATTCTGCAATGCGGCGGTAATTGGCAGGCGGCGAGGGAGGAAAATGGGTGTTATGAAAGGCAGGATTTGAGCATGTCTTGTTGGGCTGGGGGCTGCCCGCATTTTCCACACGGGAGTGTATTAAAAAGTGGGTAACAGTCACGTGGTGATAAGATAAATGGATGGGGCCGTTCCATGTAGCTGCAGGTGTGGGCCCAGGTCTGGTCGGAACTAGGTTCTTAGTCATGGAGTGATTGAGCGATAAGCGATCACAACCGATAAGGGACCTTATCTACAAAGTACATTGTAGTATGGAACCTGCCACCTCCAGCAATGGACTCTATAGCTGTATAAAATTTTACAGCACACTAGATGAAGGCATTTAAATGCCTATAACGACAAACGGAGAATGCTATGATTGGTGAGTAGAGAGGGTTCCTTTTCATTGCATCTCTGACTGCTGACGCTAACTCATACATCGTCGAGTCGGTGCTGCCCCTCGACTCGGATACCTCGCTCGATTCGATACCTTGAGTCGACTCCTTTCCATTTACATCAAGAGCATATCGACATAAGAACTACCGGATTCTCTACAACAGAAAAATATTATCATGACTCGAAGTCGCATTCATTCGTGTCTTTCATTGTCAAGACTATGCTACCAAACCGTAGCACTAGCCTCCTCTGTGAACATCATATATTTGATGTTAATCCATTGCAAACTTGCATCCAATCCAGCTAATGCCCATAATACAGGCCGAGCAAGAAAAAAAAAGTGAAAGAAAACATGAGCAGGAGGAAGGAAACAATACAAGCCCCGGAACACCATGCAAAACTTAAAAAAAAGACAAGAAAAAACAATCAGGCCAACGGTAAAATGCAGATGAGAGCGGAGGCAGGCCCAGCAGACTAATAAACTTTTTTGGTGAAGAAATGATGGATCCGCCGGGAAGGCAGAATTAAGAATCGAAGAGGCCTCTCGAGGTGATTTGGTCTGGAATTGTGGCGCAGAAAAAAAGGGGCGGAACGACGGAGAAAGAAGATCGTATCGTCATCATGCATAATCGAGACAAACTGAGCGGGGTGGTAATGATGAAGGTAGCAGATGAATAGTGGGAGAAGACGTGAGAATGACCACACGAGACCAAGGTTCCGCGTCGATAATTTCTCCCGACGCGAGTCGGGGAGTCCCGACAACAACTAATGATTTCAGAAACATAGCTCCGCGGTTTATTACACATCGCAAGAACCAGATTCCTTGTCATCAGCTGCAGTCAGGAGCAGCCACGGTCCGGTCATCGAGTGTGGAGAAGAAAGGAATCAACTATGCAGGGAATAAGATCACTGGGCGCCCACACAGGGCGCAAATGCACTGTCCGCAAAAGTCGAAAAGAAGAACGACTCGGGCACCTCCAGGTAAGAAACAGCGTATCCCCTTGAAACACAAAATCCGTCAATATTGCACGCCGGGGGAGAAGGGAACGGTCGATGACCAGGATTATAGCAGGACTCCGGAGCGGTCGCCAAGCTTTAATGTCACTCACCCTCGAATGACAGGCGACGACTGAGGGTCTTTCATGAATCCATTTTGTAGTGTGCTTTGGTGGTAGGGATAGCGAAACGCCATCGAAGGCGATACGCGTGGGGAGGCCGAGGCGGGACGAGATTCCGAGCGAGGTGCCTCGGTCGCAATCGGGTCTCCTCGGGGTAGTGAACGAGGAGAAAGAGGGGGAGAGGGAGCGGCCGTGTTGAAATATTTCGATGCCTCGTCCGCTTTCAGGTTGAGGGTGAAGTTCGCAAAGTTTGGAGGCTTCTGATTTGGAGTATTGGTGGGAGAACCGTACTGCAGGGTTAGGTTAGTGTGCTGTCTTTCAAATGAGTTTGACCGATAACTTACAAAGCAGTACTTATCCACCAGCTCTTTGTAGGAGGAAGACTCGTGGCATGGTTTGCTAGATACCAGTGAGGACGGCTTCAGATCCTCTGATCGAGCATCATTTCTCACTGGAGAAATCCGATCTGTCCTACTGCCCAAGTCTTTCTCCACCGGCTTGGCCTTGGGTGCCTCTGGGGTCTGACTAGACCTAGCGCGTGCGGTCAGAGTGGTCCGATCGACGGGAGTCTTGGTCCGCATAGCCGCAGTCAGCGATGCCCCAAAGTCATACCGGTTACCGAATGCCTGTGGGTGTGGCTTCTCGCGACGCTTTGGTGGGCCGACCGTGTCAATGTCATTCGACGTACTTCGGCTCAAAGGAGGTCCTGCATTCGCGGTGAACGGGTTGGCGAACGGTAACTTCTTGCCAACATCGGCGTGGTCCTCGAATGAGGGAGGCATAGACTGCGGGCGGGAACCAGAGTGAGAGCCGGTGAACGTTCGACTACGAGGAAGAGCCGGGCGGCTACCACCAGAGGGCTTATTCGCGGCCGGCTTGGAGGCTTTGACGAATTCGACCTGGTAGTTCAAGCCATTGTTGTTGTCCCAATGCTCTTGACCGTCAACGTTGTACCGAATACATACGAACATGGTCTTGCTTTCCAAGTTGGCCTGATCGTCGAGCTTGATGTCGAAGGTAAACCGATCGTGGCCATCATGGGTGTGCTTGCGACGAGCGTCGTGGCTGTACACGGCGACGACTTCGGACACGGTCCTCCAATTATCGAACGTGAAACGGGCAGCCACATGCTTGTGAAACGCGAGATTAGCCACAGAGACGGAGCCAATCAGACTCTTCTTGTCAGCTGAGAGGAACAACCGTTCTAGGCGGACTGCATGAGTAGCGCTGTGGGGCGCATCCTTAGGGAAGTTCGGGAGCCGCAACTCCCACTCCCACGACGAGGAAGATTTGTTCGCATCAAGACCGAAGGGAAACTCGGTATCGCCATCGTGGCTATCCACCGGGGAAGTTTCAGCGCTAACGGCCAAGGGTCGGTCAAGCTGCAAAAAATGCCGAATGTGCTCCAATTGCGAGTCGAAATGCACAGCTTTGGCGTAGACTGGGGTGCCAGGCATGCTTGAAGGCCGCCGACGAGCCGTGGCCGGTCGGAGAGCCGGCCGAACCAGTTCGCCCGATTTCTTTCTCACCATTGGCGGCTTAGGGGTAGAATCGGCATCACTGTCGTCCGGCGAGCTGGTCAATGCCTGTTCCCTCCTGATATCCACTGCTGTTTCAGTAGACGAGCGTGAGTGGGAGATCTTTCGAGATTCCTTGGAAAGCCGCAAGTAGTTGGGTTTGGGTTTGGATTGATGAGTGGGTGGTGCGTGACTGGATGAGGATTGAGCCTCAGTTCCCGACTCGTCGGACGCACGCATCATCTCTCTTTCGGGTGAGTATTCCCTCCGCTGTTCAATTGACCGCACTGCAGCCTCGAGTTCCTCAAACTTGATCTCGTCTTTCGGTTCGGACGATTCCTCATCACTCGAGTTGGTCACGGATTCCGGGGGCGAAATTACCGCCCCTGGGGGAATGGCTGCATTGTTCAAAGGTGGCGGAGACTGGCGGAGACTGGCATGCGGATCGATGGTGGGGGAGATGCGGGATGGGGGCTCCGAGGAGGAAAGCCCGTTCGATTTAGAGATCGATGGGCTTCTCCTGTGCCGACGGACGTATGAGGTGGAGGAATAGGATCGAGAGTTCTGCAATCGATGGGATGCAGATCGAGCCACGCCGGGTCGTTCGGGGCGGGTGTCGAAGGGGAGGTTCGTGTATTCGATGTGCTGCGCGGCGAGCAACGACTTCACTGGCGCAGTGTAGGGCATCCGGCCGACTTGTGTGTCTCAACACAAGAAGGTGGAAAGTTGTAGGTGAGCAAAGAACAGGGGAGCAAGGTGCTCAAAGGTTCAGTGCAGACGCAATTATGAATCTGGATGGGAGAGGTAAGAGTCAGTCCTGGGATGCCGTTTAAATCAGAGGTACTGGTGGTGAGAGAGAGACGATGATGGTGATTATGATGTGGGAAGAGGCAGGAATTGAGAAACCGACAGGCAGGCGAAGACGGCATCACCGTGCATTAGCCAGAATGACGGTGACTGGGGGAGGGTGGTCGAGGTGAAACTTCTTCGGTTGTCGTAGGATAGATGCAGATGGTGTGGCACCCGAAGAATGGCGAAAGGAAAGCGCGGACCAGTGGGGAGGTGGGTTGTAGTGAGAAGGTATCACAGCACTGAGTGACACCGGAGGCAGTGAAGAAGAAGAGAGCCGGTCGAGAAGACAATGGTCTCGTGGGTTGGGGGAAAGTGTATAGAAGAACAAGAGTGGAGTGCCGGGTTGAGAGGGTTTTGGGGAGTTGAAGAGGAGAGGAAGAGCTTATCAATCCTACCGATGAAAGCAGCGAGCAATCGCAGAGTGGGGAGTGTGGCGATTCACGATATGGCGATGTTATCAGGGTGGGCCGATCGCCAGGCAGGGAAAATTCAAAATCCCAGTCTGAATAATAGCAAATGCAAATGTAAAAAGTCCCCCCGACTAGGTGGAAAAAAAAATCAAATGGAAAAAAAAGATGATTCCCCAAATGTACAAGCCGGAACAACCGCAGGTGGTCGGATGGGATGATTTCGATCGAGGATCACCTCACACGTTGTACCTCGAAAGTACCCGGGAAGTCGTGCTGTGGGGAGGCAAACTGGACCTTTTTAACAGGCCATTTCCCGCTTGGACCGTTCAAATGGGGAATGATAAGAAGACTAGGAGGGGGAGTGTCAAGTTTATGGGTTCCAGGGTTCCCAGACCGGTTGAGGCAAATGTATGCCCGGAAGAGGAAGGGGGAGGGGGGAGGTAAATGGGAAAGCTGAAGGAGGAGTGGAAAATTGAAAGAAGAGCTGGATAAATGCGATAGGAGCAGGGAATTATAGGAATCGGATAGCTTCCCTGGTTAGCAGGAAAATCCAGAATGATGGGAACCGGGAACTATCATATTTTAATATTGATGACTTAATTAAGTTAATCGGGAAGGGAAAAAAAAAAGAAAATAATAAAAAACATCATCATTGCCCCAAAGTGAGTGTACGGAGTACTGTAGCGGTAGTATACTAAGGGCAGTTGAAAAAAAAAAGTGGAACAAGATAAATAAAGACCGGGGGGCTTCGCAAGCGCCTAGTGGAAAGCGACCAGACCAGGCCCAGTGGACTCCGAATACTACCGTCAGTGCGGTGCCGTATAAGAAAAAGGTGGCTTTAAGTGTCCCATCGCTGGCTTCGTTAGGGGCACGCCGAGTGGGTCGCGGTCTGGACACAAAAAGTTACTTTAGCGGTTGGGGGGAGGATACTGAATAATATTGCGTACAAATGGTACAGAACTTGAAGATTGACTGATTATCTTTGATAATTACTGTACATATATGAAATAACTATCTAATATCTAACACTTCGTAGATATCTTAGAACGTTACAGACTACTGCAGTATAGGTGACTTGCATATTCGAAGCAGCCATCGATCTAGGCAGTACTACAGTACTCCGTGCGCTCCCGTACGTTATCCGTGCTCTCTATATATCCGCACTCTTTTCCCTGGAGTACATCCCTCCGGTATGTACCCCCATGTCCACTCACAGGTACCAATCTGAACGAGGCCCCCAAAAACGGGCCCCCGAATTTTCCGCAACATGTGGCCCTCTGTGCACGAGGGCGTTGGAGGATCTCCATTGGCGTCAAATCACGATCTGTAGCCCTGGGACTACGACAAGCAACCCAAACTCTCTCGATACGCGACTCCTCTAGGATAGCAGTTCCTCGACGGTCCACGGAGTAATCACGCCTTTTATCATACGTTCTCGATTGCAACTATACAGTTTCACATTCCTGTCTACGACGACATCCCTTCTCATTATGGAGACAGCACGTACAGTAACGTGCTCCATACTGCCCCGCCCACCTGGGCGCTAATCAACTCCCCAATCCACTACGGCCAGTGTACATACATTTTCATCTTGTTTTCCCTGTTTTTCTTTACAACTGACGTCTTGCAATTGTATCACCTCATCCACTTCCTGCCAAGGCAATCCATCTCCCCCCTTTCCACACCCCCCCCCAGATACGTGGTCACGAGAAATCGCGACCGGGATGATAGATCTACGGTCGCGTGCAGTGTGGAATGATTTTGAACATATCGCCGTCGGTGAACAGAGGGTTGCGACCGTGGGTACTCCCGTGCATCTACAACTCTTTTTTACTCTTCTTCTTCTTATCAAGACTCTGTTAGCGGCGAGGTCCGAGTCCCCCGATTCCACCGCTCTTCATTGGGTCGTCCCGAACTAGGCGACCAAGGGAAAAAAAAAATCAGATACCCGAACCCTCGCTGAAAGTGCCTCCTCAACCCCACCAGGCAGTTATGGATATACTCCATGCATGAAGCATGAATGGGGGATATACACTGCGCAAGTGCTGAAGCATAAACCTTCCTGTTCGTTTCTCCTCCTTTCCCCCCTCATTTTCACTGACCGATGGTCTAGCCCTCTTAGCATGAGCAATGACCACAGACTGCGGAGACTCACCGTAAAACAAAATGCGGGATCCAATGGTGCAAATCCTTGCGTCTAGCCTCTTGACTCGTTCTTAAGGGTGAGATCTTGACTTCTCTCGTCTTTGGTTGCCGGTCCGACCATGGAACGGCACGACCACGAACCCTCCGCATCCAAGGGCCTTACTGTTCGCAAACCAAGCCTACGCTTTCCGCCAATTGGTACAGAGCATTTGCTATCTTTTGAATCGTATCTTGAAATTACAGTTTAGAGTGCATCGCCAGTAGATGCAAGGAGGTGTCTCGCTGACCCGGATGGTGGTAGCTGCGGTGGGACACGACTGTAGGATTAAAAGGACTGGAGAAGAGCAAGAGAGCTTTCGTAATTGTCGACTGGGTTCCCCATAGAGGGAGGGGGTTTTCCCCCAGGGTACGGATATACATGCGCTTGGATGGAGAAGAGTGAACAACTGGTAGAATGAACAACTGGGGGAGGAAGGGGACCGAGTGTATCAAGCCCCCCTCTTACAAGCACGATAGGCCCTAGCATATCGATGCTCCGTGACATGCAGCATGCAGTTAGATATCCAGGTTGACGCTTCTCATCTGGAGGTGGATCGACAAGCAGCTGCACTCCGTACATACACAGTCACAGTCTCCAATGGTATCCAGTGCTCGAGTGCTCCACATGCTGAGTGCCGCAGAACCCGGAGTTGGTGGGTTGGGGCCGACCGGCCGACCGACCGAACCTCGTTCGGGGAGAGTGGATTTTTTTCTTCTTCATTCCTGGGACTGGACTGCCGCGAAACGGAGGTGATTTAAGCTCTTATATTGCAAGGGGAACACGGGTCGCAATCTGCTATCTACCAAAGAGATTCCAGAGCCTTATCAGAACCCAATCTATACTCAATTGACCCAAAAGTCGTGATCGTTAAGACTCAAGGAACGTGTCGCAGGTTTATACTCCGCCCACAGCCGGGAGTACTTAGCCTGTGGGTGGTAATACCACGCGCACACCCATATAATGCATGACGTCAAGATGCATTGACAGGTCCGTGAGTCGCGAATTTCCTTGGTTTAATTTTCCTTGGCGAGGGTCTGGGCCCTCCCCAGTCGCTCGTGCAGGCTAGCAAGTATTTGCCCTTGGTACCGCGTGCAACAATGGAAGGAGGTGGATAGTCGAAATACTTGGACTGCGGTGTTCGCGGGAGGTTCGGAGAACTCGTTTCCTTTCCAGGATCAACAACGCTCTTAGCCGCAGCGGGAGAACTACGGATCTGGTTGCTGGCGATGATGATATCTCGTTTCCAGGGCCCGCCGTTGTTGGATAATCCCATCCTAATGGGAACCGCCCTTACCGAACGTCTTGTTTATGGTCTGGAATATGGAGTATGGATTATGGAGAACACCACCTACAACGGGAGCTTGCTTATAGCGTAATCGATACCTACGAGGGTATTCTGCGCCGAAGGGCCATGGAGCCCAATTGAGAGTACTTTGATACATGGAGTCGTAGTTACGACTTTGCTAGTTACTATATCTGATGTCGCTATCTGTACATTTAGTGGGTGGAGACACGCGCACACGCGCCCATGTCGCGACAAGGGGGCTCGTTGGGACCAGCCGGAGGTTTACTTATCTGGATTTAATATTTTGTATTTTAGGTGGACACTGTAGCTAGAGTCAAATTCGTGTTATATTCAAATGTACTCCGTACGGTACGACTGTATAGCTACTACTATGTACTCAAACTGCTATATTGATGTTCGGACCACCCAATCCCGTGTTTCACGATACAAAAAGCGCCCCAAAAAACGTTGAGACTGGGAGGCGCATGTCTCACACCGAGCAGTCGGCAAAGAATTTTCCTACTCGTCGCATATCAAAATGGTCCATACGCCCGGGCCACTAATCAACGTCTGCCCCCTTTGTTGTTGCGCCTCGATGGCACACTCTAAATTCAATTTCAATCTAGCGGCGCAGAGTTTTCCATTTTTCTCGCCACCCTCAACATTTTACTACTATCCAAACCGACACTAATATGATATGATTAGGTGCTGTTCCTGTCAAAATTAGTTATCGGCCTAGCCGTAACTTTATCCATTTGATTGAGCTTTGATGTCCACCATCTTTGATGGCGCGCTAATCCTCGGTTTGGCAAAAGCCGGCCCTGAAACTGAGCTGCGCCAGTGTCTCCATCGTAAAAGGTCGAGACCGGATACTATTTCAGTGCTAGCTGATTAGCTACTTACCTTAGCTATTTTTTGGGGCCCTGGTCTCGTACTCGGGCCTGACTAGCCATTTGACTTTGTGTTCTGAGCCGTGAGGACCACCTTGACCCTCAACTCTGCGATCGGCCCCTCTCTCCTCTTCTGCATAATCAAGCCCGTTCGCGAGGTTGATCACTCTATCTCTCTCTCCAGATTTCCATGTCCCAGACTTTCACAGACTAACTCTCACCCCCACCACTCCGCGTTCCCCCCCCCTGGACGGTGTCCCGCACTTAGTGCTGTCGGATCCATGCGCCCACGGAGCTCTCCAGCCTGGGAAAGTATCTCGACTCGTCCCCAAGGGAACGGGCGTTGATATCGGAAACTTGTCCTCCGTACACGACACTGCAGCTTCCATGTACGGCAGGACTGGGACTTGGATGTGCTGCAGTGACCTGCAAGGCCGCAGAAGGTTTCCGACCATGTCTGTAGCCACCGTAGCCACCGACAAGGCGATAACGCTCGTTGGCTGGTCGCCCCTTCCTCGTCCTTCGAACACGAAATCTGCTGCGCGGTTCCTCCGTGCACCTTTTTATTTTTTGTTTCCCTTCGCAAAGAAATTTTAGATTGGCCTCGCAATTCTCTTCCTGTTTCTAGACCGTTTTTTCTTATTTTTTCGCCTCTCGGCTTACCCACCGAGATTCGCAGTAGACAAAACGTGAGTCCGACTGGCAAGGACCCTTGACGAACCAGAAAGCTCGGCGCATTTGGCTCGGGCTATCGGACTATCGCGCCATCGAATCACCAAGAGTGTCCTGAACGGGAGTCCGTGAAACCTCCCGAATGTGGTGGGCGAAGCGCCCGAGCGTTGCTACTAGGAAATTGTACCGGGGGGGGGGGGGGGGGGGGGGGGGGGGGGGGGGGTAGTAAGAGTTTGGGAAGGTTGGATTGGCAGCTTTGAACTGGCAGAGTTCAGCCCTAGATCTTAGTTTCTGACACATCCGAGCTCGGTGCGCTTACTCTTCTACTTACTACTCTTCACAGACACTCTCCAACAAGGTTTTCGTCACCTATTGTTTCATGAACCTTTTTTTTTCTTTTCTTTCCTTTTGTCTGGATGAACAGAGCTCTCTACACCGCTCGCCATCGAAATGCTCGCCATCGCGCAGACCATCATTTTTCCATCCTCTTTGATTCACCGGGACTAACGTCTTGGCCTGCTATGGCCTTTGGATACGGGTCCCCCCACCTGCGTGGGCGTTATTGTGGCTGAACCTTGAAATGAGAGCTTTCTTCGGCTTCAGGCCTGCCGAGTCTCTCTGCGAGGCAGACCATGCCTTCACTGCCACCTTTCAACCTGAGGCGCCAGAACAAACCAATCGTGCCCATTTCACCCTTGCTCACCATGTTCGCGTCTTTCGTGTACCCCAGACGCCGACCTTCCAGCCGG